CCCCTAGCATTTATAAATTTAATTTTTTGCCAGATCATATAGAGTCAAACCAAATTACATGTCCATCAGTAATGTATGAAAGTATCTGTTCCCTCACATCTTTATAATATAGTAAATTATTAAACTTTTGCAAACTTTTAAAAAACCAATAGGTGTGAAACATAGCATTGCAGAATAGTTTCAGTTTATCTTTATCTTAAAATGAATTAAGCTGACCATCTTTGTATGTTTAAAGAACCACTTTTATTTTCTTTGTTTACTATCTTCTGCCCATTTTGTTATTTATTGCCTTTTATTGTTTTGTAGGAACTCTTCATATTAGAAGGAAAATTATGTTTTTACTATGTACTTTTCTTACATACACATATATATTTAAAAAATTTGGCCTTTGTTTGACTTGCTAATTTTTTCCAGTTTGTCTTTTGCCTTTTTTCCCACTTACTTTTATGTAGGTGGATTTATCAAACTTTTTATTATGGCCTCTGGATTTTGAGTTAGAGTTCAAAGTTTCTTCCTCATTTGGAGTAATAAAACCTATATTTTATTTTTTATTATTTATTCTAAATATTATTTTGTTGTACAATATACTTAAGAAGAAATTTTGAAGAACTATCATTTGTTTCCATACTTTCCTTTCATACTTGATCACAAAATTTGCTTAATATGAATGAGTGTTGTGGGGATACAGAAGTCTATTAGATTAAATCTGCCAGTTGACAAGTGCATTCCATGTGTGCAAAACTTTATTCCTTTAGGAAGGATTCCTATTGGAGAAATAGACCTTGATGTACAATACCAGAGGCACAGTGCAGCTATTTAGCATCACCTACTTAACATGTCCTTCCTTCTTTCTTCCCTCTCTCCTTCTATCTTCTAGATAAATACTAAGTACCTACCATGTGCCACATAGTGTTTAGGCACTGGGGATACCATAGGTAGGATGACATGGAACTTATATTCAATTGGGAGAAAAAATGTAAATGTTAACTTATGTTATGCTTTTGAAAAAATAGAATAAAAATAAGGAGATAGAGTTCTGGGCAAAGGAGAAGTTTGTTTTAGACAGGATAGTCCTAGGACTATTATTTCTGTAATAATTAAATTAGACATGAGTGAGAGGGGAGCAAATCAGATTGGTTAAACATATAAGGAAAAACCAGCAACAAGAAAGAGAAAGACAAGTGTAGCTGATGTTCATGTAAATAGATAATTAAGAGAACAGAAAGTAACTTTCTACAACAACCTGTTGTAATAAGGAAGCAATAATAAAACAAAATTAGGCCTTTAGAAATTAAAAATAGAGTAAGTGGACTTAAAATTTCACTATAAGAATTGGCATATAAGGTCAAAGAAATTTCCTAGAGTACAGAGAAACACTGTATTTCCCACACTTAAAAAAATGGTGTCTTTAGTTTAAATAAGTCCATTAACCATTCAATGGTATGAATTGAACTAAGTAAATCATCCATCCCTAGATAGATTCTCATAAAATTTCTGAATGCCTAGAGCATAAGATCATAGCACCTAAAGAGAAAACAAAGCTAGCAAAAACAAGACATGGCCTACAGTGAATAAGAATGGAACTGCCATTGAAACTCTCAATTATTGATCCTAGATGCTATGCAACAACAGAACTGTGTCATCAAAGTTCTGAAGGAAAATTAGTTTGGGTTGGATGAAGTAAAACTATTATTATATTGAGATGAAATAATTTCATAGAAAGTCCAACAGAATAAACAAATAATTAGCACTAATACCATTTCTCCCCATAAGTGATAACCAATTTAAAATATAACAAAAAGCAAGATGTATTCCCCTCCAAAAATTGTCAGTTTTCTACGAATTAACAGAGAATACAATAAGTATACTAAAGAAAGAAAATAAAGCTTTTATGTAGGATATAAAATGTCTTAATAAGTGGGAGACATTTCAGCCTCCTAAACTGAAGGAAATCTCAAAATTTTAGCTAGTTTTTTTTTAACTAACTAGAAATGTATACTGACAAATATTTATGAATAGGTAAATATATCTTTTTTAAAGTGGAAAGAGCATAAATAAATGGTAGGACTTATTACTTACTTAAAAATAATATGCCTTATGGTTATTGACTCAAGTATAGGCAAATGGACCTAGAATGAGTTTTCTAGAACATAATATTTATATGGATTTAAATATTTAAATTAGCATTTTATGTAATCATGCATATAAATAAAAGGATCCAGATCAAACACATTAGAAAGATTGCCACTAGGGGTAAAGGAATAGTAGGGGAATGAAGATTAAAGAGAAAGAGAATACAAAACAGAATAGTATTACATTGGATGACTATATCACAATTTATTTATGTGCATTCATCAAACTTTGAAATAGTTTTCCAAATTCTCATATGATGTCTTCTTTGAGCCTGGATTATTTGATTGATTGGGTTATTTCATTTCTAAATATTTGGAAATCTTCCAAATATCTCTGTTACTGCTAATTGTCTTATAGTTTAAAAAAATAGCCTTTTATATTTATTGAGATTTATTGAGATTTGTTTTATTGTTCAGCATATAGTCTGTCTAGGTGAACATTCCATGTACACTTGAAAAGAGCTGGTTTGTGATGCATTTTCTATAGTCTTAATTAGATTACTTAGCCAACTGTACTTATCCTCACTGATTTTATTTTCAGATCTCCTAACAAGCGTAGATTTGTATGTTTCTCTTTTTTGTTCTTTCCTTTCTGTTTCTTATATTTTTGAAGCTCATTTAGTACTGCCTCAGGATGAGTTATATTTGCATCTCATCCATACTTTACTTATGTTTAGAAGAGACTTTGGACTTTTTGAGTTAATGTTGGAATGAGTTAAGACTATTAGGATGGAATGAATGTATTTTGCGAATGGAATGTGGGACTTTTAGGGGGCAAGGATGGGATTTTATAGACGGAATGTGTTTCCCCAAACTCATATATAGAAAACTAATCCTATGTTGGGTATTTGGAGGTGGTGCCTTCATGAATTCTTTTGGTCAGGAAGTGAGTGAGCCCTCAGGAATGAAAGTGCCCTTATAAAATGGGCTCCAGAGATTTCCCTCCCCACTTTTGCTATGTGAAATTCCAGAGAGAATACTGCCATCTATGAATGAGAAAATAGAAACAGAATACACCAGAATTAGATTTTAGGGCCATCCAGTCTTTAGAACTGTGAGAAATTTCCGTTATTTATAGGCCTTGTTATTTTGTTATAGCAGCCCAAACAGTCTAAGGTAACACACTATGATAAACCTTTTTTAAAAAGTAAAGACACAGAGAAAATAATAGAAGCAGCCAAAGTTAAAAAAAAAAAAAGATACATTATCTTGAAATGGGGGCAATAAGATGAATTGGTAACTACTCAACAGAAACAATGAAAGCCAGAAGAATGAAACAAAAATATCATTAAAAGTGATAATGTATAAATGTTTCAGATGAAAACAATTTATTCTCAAGTCTACACTATAATAAAAGCAAAGGGAGAAGGTGTGATTCCAGTAGGGAATTTGAGGAAGGAACTAAGAGTGATGAAAAGGGATGAATATACAGTTAATGTATATCAATGTTGATGGTAAAACAATAATTGTAATAGACTGTGGGTTGTAATATGTGTAGAATTAAAATGTCTAGCAATAACAAAAAGACAGAGAAAAAATAAATGAAGGTGAAGTTTTAATGTCAATAAAGTAATGTTTTACTGTTTTCATGGAAATGGTAAAAGAAATAATTTGTATTATAGCATAAAAGCCAAGAGATTAAGGATGCATCTTGTGCTTTGTAGGCAAGCCACTAAAAGTAAAAGGATGAAGAAAAACAAATTAACAGAGGGGAAAACCATATCGAACTTTGATTAACCCTAAAAAGTAAGGTAGGAATAAAATATAAAATATAGAAAGTCAACAAATAATCCAAGTTTGATATAACATTTAAAAATCTTAGCTGAGCATGATAGCTCATGCCTATAATCCCAGGTTCTTAGGTAGCTGAAGCAAAAGGATCAGGAGTTCCACTCCAGGTTTGACAAAATACAAACAAGAGGACTGGGGTGTTGCCCAAGTCATAGAGTGCTTACCTAGAATGCATGAAGTCCTGGGTTCAATTCCCCCTCCCCAAAATTAATAGAATATGTTAATGCAGTTTACCATATTAATAAAGAAGAAAAAGCATATTATTAAATTCAATAGCAATATATTCTTAGAAGGTTTTTTGTAAACTAAGAATATTTTCTGATAATTAACAAAAAGAATCTTTCATTCCACATCATTCTTAATTTTGATAAATTAATGTCATTACTGCTATAATCAGGAGTAAAACAAGAATAGTCATTACTGAATTGGTGAGCCCAACCAGCATGGTTGGAATACCCAAGTAATAATGATATTAGGATTGCATGAAAGAAATGAAACTGTTATTATTTGCAGACAAAATGTTTAGACAATAGGAGACTAAAAGAAACTATAAATGTTTTAGTAATAATACAGTTGAGCACAGTTGTAGAATAGTTTCAGTCTGTAAAAGTTAATTTTATTTTTAAATCCCTTTTACAATTGAAACAATAAATATTAAAGTTAACTAGGAAAACATTTAATGAAATATGTGTAAGGTTTTTACAGAAGAAAAGTTTTATTACAAAAGTTTTATTGAAAGAAATTGAATTTGACCTAAATTAAGAGATATGCCAAATTTTCAGATTCTTTTCTATTTACTGCAACTTCCCAAGATGGGAGAAAGGCCCATTTTTCTGACATTGCTCTTTATTCTGAAAAAAAAAACAAAAAGCGGCTAGTCAGACCTCACCAATTCATGGCCAATTCTTCGTTAGGTTCTTTCCCTTATACCACCATTTTAAAGTACTTCTTCCAGGTGAATTCTTAAGCCAAGATTTTCTTTTGTTGTCATTTAGATACAGTATTACAATTGTTACATTGTCTCTCACTCATTTTTCAAGCAAAAATGAAGCCTTTAAATTATCTTTCTCCCTACAGACTCTACCTTCAAAAGAAACATTTTTAAATACTACACAAATGCCTTGCCTGCAATCAGCTTCAACTTGGAGTAACTGTGAACACAATTCAAAGTCTCAGATATTAAAAGAACATGTGTCGGAGCTAGATTCCTCTTTTCATTCTGTTCTATCATTGCCATCAGGTAAGCCTCCTCATAAAAATTCTGAGTAACTCTGAATGTTTCCTGTAAGTACAGGGAATCTTATAAAATTTTATTTTATCAATTATGTTGTCACTAGAACTAAACCATTCTCATAGAGCAATTAATCTAGTTACATGGAGTTAAAGTTCTATGAGTAAGCTGATTTTTCTAATTCCTTCTAAATTAATTAGATTTACTTTAGAAAATGACTAGCTTTGCATCTCCTTTGTTAACTTTTGAATATTTTTGGTAACATGGCTGTGTTGAAATGCTTCTCAGTAGTAAGTCAAGGTTCTTCTTAAATTTTTTACTAGTGTCTATTAGTTGTACACAAAAGTGGGTTTCATTATGACATTTTCATACATGTACATAGTGTACTTTAATCATGTCCACTCACCATTACCCTTTTTTGACTACTCCCTCCCTCTGGTCCCTTCCTCTTTCCAAATAATCCCCTTCTTCAGTGCTGATGTGCTGTTTTGCATGGAGTTTTTCCCTACCATTCAATATTCCTCCACTATTGAATTTCTTCAAAGGAGAAGAACATTTCATTTATGAGTCTAGTCAACTTTTGAACCTCAAGAGTATCTATAGGTGCTGGTGAAGTGGCTTATGTGGTAGAGTGCCTGCCTATCAAGCATGAAGCCCTGAGTTCAAACCCAGTATCATACACACACAAAAAAAAGAGTATCTGTAATTTATAATTGAGTAAATTAAGCACAAACATACCCATATCTTTAAGTGGTTTTAAATTTCCAGTTCCTAATTTTTTGGGGAAACTTCCAAGTCTTATTTTATAGTGCAACTAAATTATTTCAGGCAGAAAGGAAACATCCCTCATATTGATTATCTCAGGTTCTTCTCCTTATTGAAGAATTTCTCAAGTGGGCTTTTGTTTCCTTTTCTTAAAAGCCCACAAGGTTGCATGGTGGATACTAAGGAACTTTTCTGGTTACCTTTTGTTTTCCCACAACTCACAAACAGTGGTAGAATAGGTGGTAATCTCTTTATAGCAGTAAGTGATACTTGTTTGGAGAAACAAAATTATATTTAGGTAATTGGAAAATAGAATCCTGAAATGCATAAGCAGGATTTAAGGAAAATACTTAATTTATATTCTGATTTCATTTTGTCATCTGTCTCTTGGTACAAACTCTGTTTTAATACTCATGAGCCAGATTGTTTTTCCCCACACTTGCATGTGGACTTGCCATTAAACAACATCTTTTTTAGAAAAAGATGCATCTCTTTGTTTAAAATCCAGACACTTCCTGGGTCTATCCTGAGGTATGTGTTCATTATTAGTCTTCTTAAAAGTAAATGTCTTCTTTCGGTAGCAGAAATTTTAATCAGTGCTCTAATGAATTATTTCTGTTTCTCAGAGAAAAACAGGTATCTCTATTATTCATGTTTTTAAAGATGATTTTTTTACATTATTCTTTTTTGGTGGGACTGGGAGTTGAACTCAGAGCTTTCTGCTTGCAAACCACTTGCTCTACTGCTTGACCCACACTTCCAGTCCATTTTATCTTACTGATTATTTTAGAGATGGGGTCTCTTGAACTAGTTACCCAGACTCTCCTCAAACTGCAGTCCTAGCAATCTGTCTCCCAACTAGCTACAATGATGGGTGTGGGCCACCAGCACCTGGCTTTTTACATTCTTGAAAGAAAAAAAGCCTTAAAAAATATGAAGTACATCTTAGTTACAACTTGGCTTCTGTTTTCAAATATAAAATATAAACATTGTAAATTGAATTTCTCTAAGTTTTTATTTGAAGGAAGACAGCTACTTTGTTAGTAGGCTTTAAGTTTTGTAAAAGTAGATTCACTTAATAAACTAAGGGAATGTGAAAGTTGATGTTTTCATGTTTCATGTTTATAGCAGTGTTCCCCCAAATAATTGAAACTGTTTAATAATATCCTTTGGAAACTTCATTATTTCAAGTGCAATTTGCGGGGGTGGAGTGGGATAGATTTAGTCTGCCAGGTTTGGCTGTAGGTTTTTCTTAAAGACCTTTTGAGTGCATTTGTTTCCATTCATCTATGAAGAATATTTATATTTACAAATACTATTCATTTTATATGCTAGTTTAGAAAAAGCATAAAACTGTTCATCTGTTAGTGTTTGTTTATTAACTATACCTTATGATACCAGCGTGCTTAGAAAGAGTATTTTGATACTCCTGCCTTGTCAAACTTTTGCCTGTTTTTCTAAAATTATGTACTATTTGTAAAGAGAAAGCAAAATTGGTAAGTCTGTAACAGGTGGCATCTAGTTAAAATATTTTTTACTTTATTTTTCCAGATGTGCCTCTTCATTTTCATTTTGAAACATTATTTAAAAAGACTGAAATAAAAGGCGATCTTGATGAAAAATTTGTAGGCGACTGTATCATGTCACCATCACCTGGTATGTCACATTTACACATCTTGTACTTTAAATACCTTTTTACATCCTTTATACTATTATTTTTGCATTCTAAGTAAATAAAATTTAATAAAAGAATAAATGTAAATTCTTAATTTTTAATATTCACTTTCTACAAATCACACACACAGAGAAAATACACAGGAGTTGCCTAGCACATGAGAGCCTTGAGTTCAATCTCTAGCACCAGGGGAAACAAAACAAAAAAAACAGAAGGAAGGAATGTGTGATACCTATTGGATAAAACTTATGAAACACTGAAATAGGAAATTTAAATAAACATTGAAAGCATTCTTAATTGGTGTCTTAAAAAAGACACCAATTCTATTTATTAGGTTCATATGTTTAATGCAATATAACTTAGGGTTCTAGTAGACTTAACTTAAAATTATTCCATAGTCCATTGGGAAGACTAAATGGTAAAATATATAATGAACTGGTAGAAAAATTGTTGAGAAAATTTAGCTGAACCCCCTATGGAGATATGCCAAAAATCTATAATAGTTAGCATAGATTTTATTTATATTTAGGAAAATGTATTCATGAAGCAGACTATATAGTGGTAGTTTATTATGTGATCAGGGAGGAATTTTATACCAATGGGAAAGTGGAGAACCATTTAATAAACCACACTGTTAGTTTTTCTAAGGGAAATGGTATACACTCATTTCATATCATGAATCAGAATAAGTTCCAACTGGTTCCAAGAATTTTTCAAATAAAATATTAAAACTATCTAGTAAGACTTAAAAGAAATTATAATGAAATGTTTATGAATGCTATGAAAGGGGATGAAGGGATGGTCTATGCTTGGAAACAATTATCAGAAAGGAAAACCATCAACATACTTTGATTATATCTGCAACATTAAAGTCTTAGTATCAAAAAGTCATACAAAGTAAAATAAATTATTTCCAGATGAAATAACCATCTACCTCAAAAACTCAAAGAGTCAAATGCATGTCTGCTAGACCACAGTTTTATTATAAAAACCAGAAGCTTTTGGTCTGGGGACAGGTGTTGGTCAGTATAGGAAGGCCCTGGATTTAGTCACCAGTACTAGAGGAAAAAACACACACAGCGTTTAGAAATTTCAGTAATACTAGAAAGAAAATGCAAAGGAATAAAGTATCTTAGACACACAACAATCTCTCTGACTAAAGTTAACAAAGACTTACATGATGAACACTTCAGCAGTTTACTGAGCACAATAGGATGTTCCCATGGAGACAAATACACTGCTCTTGTTATAAGTCAGTTTTTAATTTAAGATGTCAGTTTCCCCCCAAATTAATGTATGAACAGAATGTAATTCTAATTAGAATCACAGAGGTATTCCTTTTTTAAAATTACATTTGTTCTTTTGATTTTCTTTTTTTTGAGATAGGGTCTTGCCACATAGCCCATGCTGGCTTTGAACTCATAATCCTCTTGCCTCAGCCTCCAAAGTGCTGTGATTACAGGTGTGCACCACTAAGCCTGGCTGATGTATTCTTTTTGAACAGTTATTCTGGAGTTTCTGCCAGAGAGAAAATGTTGAAGAATGGCTAATAATTTTTTTTTAAAAATCAAAAGGTATCATGTACCAAAATAATTTATAGTTATGATCATTAAAATATGGTGCTGATGGAAGCCAGATCAGGGAACTAAATAATAGCCTAAAGACAGCCCTAAAGGTTCATTGTGTGATAAAGGGAGTATTATTCTTTCAGTGTGGAAAGAGTGTTTAGCCAATAAATATGAACGACAACAAATTTTTTATGTATTCCTCATATGCCAGTGCTAAAGAGTTACATATTAGTTAATTCTTTTAACCTATGGGGTTAAAAGAATTATTCTTAAACAATCTTCCCTAGGGGTAGAGCAGTTTGGCTCAGAGTTCATGCTCTAAATAACCAACTTTCATCTGTAATAGTGGCATTAAATGATTCACGAAATGAGATCAGTTCCTCACATTAAGAGAAATTTAAGATGAATACTAAAAATATATTTCAGATGTACTAAAGAGATGCATGTTAAAAATAGTATCTTAAAAGAATTAGAAGAAAAATTCTATGCTTGATAATGGAAATGAAAATGGCTAACTTTTACTGAGAACTTGTGTACCAGATACTTTTGAGTTTATTATTTTTGCCTATTACAAGTTAAAACATTATAATCAATTCTAGTTTCACTATAGTTAAAAAAACAACATTCTCATATTTCTGATAACATTAATAACACTTAATAGAAATCTTCTGGGGACCACTATGAGATCCATTTACATGACTCATATATATATAGTATAGATAATATATACATATATATTAAATAAACTCACTGTAATAAAAAAACTACCATGTCTACTTTTGTACCTGCTCAAAATGTTTCCTGAACTGTAAATTCCATATTCTGATCCCATTATTCCAAGAATCTAGTTAATCCTACATATGAAACAATTTTTATCACAAATAAAAATTGTTTTTACAATTTATCTTAGTATTTTTGTGATGAGAAATTAGCAACCTGAAGGATGTAATACAGATATGGTTACACTACAGCAAAATACTGAACCTTAACAATATCTTAAAAGTTCATGTTTATCAAAGAGTATGGTGATTTTTATAAGATGAAAATATTTTGTTTGGTACAATTATAATCATGTAAAAAGTGTTTATTATATCAGACAAATGCAGTGTGTGGTGGACCATGTTGGATTCTGATTTGAACAAATGAGTTGTACACACACGTAAATTTCCTTTTCATAATCATTAACACAATTTTTAAACAACCCAACAAATGTAAACATGGATGTTAGAGATTAATGAATTATTAATTTTGTCATATGTAGTAATGCATTGTAGTTACAAAAACAGACACAACTTTGTCAGTTAAGAGATTCATGCTGACATGATAGAAAGGATGTCTGGGATTTGTTTCTAAAAAATTAACAGCAAATAGGTGAGAAGAGACGAAATAAGATTGGTCATGAGTAGATCATTGCTGAAGCTGAATGATAGGTCCATGGGAGTTCATTATTCTAGTCTCCTTGTGTTTGAAATTTTTCCATAGTAAAAAGTTAAAGGAGAAAACTGTGAAAGCACCAAGGACAAGGAACAATTGCCTACACTTAGGGAAGAAAAGACTAAAGAATACTAGAATGTGCAGGCTATTCAAGTACTTTCTCATGATGTAATTCTACTTAATTGGGATTTATCTTGAGACTAAATTTTTTCAAAAGGGAAAAAACATACCCATGAAAATGATTATTTAAAGTATTTCCACAACAGTCTCATCAAGGTGATGGTGAACATTGATACTGGGACATCATTTCTAACAATAGTATAACAACTAAGATGTCTAATAGCTACAGGATACCTTAATGGCATTGTCTCAAAACAGAGGAATGTTAGGTAACCACCTGCAAAAATAACGAAGAGTGAGTTATGAGATAGACACTATTACACATTTATTTTAATGAAAATTATTTTATTCTTGAAATTCATATGAAGTGTGAAATGTATGTACATGCAGTGGCCTGTTGTAGGTCACATGTAATGGAAAATTAAGAGGAATATGAATGGAATACACTACAGTTGGATGCTGTACTAGTATTAGGCAAATCAATAAGGTATTCTTTTATGTATCAATCTCTCATGTCCTACACACCTTCTTTACCACTCCCACCTCAAATAATTAAGCACTGATTAGGTGTAATCCTGTATATCTGTCTTAAATAGTTGGGCATTAATTTTTTTCAGTTAGTGAGTTTTGTAGACTTAAGTAAAAGTACCATTCAACATTTGAGCACCTACTCTGTGCCAGGCAGACTACTAAATGCCAATTATCAAAGGTGAATCCCAGGAAATAAAAATTCTAATGCAATAGGGGTAAAACCAACAGTAACTATGTAAGGTCTGATGAGCAAAGACATAAAAAATATAAAGGAGTATATAACTACCTAGGATAAAGAAAAAGAGAACTTAAGAGAGATGAGGAATGAGCAAAGAGAGGAACTCAGAAAGATGGAGATGCCAAAGGTCATCTAGGAATTTTCAGAGGAGGAAGGGTGAAGTGTTCCAAATCTGTGCTTCTCCAACATAATGTATAAACATATTACTTGAGAGATATTGTTAGCATGCAGACTCCAAGAAGTCTGGAATGGGGCTTGAGGTTTTACATTTTAACAAGGTCCCAGCTAATTCAAATGCTGTTAACCCGTATGATGTAATGAGGCTTTAAATAATAGAAACAAATACACATAATGGAGACCTAAAAGTGTGACGTGTTGAAGTATCTACAAACAGCTTGATATTCTTGCAGAACTGTGTAAAAGTAAGCACAGATCTTTGTGTGTTTTGCCAGAGCTGGGATTTATCCTATACTGTCCAATAGATTGTGCATTTATGACACTGTTGACCGCAAGCAATACCAAAGTAGAGAACAGTCAAATTGTAAACATGAAGACTAAATACACATAGTCTCAGGACAAAATACCAGACAAAACCAATTCAAGGGATTATATTTGCCAAAATATTCAAGGTTATAAGTGGGTGGAACTGCTTCAGATATGACTTTCAAAAGATAACTGAATGAAATGATTGGAATCTTCCATAAAGAATATTAAAGGGATAACTGGTGAAATGTGAATGTCTGCAGATTAGCTAACATTAATATCCTAATTTTGACAATTGTTTGGCTATGTAAAAGAGAAATGCACATTGATATATTAAGGGATAAGGGAACATCATGCCAGAAATTTGCATTCAGAGAGGTGAAGAAAATGTGATAAAATATTAACATTTGGGGATTGAGTAAAATATATATGGAAATTCTTGTGCTATTTCAAGATTTTTTGTTTATGTCAAAATTAGGTTTTATTTTAGAGTGGACAGATGGAAGAATAGAACCATAACCCAAAGCAATCCAGAAACACGGGGCTCAGCCTTCATGATTCACATTTTCTTTATAAAAAATCATTTATTAATTGTACACAGGGTATTCATTATACTTCCTTATGTTTATGTAACATACTTTGATCATATTCACCCTATTACTTTCCTATCCTACCTCCTTTTTAAACAATTTTAGTGGGTTTTATGACCTTTTCATATATACATGTAATATACTTTGATCATATTCAGCCCCCATCAACCTCTTTTCTTCTCTCCCACTGGTCCCCCTTTCCCAGTAGCCCCTTTATGTTTTTTTCTGGAAGAGATTCCACATGAGAAAAAAATATGGTATTTGAGTCTGGCTTATTTTATCGAACATGCTCTCCAGTTCCATCCATTTTCCTACAAATGACATTATGGCTGAATATTCCATTGTCACCCTTCCTATGTACTCACTAAGTTGCCAAAATGATCTTAGAAATTGTTTCAAATTTATCTTCATTTCTACCACATTAAGTCCAACATTATCTCAAATCTATATTGCTGAAGCCCAATTTTGATATACCTTCTCTCACTGTAGCTATTTTTCAAAAATGCAAATCTAATGTCACACCAACTCCTCACTACTATCCCTTTAAGACATCTACCTGCTCACAGTTCTTTCACCATGATCTCTCACTCTACACCACAGTCGATGTTCAATACCCAGGTTTGTCCTGCTTTCTGCTGCCTTGGCATTCTGCGTAGTTGCACCAGCTTTTTTGTCCTCCCCTCATTATGAACTCTTTCTGTTCATATTTGAACTCTTATTACTTTATCACAGTAAAATAAGCAGAAGGGTGTTTATCTAGGATAGGTAGAAGTACTGCCACACCCCCAGCCCTTTCCAGACAGGCGTGTAGGATTACTCCTCCCATTTTAACATCTTCCTCTTCCTTTTGGGGAGGGCAAGTGAGAAATCTTAGAAGTCTTCTGAGAATTCTGCTTACTGTTTTTCCATGAGCTATTTAGTCATTTTCTTACATCTTACTTCACCAGATTTGTTCATTCCTTTAGAGTGTGTGTGAACTTTTTTTGGAGGGGTGGTACTTGGGGTTGATCTCAGGGCCTTGTGCATTAGCCACTTCACCAGTCCTTCATGGTAATGTTTAACCCTTCTTGGGAATTTTTGAGGATCTTCATCAGTCATGTCCTCTTACCAGTATTTTTTTTCTTGCTTGATGCTTCACATTAGTATTAGGGTTAATAAGTTGATTCTGAAACCTTTTTTGGCTGTTACTTCTTCAAATACGAACTTCCCTTCATTCACTGTATTGTATCATTACGTTTTGGTTTCTTTTTTCCTTCACATTTTCCATCATTTGGTTCTTCAAGTTGTGCAGTTCTTCTTCCAGTCCCAATTTAAAATTTTTTCTAGCTGTATCCACTATTGGTGATGACTGTTTTTAAATTCAAACTATGCTTTCCATTTCTGAAGCTTCTTTGGAGAGCCCTCTTGCTTTCTCTTCACAATTTTAGTTTAGAGACCAGTTATATATGTATATTGTGAGTGCTCCAGCTACTATTTCTTGAGATGGTTCTGCCACTTGTAGTTTGTTATTTTATGTTGGAATTCAAGATTTTTAGTTTATATACTCACGTAAGATGATATTCAATGTTAAAAGACTATTCTACTACTGCTTTTTATGGTACCCTGTTGAGATTTACATCCTATACTACTTTCATATGGAGTTGGAAAAGTGGGGCAGGCATTAAGACATTTCCTTATCTCCTCAGCTATCCATTTCTCTGCCCAAAGTGATTTTACCACTTGAGATAGATAACTTCATCAGTAGCCTGGCTGATGTATTAGCTTTCAGTCTTATCAGTTGCTCTATATAAACTAACCTGCTCCCATTTTCCCTCTCCTCCAAGTCTAGAGCACCTTTGGTATTCATACTTTGGAGGACTTTCCTATGTGCTTCCACTCTGGGTTTCCTCTTCAGTGAAACTCCATAGGATATCAGTCTTTCAGAGATGTTTCATAAGTTGTTCCCTTTCTGCTTACAAATGTGTCTATATATGCACAAGCCTATGTGTAAAACTTTTGTCTATCATTTTCAGTGTGCTTTGCCATCTTAAAACTGGATCCCTCCTGGGCATTTGGTTGGTGGGCCATGCCCTTATTTCAGTGCTAGTTTGGCACTTCAGCTTACATTTCCTTTCTATTCCTTTCCATGTCTCCAACCCCTCTTTCAAAAGAGCTAACTTGGGTATTAAGCCAGTACTGGAAATAAAAGGTTTAAATATTCACAATGACAAGCACTTACCATGTTAGAACCTTCAACTGCAAGAACTCTTGTAATCTTCGTAACCCCAACATAGCTGCTATTATTCCTATTTTACAGAAGAAGAAACTGGGGCACAGGTATTATGTGACTTAAAACTGTGTTACATTCATAAAAAATGAAATAGTGCTAGTCCCTATCAGAGGGGGATGAGGTCAGGTTGTTGGTCTCAAGGAGTCCCCACTCTTGTGACCATGTTGAATCTTGCTTGGTCCTCAATTATTTTCAGATTTAAAAGAAAGCAACTTTAGGATTCAGATCATATTCAGTCAAGATTTATAGATCTGAACCAATCCTAATTTGGAAGGCTTTGAGAACAGATCACCTTCCCTTTTCATCCCCTTCAAAAAAAATGGAGCAAGTATAGGAAACTGGGCACTTCCCAGTGATGTTTTTAAGGAATCCTATTCTAGGTATTTTTAGTTTTAAGAGTTGTCCAACTTGGTACATAAGGATCATTATATTCAATTTTGAACCTATACTTTAAATGCACTGTCATAGAGAATTACATGTTCTTTATCTGTTTGTGTTAAAGAATACAACTTCACACATCTTTTTTTTTTTCAATTTGTTTTAGTACATAGTACTTTGATTCAATGGAGAAATGGATATTCACCTACATGTAAGCCTCAAATAAGGTCAGAATCGTCTGCACAACTATTACAGGGAAGAAAGAAAAGACATGTGAGTGAAACAGTTTTAGGTAGGTTAAAATGAGGCTATGACCAATATTTTTTATTGAAAATAAAAAAAATTATCTTCAAATAACCATGTCTCATGGGACTGTATAATCCAGAACACAAAGCATCTACGACCCTGTGAGCCTACTCATGTAGCTAATTCAGAATTGGTAGAGTGGTTATCTACCCACTTTATGGCAACTAAGGGTTTCCTACCTATATTCCCTAACTATTTTCAATCAACTATCATTTGGACAGGATTTAGTTTCCAAGGCTGTTCTAGACTAAAACTAGGTCAGTCCACGTCTGCCTGACAGAAATTTATTACCATTTCTAAATTACTCAGGACAGTGAAAAAGTGGTCAAAATTCAACTAAGGTAATCAGCCATTTTGTTCAGTTCTCTTTTGTAGTCTTGATGGTTCCAAGATGATCAAAAGATATCACTGGAAACTAGAAGTCTATTAATAGCACGTGTACTCTGTTGTGAGGACTTGGGAAGATAGTCACGTTACTGTTAATGATAAAAAATGGCAAGATACACTATATATTTTGTTTCTTCAGTTGTTCTAGTGAATATAAAACTATATTCATTTTTCAAGTCTTCTCCAGAGACAATATGCCCATAAAATATCCAATAAATTAAAAATTAGTTACATCCAAAATGTACTGACTGACCTATAATTACACACAATGGAAATATATTTATCTCTAATCTTCAGAAATCCCTTATAAAACAGACCAAGTTACTTATCTAATCAAGTACATTATAAAACAAAATGAACAAACTCCAATAAAACTAGAGGTATCCTTATTTTTTTTAGTGTCTTTTTTTTTTTATGACACTGGGGTGTAAACTCAGGATCTTGCACTTCAGCAAGCACTTTAGCACTTGAGCCATGCCTCTAACCCTAGTGTCTAACTCTTAAGAACAGACAACCAGGAATACCTAGTTTTTAAAGAACTTCCATATACACATACCAAAACACAATTTATCTCTAAATAAAATTATGAAATATTCATAACCTAATATAAAATTTCACTTGAATCGACTAATACTTTAGATCATTTCAAGCTTAATGGATATACAGTGATAAATAAATGAATTTATAAATTATAGTAAGTAACTCTGAAAGTACAGGACAGCTGGCCCAGTCTCAGTGGCAAATCACTGTCATGAAAAAATGAACTATTCTAAGTTACAAGAAACCTAGAACACAATAATCAACTTCAATGTGTACATTCTGATGGGAAGAAACTGTAAAACAGGATGTTTAACAACTGAAGAAATGTAAACATGGACTGGGTATTTTTATATTATTCAAGAAAATACTTCTTTTCCTTTAAAGAGTCATACCAAAGTAACATAAACAAGGGCAAAAAATAAGTGAGTAAATAAGTCAGGCGTGGTGGCACATGATTGTAATTACTGCACTCAGGAAGCATTAGTAGAAAGGTCACACATTGGAGACCCTGTCTCAAAAAAAAGAACAAACATGTATATATAAAAAGAAAAAAAAAGGGAACAAAAGGAAGGAAACACAGGTACCAATAAAAGTAAGTATCTAGGAGAATGAGAAATTGTAACCATGAAACACAAATAGGATGCTATAAAAATGAATACCAGAAAGTAACTATTAGAATTTAGTGCTTTATAGAAAAATGTCAAAATTACTGAATAGAGTTCAGATCAAGATAAGAACAGAAAAGTCATTTGAAATAAGAAAATTAAGATTACTCCTGACAGTACAGTCTCTGTAGTAGTCACAGAAAACATGGCAAAGAGAACAGATCAGATTACTTAAAAATATGAAACATATTGGACAAAAAATGCCAAGGCCCCAGAAAACAGGTACTTGCAGCAAAACTACGGGTATAATTTCCTTTTGTTTTCTGATACATGAATTGAAAAACATCCAACAAACAGATAAGGTCAATCACCTTTCACCTAATTGGAAAAATAATTCTAAACCCCAATGGTCATGTTTAATGTGCAACATTCTGAAGGCTTCTTTCCATGACAGGAGAAAGAACGACATTTGAAGAATTAGCTTTGCAACGCACAGAACCAGGATCCCATTGCAATTTCACTGCTGTCTCTAATGTCAATGTTATATCAAGAACCCAGAATTCATCGTCACAAGTAAGTTTCTTTTTTTCTGTACACTGTAACTCTTAAACTGCTTTATAGATTTTTGAAATAAAACAAGCTGACAAAAACTTATAGAATACTTTGCTAATTCGTATCAGGCTTATTTACTAGTACATTTAGAACACTCTCGATAGGAAATAACAAATCTGATTAAATAAAACATTTGTTAATTGGAAGCTAACATCTTTTTAATCTGTGGTTATGGAGTCTTTTTCTTTAAAAAATTTAATCATGGCCAACTATATTACTTGTAACATATAAAGCTAAATACACTCTTGCCAATGAGTGTTTAGGACTTGTGTTCTTAATCTGTTGTTTTTTTGCCATCTGGCCCAGGACTAGGTAGAAATGAACATTGTGAAGCTTGCAGACCAGGACACACAAATGAAGATTATAATAATGACCTTTACTAAAGTGCTCACCAAAAAAATATTTCCTAGCTTTTCCTAGTAATTTGTGCACATAAATATACATTATAATCTGCCAAGAAATTATACTGCTTCATGAAAGAGAGGCATACTTAATTGGTTTTCTTAACATTTTATAATCAGATTTTATAACACTATATTTACTAATACTATGTAACAGGTACTCTACATATTATCTTTATGTAACTAATAAAAGGTTATCAGTACAGATAACTAGATACTATCCTAAAGTAGTATGATAATCCTGTTTTGCAGAATACTTTACGACGAAGGTTAAGAAGTGAGAGTTCATATGACATAGATAACATTGTGATTCCCATGTCATTAGTTGCCCCAGCTAAGTTAGAGAAACTCCAATATAAGGAAATAATTACTCCAAGGTATGTATATTTATACCTATTTTTCTTTCTATAATAAGTTAAAGTCAGAGTGAAGTTAGAATTTTAGTTGAGAGGAGGATGCACCCTCCTTCCTTCTCTACATATACATATACATACACATACATATATACATATACATACACATACACATATACATATACATACACATATAAATATACACACACATACACATATATACATATACATACACATACACATATACATATACATACACATACACATATACATATACATACACATATACATACACATACACATATACATACACATATACATAGTCATGGGGAAAAATGGTGAAAGGAAACTTGACATTACTTATGCTGAAGAAAAAGTGCCACATAGTCTCACTTTACTTTTCAGTTTTTATTAAGAACTGAGAATTTGTAAACTGATTTGCTTAAATCTTTTCAATTATATTTAGGGACCTAATATGTACATGATACTAGAATGATACCTTAGTGATATAAAAGAACATCAAACAATCCTTCCTCTTAAAAGACAAAGGTGCATGTGGTTAAAAAAAGTTCAGAGAAAGCAACTAACTACATTTGTATAATGTTTTCACACCACTGTGAGACAGTAACACCTGTGACAACAAAAGAGATTCTGCAAATAAACACATTAAATATAAAAATGAATGGGAAAGTCTGGGAAGACATCCATGAAGGCAGTTATTTACATAGGGAAACTACAACAAAGGCACATGGACATGTGCACAAGGCTTAGCCAGGTATTAAGGGTTTGCTAGGTTAATAAAAGGAGGTAAGGTTAGAAAAGAACCAAACCATGGGGATCCCTGAATGCTATACCTGCTTCTACCAGTGTAGTGAGCTTTTTTTTTTGTTTTGTTTTGTTTTTATCCTTTAACCAATAATGAAAGCAGTTTCTTAAAAATATGAATATAGCACCACTATGGAGTAGAGATTGAACAGGTTGAAAATCAAGACATGAGCCAGGCGACAACCAAAGATAATTCTTACCCAACTCTATTTAATTCTGTAAGTCCTCCTATTATTTCATAATTGCTCTGAGGTATTAAGAGAAATCTAGTACTCTGGGAAGTACTGTGAGAACTCCCATGAATATACTACTGCAATTTTCTCCAGTGAAGAGTATCATTTAAAAGAGCTCATAAATTTAAATACTAAGTTTTTAAAAGATAGGTTAATAAAATATGCCTTCAGATTGGCATGAGAGCATAGTTCAAAACACAGACACTTTTTAACTAGTGAAATCTAGTAAACTGTATTGGAGATTTTTAACTTGGTTATATTGATATTTAGATTTAATAATATGTACATATATGGAGGACTTTACAAAATAAACTATGTGTGCTAAATTGTACAATTAAAAAAAAGAGTATCATTTATGGTTATGGTGTTCTATAGCAACAATGTTTTCAACCTGCAGTGGAAGACTAGGGCCAGGGTAGACCTGGCTATTAAATAGAATTCTGTGAGCCGGCTGTTAAACTCTTGATAGCTCTGGAGTCATGATAAGCATTTCCACTCCAAAGAAACTGGCAAACACTACAAGGCAGGTTTTTTAAACTTCTTTTTGGCCTAACCAATTTATCAGCATACCAATGACTTCAAAGTCAGTACATAATGCAGCTAAGAAGAAGAGACTGTCCACTATAAAAACAAAAGTAAAGACTAGTCTTCTCCTTGTCCTTTTCTAATAAAAATATTTTTTTCTCTTTAAAAAGTATTAAAGTACAACCATTTGAATTATGGAAATCCCAGGACATAAAAAACTAATGTATTTAGTTATGCTTGGAGAACAAAACTGCTACATTTAGGTAAATAGAAGCTGTTTGACATTGGTTTGTATCTTCAATAGCTGGAGGATGGTTATTCTTCAACCTTTGGATGAATATAACTCAGGTGAAGAAGAGGTAAGCTGTCTTTAATTTAATGTGATAATTGAACCATATATACATACATATATATAATGATGCCTGCTTAATTTGACATTTAAGATAAAACCCTTTAACTTCTGATTTTTTTCATTTATGAAAATAAAGGGTGTTTTTTCAAAGTGAATATTAATTTTATTAAAAATGTTTGTGTGCAAATTTAACAAGATATTAATGTATAACCATTAAGCCCATCTCAAAAACAAAACAAAAACCCCAAGAAAAGTAATGTGGTACATCTATCATGGTAATACCCAGAGTCCAGGACAGTTCTTATAATATTAACCAAATATTAATGTTTCTGTAGCCAAATATGCACAGTAAATAAAATAAACATGGAAAACTACCCTCATACCACTTCAGATCAGGCTGTCAATTCTATGAAAAACTTGGGTTATTTTTTTATATTTAGGATTTAAAAATTATAGGTAAGGGACCGCAGAATTTTGGATCTGTACAAGTAAAATTACACTAAAATAAGAACAGTTACAGGAAAAAACAATGTTTGATCGAATTACTTCCAAAGTTATGGGCTCTAGAAGCAGTATTATTTAAAGACAGTTTCTGTCAAGTAATAATGCTTCTAAGGCAAGCAGTCAATTACCAGATACCTTAATGCCCTTTCTTCTTCTAATGCACTTGTACTCCTGCAGAATGATGCTAGCCAAATTCCCAAACATCATAACCAAAATAGTTATCCAGGTTAGAACCCCAGATAAGTCATTAAATCTGATTTATCTCAGTTTTACTTTTCTTTGATATTAATATGTACTTAAAATACTGTGTGCTCCACAATGTATAATCAATAAAAACTGAGGAATAAAGCATTAAGACTATTTTACATAGCTGTGGCAAAATGGAAAGCACCACGAACCCTTTTACAATCCAAGTAAGTGCTGAAACATGAGCCAAGAGTAAAAAATTAAAAAAAAAAAAAAGTTTTGGACTCCCAAGTTTCGGGAATTTGAAGTTAATCTAACATTTGTTCTTGCTACTGATAGTTTGCACATATTTTTTAGGTTGCTTGCTATTGTTCTGTAGAACTGTTTGAAACCTATTCTTATATTTCAAAAGGCTTCTCATAAAGCAAAATTTTTCTAATTCCAGATAGAAGATCTTTCTGATGAAGTCTTCTCCCTAAGACACAAAAAATATGAAGAGAGAGAGCAAGCCAGGTGGTCACTATGGGAGCAAAGCAAGTGGCACAGAAGAAACAGCAGGCAAGTATTTTAAATTTCAAGTCTAATACTGTTGAATCCATATGGAATGAACAAAAATTCTGCATGAGTTTTGTCAGGACCAGTAAAAAAGGTGAGCTATCAGCTATTCATGTACTAATATGTATAGTAACACACTGCATATACTCAGCTTATATCCAGAATATATTTAGCTCATTACATAATGATGAAATGAGTTTCTGTATTTTACTCCATTCTATTTCTCATGTTTGTTACTAGCCTCAGCAATAGATTAAGCTAACTAATAGTATGAAAATTTTCTCTGTATATAAAGTAGATCATTTCAGCCAGGCATGGTGGTGCATGTCTATAATCCCAGCACTTGGGAGGCTGAAACAGGAGGATCACAAGAATTACACCAGTTTAGGTTATACAGTGAGGCCTCATCTCAAAAGAGCAAAACATCCAATAACAACAAAACAAAAAAGCAGGTCATTTCAATCCACTTTTAACAGTGGGCTGAACACTGGGGACTAGAATTTAGGTAATCCATTTTAACAGAACTATTTCAAAAATACCACTACTTGAAAAAAAAATTTCTTGATAAACTTGTATCATCTACAAGGCAAATTGTCTAAAGTACTTTTAAAAACAAACAGATGTGGGTGTGGTGGCACACCTGAAATCCCAACACTCAGAAAGCTACTGTAGGATAATTGTGAGTTGAAGGCCAGCCTGGGCTACATGGTGAGATCCTGTCTCAAAAAACAAAACACAAATAGACTGTGGGGGAAAGGGAGAATAAATAAGACATCATTAATAATTACTATTTAAAAGAATCCCTGGTATTTTATACTTACATTTCATTATTTTTAATATAGCCCAAACTCAAAATGCAAGATCATGTGACGTGTGGAAGTCACTTCAGTGAAGGGTTATCTTTCATTTAATTAGTACTGTTAAAACACCTTTCTCTGTTTAGGTCTGAAGATAGCCAGATCTGCTGTAAATCCTTATTCAAAGAGTTCTAACATAAATGAGATTCTGGAATGCTCATCCTTGTTCTCACAGTCCAGAAATACAGAGGAAAAGATGAATTGAAACCTTCATGAATGACATTACAGCAACTAAAGAACTGCCCTTTCTTGTCTTCCAAAAAACAAAAAGCAAACCAAACAAAACAAAAACAATAGTGAACAACAATAAACCATTAGGATAATAATAGCATCAGGAAGGTGATCGTATGATTTTTAAGTCTTAGGCAGAACTGATTAAAGTAAAGCTACTAAGTTAATTTGACTTAGTGATAAATCTTATGTTCATAAAATGTTCAGATAATACAATTTATTATTTTCTTGCTAGAGCGTACAGTAAAAACGTTGAAGGGCAGGACTTGCTTTTGAAAGAATACTTTAATGACTTCAGTAGTGGTCAGCAATGTGCTGCTGAAAGTCCTCCAGCACTTCCTTCAGAGAACCATGACCTGTGTGCTCACGACTCACCTTCAAGTGAAAGTCAAGAAAGTAGGGTAAGTGTGGTATTTGTGAGAAACTTCCTTTTAATTGCCCTTTAACTTTGTTTTTACTTGCATATAGAAACTGCTTATTGCAAAGTAAGTTTATCATTACATATCAGATTCAGTGAGACAACTCTTAAGAGTGTGGGTAGGACTCAAAAATATCTGTATTGCAGCATTCCACTTCCATCCATCATTAACTGCAATCTTTTTTATTTGCATAGAGTATTAGTACCAACTTCCACCTGCTTCACTCACCTATTACAGAAGGGGGATGCTATTAAAAGTTTTATTATAAAACAAGTATGATCAATGGGGAATAGCATCTGGTACACAGTAAACGCTAGCTGGTGTTGCTCTTCCGCCTTTAAATGAGGTTTTTACTTGTCTCCCCATAGATCCCAGTTTCTGCTTTAGGAAAATGTTTTCTAATAAAGTTCATGCATCTTTTTTTTATAAATAGGTATTAAAAAAAGAACTAGCTCGAGAATGGAGTGGAGACTACAGAAATTAATAGGCAAGTTGCAGAAAGATCAGCAGGAAAAAAGTCAATCAGTATCTGTAAAAATGATGAAACAGAAAGGAAGGTATTGAAGCAGAAGTGGATCAAACTTAAGAACACTTTTTAAAGAGTTTCCCTAATGTGCTCTAAGGCTGAAAATGAAAACTACTGTCCTATGGCAGCATTTCCTCTTCTGAATAGATGCAAAGAGAAGAAATAATTCTAAAAAGTCACTAAATTCTCAATACATTCCACATTGAGCTAAGATATTTACGTCCAAAGGAAAAATCTGTACATTTATATGCTAAAAAACCAGAATAGTTATTATGAAGTTGGTATTTATACATCACTTATACATGAACAAAGCAAATTAGTTGAAACTTAACTGAAAATATTTCCCCTTTCAGTCTTTGTGGTGGGAACGACGAGCTTTTCCACTGAAGGATGAGGACTCAGCAGCCTTACTATGCCAGGATGAAAGAATGGATCAAATTGAGAGGGCAAGCACGGCTTTCCATGGTGAAGTCTTCTGCACCAGTGCACCAGAGAATGGCCATCATCCAAAAAAGCAGTTAGATGGGATAGAAAAGCATAAAACCTTTGGTCTAGGACTTACTAATGGTAAAAAAAACAGGTGACAGGAAACACCTTACGAAAATTATGTAGCTGAAGGGAAGAAGGGAAAACAAAAAGCCCTGTTCTGGACCTTTCACCCAGTCTGGTTCTAATTCCAGAATACAAGAATGTACTGCATGTATTCATCATTTATGCTGTTCACGAAAGAGGCAAGATACATCGCATTTTCCTTCTTGAACCACAAAAGTAGCTAGCTTTTCATCTATAGACAAGTGCTAGACATTTATATTTATCATACAAATTGTAAGCACCAAGATATTAACTATTGCAGTTTGATGCCAAATCAGATTACTGGGTAATTTTTAAAACTATCACTTCACCACTCCCTGCACACAAACACATGATTTACATAAAACGACAGCTATTCTTTCTTCTGTTCATATGGTAATTAAAACTGCCTCAGAAATATATTAGAATTACAAAAATGTGTGCATAAAATATATTCATATATTCAGACATGCACAGTTTTATAATTACACTAGAAATGTCCACCACTCCACTTAAAAATGCATGTATGCCCTACCCTATGCAAACTAAGCTGCAATATAAAGCACAGGTTTCTACTGATTAAAGACAAAAGTCATGACTATGAAGAGGGAGTTTTTGTTTTTGCTGCTGAACCAACAGAAGTTTTTTATGTAAATTGTTACATCAGATAGCACAATACTCACTTTCTCGAAACCACTGGTATCTCGTGAGCTAACCACTTCTAACAGAATTAAGACAAGCAAATTAGGAGTAAAATATTGGTGCATTTCAGAACTATTACCTTTTGAAAGTTCAAATTGAATTTTGCCTACTTTATGTACCTTGTAGAAAGACACCAATTTAAAATGTGCAACAAAAAGTCCCAGCATTACAAAATTTTTAAATGGTTGTAATTCTAGCTAATGTCTAGCTAGTATAGAAACCTTATTTTATTTCTAGCTAATTTGGTTCTTCCTTGCCATCGCTCACACTACTAAAATAAACATCTATTCTTACTTGCATCTTAGATTGAGAATTAACAAATTTTTCAAAGATCAAGACTTCAGCAGTGGATACTAAGGAGTGTACATTAAGGAAAATTCCTTTTGCAGGTGTGATTTCATTTTTTTTTCTATGTGAAAGTTGAGGACAATTTGTATGAATCAATTTTGGTCATGTAAAAATGGTTATTCAAGTTATAGTACCCATATTACTAAAACTCCTAGCTGTTTGGCCTAGAGTCTGTGGAATCTGACACTAAGTTTTTGTTCAGGATTGGAAATTATTCCGGTCCCTATAAAGGGGAAAAACATTCAAATTCAACACTTACAAACTTTTGCTTATAGTTTTACTGTACATTTATTTTTAAAGAAAAAGAAAACAAAAGCCAAAAAGACAAACTCAAGTTGTCCTGGCAAATAAATTCAAATCTTTGTCATGTCTGATATTATAATCTTCTACGTAAGTTTTTTAATTAAAGTTATTTCTATATGCCCATGTGTTGTGTGATTTGATTAAACGCTACCTATTCATGGCACAAACCTTTCCTTAGCCAAAATAAAAACAAACATTAAAAAACAAAACTGTACCTTGTGGGGCAGGAAAAAACCTAAGCAAGTTCTATTCCATACGTGTTAGCATTCTTAGCTTTTTAACCTTTCTCAAAACTCAAAGTAGCTTTAAGAAATTTAATACTAGTCCTGTTATTTCTTGCCATATTTATCAGATAGCAAGAGTATTTAGAAGAATGAAGTAGTTGAAATATATATATAGTCTTTATATAATTGGGAACATAGTTATAAATACTTAAGATTATGGATTAATTCTGTATCCTGTCATTCTTAGCCTACCTGGTCTTTCTTGGAATACAATATTTATCCTTGGGGTCAAGATCCATGGTTCCACTATATTCTCCGCCCAGCTGGTTCCACAAACCAGGTTAAGTTAGACTGAAAATAAGATAATGTTAAGTAAAAGAAACATTTATTCTAACCCACCTTCCAAGGGCTCTATTTGTTTCCTTTTTTTAAAAAACAAATACAGATTAGAAATCTTACACATTACTAGATCCTACTGCTGAGCTTTACTTTCTTCGTTTTTTAAATGGGACAAAAATACCTGTCCTACCACTTACAGGAGTAATTTTAAGATTATACTGAAATACTTCATAACTCACAAAACACAAACTAGACATTTTGTATTGAGTATCCTCTAAATTCTAGGAACCCTAGTGGAAGCTTTCTACTTATCATGTTACTTCTTTTAATCTACAACACAACCCAGTATGGTTGTTACAGTTCTATTAACATATAATGCGTTAATAGAAGTACAGAAGGGTCAGGTGATTTGCTAAGGTCAAACAGCCAGAATCAATATTCAACCTAATGTAAATTACAGAGGCTTTACTTACCCCTTGTGATCACAACTAGCACAGCAGCATTATTTCCTGTCCTTAAGAATGGTCAGTGAGAGTAAAAAAGCCACCGGCTGTGATAAAGCAAACACCTCACCTTGATAAAAATCTATGCACAGATTTTAAAACCTTTGGGCTTCATACAGTGTTTTTACAGTTTTTAATGGATCAAGTATAAGATAAAAAATGAAAAGTAAACGTTTCAGGAGTAAGACTATGTTATTCCATTGTATGCAAGCTTGTATGTTTTAGTTCCACTGCGCTCATATCAAACATAAAAACAAACCACAACTGACATGAAACAGAAAAAAACATAGGACTTTCTTTGCTTTTGGAAAATGGCTGGGAAACAAGACACTCCTTTTAAAAATACAAAGAAAACTTTTCTTCATAGTAGCTAATACGCTTTCCTTAGGCATTAAGACACATTTCTACATATAACCTTAATATAGCCATATTTTACTCTTTACAAAAATCAATTCTCCCAGTAAAAACAGGGTATTTCACTACATTAGTCTTTAAATTGCATCACTAAAAATGTAGTTATACACACCAATTTCTAATCTCTTGGAACATTCTGCAAAATAGATTTTAATCACTGGAATGAATTGCTCAGAAAAGCGGCACTGACTCAAATGCAATATTATTTGGTAGTCAATATTCCTGTTTTCCAGTAAAAAGGTTTCATAAGCAAACAATGGGTTCCTGGTAGTTTCATCGATCAAGAGAACGTTTCTGAGCAGCTTCTGAGCAAACATTTCTTAGTAAGTTGATCACGGATCTGGGGTCTTCACTCCTCATAATGGCACTGCCAGACACAATCATGTTAGCACCTGCCTGGAAGAAGTAAATACTTAGGTTATGCCTTAAAAGAAAAACCTACAATGCAATTCCTGGAGTAGAGTTTCTATCTCTACCTCTACCAGAAGTAGTTCAACTATGCAAGAAGTTAAAAAATGAGTATGTAAAATTATTTTTAAATGTGTCTAAGAAATTAACTTTTTGTTAAGCCAATTCTAAATAAGCTATATGGCATCTAATCCAAGATTTAGATAAGGTTTTAAACACTTTAATGCTCATTCTATTAAGGTTTTCTCCCAATATATACCAATGCCCCTAGAGATACTAAAGACACAATTGGCTAATTTTTGAATTATTTATGTGAATTTATAGATAATAAGGAAGGACAATTATTGGAAAAATATGAAACTATTTATAAAACACTGAGAACATTAAAGATTTCTCATTTTGTGGCAGAATGAATGTCCCTTTATTTAAGTTTCCCTAGCATTCTAGAATGGTTCTGAGGTGGCTTAGAAAAGATTTTCAAGATGATTTTTTTTAATGTGGAAGCAAAGAAATGAAAATAAATTGGAAAACTCAAATAAATGCCTCCAAATTTAGCTCTGAGCTTCCTAGGATTTTGACCTAGGAGGAAAACCCAATCTATTGCATGATTCTTGTTACTTGGAGAACCACAAACTGAGGAAAAATTTCTCAGTAAGAACTGGTCACTCTATGACAGAGCATTACATCTCTAACAACTTTCCTCATAGAAATCATAAAACTAAATATTTTACCATCACCCCTTAACATGTCTCTTCATTTAACCAAGAACAGCACAATAGCAAAGAACAGTATAAAGCAATTCTACAAAGGTCCAAAGGATTGTTATGTTCATGTGGCCAACTCCTCTTCCATAAATTATCTAGCCCAGGCTTGACAGTTATCACTCCCAAGCTTTTTTTTCTTTCTTTCTTTCTTTGTAGACCAGACTGTTCTTATACTGTTGATCCTCCTGCCTCTGCCTCCTGAGTGACTGCCAAGAACTAGATAAGTATATGGATCAAGCAGAAAAACGTGGCCATTACAGAAGACTCTGGAAATCAACACTACACTGCTGAATAAAAGTAGGCTATGTAAACTTTAATCACCTGTAGTGCCATAAGAAGAACTGACATCCTTTCAAAGCATAGGAGCACAACTTAGCTAGGCTAGCTACCTGGAAAAATCAAATATTCCTCTTCTACTTACAGGATCAAATGGGTATCAGGCCTAGATTTGCACTGAAAATAGTCAAGATTTCCAAAACACTGGCATTCAACATAATCTTTCTTCAGGCTGGGTGCAAGGGTGTACACTTGTAATCTCAGCACTTACGAAGTTGAGACAAAATCGAGGGTTTGCAGCCATCCTGGGCTAGATAATGAATTTGAAACAGGGCTACATAGCAAGACTCTGACTCAAAAGTTAAAAAAAAAAAAAATTGTGGGACAAGGTGAATAACACCTGCAATCCTAGCTACTCAGGAAGCAGCAATCGAGGATCACAGCTCAAGGCCCACCCAGAAAAAAAAAATTAGCCAGACCCAATCTTAAACAGCTGGGCATAGTGGTGCATGCCTATAATCCTAGCCACCTAGAGACATAGGCAGGAGGATCTCTATCTGAGGCCAGCCCAGGAAAAAAATGCAAGACCCTATTTGGAAAATAACTATGGGTGTGATTGAAGTGGCAGGGTGCCTGCCTAGCAAGTGCAAGACCCTAAGTCCAAACACCAGCACTACCAGGAAAAAAAGCATGAAAACTTTTTCCGTCAGCATTACTCAGATATTCAGGACTTATTATGTAGCAAGCAATTCGTGTCACTTTAGAAATTCACTCATTGCTCTTTATCATATTATGAAATGGTATACTATGGAGCTGGTCTACTCACAGTCAGGAAGAACTTACCTCTGCACATTTATGAACAGTGTCAGGACCTACTCCACCATCAACCTCTATATCCAAAGATGGGAACTGGGTTCTCAGCCAGTGAACCTAGACATACATGAAGAAATAGTGATTTCTAAAGTAAATATATGGGAAAAAAAAATCAAACAAACAAAAAAACAAATGGCAAATACTAGCCATTAAAACTCCAAATTTCTCATACAGTAACTACATCAGTACAAAACATTATTGGGAATCACTTGCTTACTTGCTTTTTGGGAGAACTAGGATTTTGAACCTAAGGCCTCACACTTGCTAGGCAGAAGCTCTACCACTTGAGTCACCTCCAGACCTTTTCTGCGTTTAGTTGTTTTCCAGTCTTGCATTTTTTATATGGGGCCAGCATGGGTCATACCTAGGTCATACCTCCTACCTATGCTTCCTATGTAGCTGGGACCACAGATGCGTATCACCACACTTGGCTTTTTGGTTGAGATGTAGTCTCACTAACATTTTGCCTAGGCTGGCCTCAAACTGCAATTCTCTTAATCTCTGCCTTTTAGGTAGCTGGGATTACAGGTATACCACCACATCTGACTTACTTGCTTTTTAATGTACTATAACAAATTTAAAAGCAGGTTTTGTTCTGTTTGGCAAGTAACAATTCAATTCGTCACAGCTTTACAGACACTATACTTTATGGAAACAAGATAAACCCTCATTATTCAATGAAAACTCCCAAGAATCCTAAAGGTTACAAAGGTAACAGTTTTGAAAGAAAATTTCACAATACAGATTTAATATCAGTTTTGATTTTAAAACCTAACTCTATACAGCATTTATCACCTCATCTCCATAAGCAGACATGTCTTGATAGGTAAGGCTTTCAACATATGTACACTGAATAAACATAGTAAAAGCCTCGCCCCTCCCAAATCGAACATTTCTCTTACCTTTGGCATCATATCTTCCATGAATTTCTGCCCTCCAAACCCAGGTTCCACTGTCATAACCAAGGCCATATCTATTTGATTAGCCCATGGTGCCAAATACTCAACTGTAGTTCCTGGTTTGATGGCAAGGCCAACCTGTAACACAGACAAATATGCTACATCACATTAACTATTATTTCCCTCCTCTGTTACTGAGGCATGTCAGGACCAGCAGAAATACCAGACTTCAACTATGGTTTCACAGCTGAAGAGTAGCTGCTTGCAACATAACTTCTTTACCTATCATTTCTTGTTTTCTACCAAACCTTCCAAACTCTGAAAGGGAAGAGTATAAAACACCACTATTATTACTGACTTACCTTCATCCCATTCTCCCGGATGTCTTTAATCAAAGCCCCTGGGTTCTCAGTAGCCTCGAGATGAAAGGTATATTGATTGGCTCCTGCTACAGCCATTGGCTTTACCCACTGCTCTGGCCTGGACACCATCATGTGCATGTCTAGAAAGAAAAAGTAAGAGTTACTGGAAGGAAAATACCTGGCTAACATTACTGAAAACCAGCTGACAGTTTTCTGTCAAATACATATTCTTCTGGCATGACAGAAACTATTCTAGTAGGCATATTTCAGTATAAGTAGTTTCCTTTTAACCTAAAGAGAGGATTGGTTAAACTTGTTTATGGAAAAAGGCATTTTTCCACAAAAAGTATATGCTGCTATATATGAAGAGTAATGGTGAGAAGTCAGAAAACTATCTAGATCTGAGAAATAATATTCTAAAAAACTTATATAAATCACACTATCTTTCCAGCCTTATTTCCTCTCAGAAAGCTACATTTGGTGATTCATTCCACTTATGCTTTCAAGCAAGCTTTACTGAGCACTTACGGTACCATTACATTATAGGTTTGAGGAATGGAGCCAGAAACAGATTTCTGACTGCTATTTCTCTGGTGTCTTGAGCTAAGACTAACAATAAGCAACAAAAGAAGATACAAACTAGGTTAGAGTGATAAGGCTAGAGAGTGTGGGACAGGGACAGTACTGAAAGGAGCAGACAAGATCAGAGAAATATGCAGTGAGGAGAGACAACACAGAGCTCTGCGGGCCATCGGGCTTTATCCAAATAAGATGGAAAAACACCACAGAATTTTGAGTGAAGTGAAAAGGTCTGATGAAGGAGACTACTAGGATAAAAACCTGGGAAAGGACAGCAACAACTGAGGATGTTCTGAAGATAGAAGCAATAGGAGTTGATGATAGCTTGAGATGTAGACGGCAAGAGGAAAGTCAAGAAGATGAGGCCAAGGATGAGTCTGAACAAGGAGAAGCATGGAAGTGCTGTTAATTGAGTGGCAGAAGACTACAGGAGGAGGGACAGACTTAGAGGGAGAGGCAGGGTGACTAAAAGTCTAATATTTATCCTAATTTTAATGGTTGAGTCATATAAATATGTAACGGGAACATGCACGTGGCTCCCTTAAGGTTTTTGATTTAAAACATAGTAGCATTTTGTGAGAGGAAGGCAGTTTAAGAGCTAGCCCAAGAAATAAATCTGAGAAGAACCCTGTGTTGGACAGATGATAGTGAGGGATTTCTGTTTTGATAACATAACTTATGTTCTGACATAACTAAGTTGCATTTAAGGAAAAAAATTAAAATACTCCAGACCTTGACTACGATGATAACATTTAATAAAACCTTAGGAAAAAAATTAGGAAGAGTTAGACTAATAAAACCAAGAATAAAGTACATATTTCTAAATTAGCAAAAATAATTCAATCAGAACATATTTTAACAGGTAAAACTATATTTTTAAAAAAATATATTCAATCTGGGACTTCTTATTTTATTGTATTATAAACAAGGCAAATTCACTCTGGCTTAAAATATTTAGTTAACTCATTCCTCAAGTTAGCAGAATGCTATGATCCTTACTCAATCTCTAGCATGCAGTAACTATTAGCAACCCTCACCGGAAAGTCTCCACAATTTCAGGAAATCATAGTTCAGCAAATCTGCCTATAGTTAATATAAGATGAACAATTCTCAAGCATTCCAGAATCAGGCTCCCTTTATACTCTTAAAAACTACAGAAGATCCTCCCCCCTCAAAAAACTTCTGTTGATATGGGTTAGTTTTATAGATATTTAATAGAGTAGAAATTCAAACTAAAGCATTTAAAGTATCTACTTATTCATTAAATAATAATGAAGAAAATGGTAGTTCTCCCTTATCCATTGTCTCACTTTCTACAGCTTCATTTCCCAGGTTTTCTGTAGTCAACTATAGTTGGAAACAGAAAATCCTAGAAATAAACAATTCATAAATTTTAAATTGAGTACCCTGCACCATCCTGCTCTGCAAATGATCCCTTTGTCCACTGTATCCACACTGTATACACCACCTGCCCATTAATCACTTAGTGACCATCTTTTTTTTTTTTTCTTTTTTTCATTTTTCTTTTATTATTCATATGTGCATACAAGGCTTGGTTCATTTCTCCCCCCTGCCCCCACCCCCTCCCTTACCACCCACTCCACCCCCTCCCGCTCCCCCCCCTCAATACCCAGCAGAAACTATTTTGCCCTTATCTCTAATTTTGTTGTAGAGAGAGTATAAGCAATAACAGGAAGGAACAAGGGGTTTTGCTGGTTGAGATAAGGATAGCTATACAGGGCATTGACTCACATTGATTTCCTGTGCGTGGGTGTTACCTTCTAGGTTAATTCTTTTTGATCTAACCTTTTCTCTAGTACCTGTTCCCCTTTTCCTATTGGCCTCAGTTGCTTTAAGGTATCTGCTTTAGTTTCTCTGCATTAAGGGCAACAAATGCTAGCTAGTTTTTTAGGTGTCTTACCTATCCTCACCCCTCCCTTGTGTGCTCTCGCTTTTATCATGTGCTCATAGTCCAATCCCCTTGTTGTGTTTGCCCTTGATCTAATGTCCACATATGAGGGAGAACATACGATTTTTGGTCTTTTGGGCCAGGCTAACCTCACTCAGAATGATGTTCTCCAGTTCCATCCATTTACCAGCGAATGATAACATTTCGTTCTTCTTCATGGCTGCATAGAATTCCATTGTGTATAGATACCACATTTTCTTAATCCATTCGTCTGTGCTGGGGCATCTTGGCTGTTTCCATAACTTGGCTATTGTGAATAGTGCACTTAGTGACCATCTTAATGATCAGATCAACAGTCACAGTATCACAGTGCCTGTGCTCAAGTAACTCCTATTTAATTTGATAATGACCCCAAAACCCAAGAATAAAGATGCTGGAAATTCAGATACACCAAAGAGAAGCTATAAAGAGCCTCCTTTAAATATCATCTCACATTATCACAAGAAAGTTGAATATAGTAAAGTCAGAAAATCTGACAAACTGCATTCTTAGAGCTTTTTTTAAAGTATACTGTTAAAACTTGTTTTACTATTAGTTATTATTGCTAATCTCAATATGCATAATTTATAAATTAAACGTTATCACAAGTATGTATGGATAAGGAAAAAACATAGTACAGACAATGCTCCTTGTCTTATAGTGTTTCAATTTGCAGTAGAAAAGTGTACTTTGATCTTTCACTGGGCTAGTGTTATGCTGTATGAGGCTTTCCTGTAATGTGGCAGTGAGCCACAGCTCCCAGTTAGCCATGTGATCATGAGGGTAATCAATTTATACTCTACAGTGTATTGTGCTGGGAGTATTTTTGAATACAGTTATTCAATAAGTTACATGAGATATTCAATACTTTGCTGTAACACATGCTTTGTTATATGACTTTGCCCAACTGCAGGCTACATAAGTGTCCTGACAGTTAAAGTAGGCTTGGCTAATCTAGGATGTTTGATAGGTATATTAATTCATTTTTCACTTATGATACTTTCAACCTATAATGCATTTACTGGGACATAACCCCATCTTAAGGTGATGCACATCTGTATTAGGAAACTGTCAAGCTCAGAATGACAAGATACAAATTTCTAGTCTCTTGCAAGCTCTAACTGTATCAGTGACAACAAAAATTGACAAGTGATTTCCCCTGAAGTGACAGTTTCACCTATGTTGAATGACAGTGAAACAGTCAAGTCTCTAAAACAAGTCTGTCAGTTACTTTTTTTTTTTAAAAAGCATTTCTGGAAAAACAGCTAGTTCAGACCATAACAAACTATGGTACAAGTGGTTTTCCCTGAGAAAACCATTCTACTTGCATATACTGCAGAAATGCTTTAGATGTAGTGCTACATCAATAATAAAAAGACATGTACTTAAGAATAGTACTTATTAAAATCCGTAATTTATTCTCTTTCACCAAAGATTCTTGCTGCAAACACATAGCAATGAAGCATATATTAACCACTGATTGTGGTTCTACCCACTGCACTGATCTCTGTTAAGGCATTAACAAATTAACTCACCACTGCCTTTGCACCATCAGTAAATAAACAACAAATATATTAGCATTAGGAAAATAGTTTGACCTCAGATGACTTGAAAAGGTCTTAAGGATTCCTACGGGTCCCTATTGCATACCTGAAAATTCTGATGTAGATAATAACAAGAATACTTTTTCTTTTTTAATTTTTTGGCAGTACTGGAGATTGAACCCAGAGTTTCACACCCTTTCTTAACCCTGTATTTCTTAGACGTTACTTCTATTCAATACTATTGACCAGTTAAGAACTTTAGAAATTATACATACAACTTGACCTAGTTCCTAAAATACATTTTCATGCATCAATTATCTAACAACCTAGATCCAAGAATTAAACAAAAAAATCTTTGTTTTCTTTTCTTGCAGTACTGGGGTTTGAACTCAGGGCCTTCATCTTCAGTCACGTGATGGGTTTTTCAAGATAGGGTCTCACTAACTATTTGCCCAGGGTTGACTTTGAACCATGGTCCTCCTAATCTCTGCCTCATGAGTAGCTAGGATTACAAATGTGAGCCACTGGTGTCTGGCAAAAAAGTTTTTTAATGTGAAAAACAAATGTTATAAAATCCAAACATTAGTCTATTGAGTGCATTCATCTTATTTTACACCAAATCCTAGAAAGATTAATTAGCAAGTCTATCAGCAAACAATAAACTTACACTAGGAAGAAAAAGCAGACTGTGCATGGTGGTGGCAGTAGAATAAGAACAAGGAAAAGACACTGATGGAACACAGAGAACAGTGAGAAATGATAGTATGAACCCAAATAAGAGAGAGAAAGGGAAAAACAAAAGTTTTTGACAAAGCAGAGGATTCTGTGGCTACTGTACAATGGAAGCAAACAATACTATTTATCACCTCTTTCAGTCATAACTTTAATTCACAAAAAAAAAAATCATTGCATCTGGAATAAGCCAATTAAAAAAAAGGAAGCTTAGATAATCAGAGGATTATAGTCCACCATTTGGATATTTCAAAATGATGAAATGGTGGAATGATGCTCCTTGCTCACACTGTAAGAATGAGGTAATAATGCATATTTTCTTTGGTCCTCAAAGTGGATGGACTCTACAGAGGCTCCAACCAGCAGAACTTCCTGAAAAGATGGAAATGTTCCATAACTGTACTGTACAAGATAATGGTCACTAGTCACATGTGGCTACTGAGGACGTGCAATGTGGTTAATGGAAGAGAAATGGATTTAATTTTAATTTAAATAACTACATATGGATTGTAGCTACCATACTGAACAACACAGCTAAAGTCCTTCATAAAACTGATTTACAATGTGGTGATTCAAAAAAAAAACCCTAAGTTCTACTAACTTCAAGAAATTATATAAAGCCGGTCATGGTGGCGCACCCTGGTAATCAATGAGGTGAAGAGGATGAGGCAGGAGGATCAAGAGTTCGAGGCCAGCCTGGGCTACACTTAAAAAAAATTATATAAAAACACTATTTACAAAAACTTATATAATTTCTCACATACAAGACATTTGGCAAGTGAGACATTGCTAAGTTAGCTTAAAACAACAGCAAAAATATGTGGACTGAATCTTTGTTCCACTGGAAGTTCCTAGTAATTGTGTGATCTTAAAAACCTTAGTTCACATTATCCTATGACAGTGAGGAGGAGGATATTTAGGCCCCATCTGTAGAAAGCACCAATTTGCAAGAAATGAATGGCTTCTAGACCATAAATCAGTCAAATGATTCATAAATTCAATTAACACTTGCAATGAGCTCCCATCAAGTAGCCATGCTTAGTTTTAAGAAAACCACAGTAAACAAGGGTCTCACCTCCCACTCATGGATTCTATTTATAGTCTGATAATCTCAGACAGAAAGAAGTTCTAGGAAGAAAATCAACAAGGTGATAATTTAGAAGGGTGTCTCTTAGGAGATAACAAATGAACCAAGGGTCTCTCTGAGGAGATAACAAATGACCCAAGGCCCAAAGATGAGGCAGTACGCCAGATGAAGAGCTTTCTAGACAGAGATTAGCAAGTGCCAAGCCCCTGAGACAGGAGTTTTGCTTCTTAAAGTCAGTGAAGACCCAGCACAGGAAGCAGGCAGAGGGAAAACAGGGAAAGGGTGCAAGATGAACTTGAAGTTAAGAAATACATCATGTACTTTTCCTTTATTTGAATAATATATCCATCTCCAAATGGTATAATACCCACTTACCAAAGAAAGGGTCCTGGCCTAGCTGCTTTCGAAGGCTTTCTACCACAGGGTGACCAAAGGTGATGTTGGGAACAAAATGCCTATAAGACAAACAAAATCTTACTCTGAAAATGTTTTCAATTTGGTTTCTGTATATCTCTTGATATGAATACTGACGAGAGTAGAGGAGACTGTGATTTCAATGCTTTTTCAATTTAATACTTGACATTATCAATATCAAACAAAATCAAACCAAAAATGATACTTTCGGCTTTACAGAGCAGTATCTCCTTGATATTTAAACAAATGCACAGTATCACATATATTTTTCATAATAACCAGTCTGTAATTCATAGCCCATGATAGGTAGAAGTGGAAAGAGATGACCACAGAACAAAACCCCAAAAGTTTATGACTTGCCCAAGTCACACACTAGTTAGTAAAGTTCAGAACTCTAACAAAAGTGTCTCAAATCCTAGCTTGTCACAGGAATCTTACCAACTGCTACTGCATTTCAATCACAGGGGGCTAAATGACAGTTTAATTAACCTTCTTAAGGGTAACTACTTAAAAAAAAAAAGTTTGATGTGTTTATCAATAGCCACTGCTTACTGAGGGCTTACATGTCCGGTATTTTACCTTACTTCATTTCATCTTTACAACAGCCAAATAAAATAGATGCTATATCATCCCATTTGAAGAACATAGGATAAATAACATCCATGAGTCATCCAGTTAATAATCTATGGAGGCAGGATTTATACCAAGTCTGCTAACATCAGACCCTAAGTACTAAACCTTTAACATGCCCCAGTTACTCTTCCTGTTTATTGTATCACTTGTTCACTTAAAATTTAACAAAAACCTCCTATATGCAAGTACCATTCTGGGTGTAGCAGGTACCGGCTTCTAACTGCTATCCTAACAGTTTACAATCTTATTGGCAGTAGATGATAGAGATAGCTAACTACTCACTACAATTCCCGACCTTACTACTACAGTTGTGTCAGTGGGAAACCAACTCAGCCAAGGCTATTTCCCATCTAAGGCAAACAACATGGCTAGTTCTATCAGTGGTTTGTGAGTTTAAGTAACGTGTGTCATCGCTGAGTCCAGAAGGGAAAGTGTACTGGTTGAGCATTCCTAGTCTAACATCCTTTCTGCGTACCAACATGACATCATAAGTGGAAAATTCTACTCATGTGACACGTTGCAGTTAAAAAGCAGGTGTGCTAACAATGCTGTATAAAATTACCTTTAGGAGATGTGTATAAGGTGTATAGGAAACATGAATAAATTTCATGTTTAGACTTGGGTCCCATCCCAGGACATTGCATTCTACACACGTGCATGTGTGCGTGTGCACACACACACAAATATTTTTTAAATTCAAAAAAATCCCAAATCTGCAATATTTCTGGTCCCAAGCATTCTGAGTAAGAGATACTCAACCTGTATTTCTTTCCTGCTCTAACTTCACCTTTAGAAGTGAAACAGCCAATAAAGCCTTTCACGAACGACAACCACAGGATGGGAGACAATGTCCCTGAATTACTGTATTGAAGGACACTCACACAGAACTGGTATATAAGTGAGAAATAAACTATAATGTCATGTTACTGAAATCTAGGCTATGGCAAAAGCTAAACAGGTGATAAAAGATCGTGAGATTTATAAAACAATAGAATCTGTAGGAAAAGAAATGAGGTCAACACTGAAAATGAACTGATAGTAGAAATAAGCAAGGTTGGTTCAAAGAGGGGAATGATATTGACCAACTTGGCTAGTTTGAAAAGCACCAGAGTAGGTGATATCACATTAAAGGTGTCAAATGCCAAACTCAGCTGTTTGGGTTCTATCCCATTGTAAATATGAAGTGAGATTTTACAACAAAAAGCAAATAATAAGACACAAATAATAGAGCAGGAAGATGGACTAGGCAATAAATTGCAAGAAGGAAGGCAAGAGGTAATGTAAGTGGCAAGGAACAGTATGAATGACTAGAACAGGCATCACATCACAAATGGTTAGATGTGAGGACAGTGAAAGAAACAACCATGGTTAAGGTTTTAAGTTTAGATTACAGGCGGAAGGAGTGTTACACACACACACACACACACACACACACACTCTCTCTCGCTCTTCAGGCACAAGTTCTAACCACTTCCCATACAATAAATACTTTAAAATCTCACAACAACCCATGAGATAGGTACTATATCTATTTTACAGTTGTGTGAAAGAGGCCAGATGTCACATAAACAGTGAGTGCTGAAAGCACAAGTTAAACACAGGCAATACAGCTACAAAAACGGGTCTTCATTACTATGTTCATCTGCTCCTACAATGACGACCAAGACAACAGGCCAGGGGAGAGGAGAGGCGCTCAGGACACACTGAGAGAGACAGATAAAGTAAATTGGTATAGACCCTTTCATTAACAAATTGATCCCTGGAGGTTACATGTCTAGTATTTACAAAATTATTCTACCATATCCCTGGAGGTTACATGTCTAGTATTTACAAAATTATTCTACCATATAACCAAGGACAAACATTTTCAGGATTATAGACAAGATGCTCATGTTATTTAAACTAGAAATAAGGGTCAGGTAAGCAGGAAGTACACCTACTTAATATTTTACAACTCTGAAATTAAAAGATTTTCATTTCATATCCTGCTCTTTTAATTGTTGTATGGACATGTTAGTGGTTTTGTCTCCTTTATTATGAAAAAAAAATCTGATAACCAATTCCTAAGAAACCATGAAAATCAAATAAACACACATTTACTTAATTGAGAAACACAGCATAAAATATAATGCTGGTTTCTAAACTATGTGAACAATTTGTGCTATTGATATTAGATGCGCTGGGTTCACTGAGCAACCTGGAAGAAAAAATGCACAAATACTCTTAGAAGAAACTAAAGGTTTGTTGTAGCCAGGCCTTTACAAAAAACACCTACAAACCCTAGATGTGAAGTCAGGGTGTCTTGAATTTGCCTGAAAACAGTAACCAAGACACAATTGCTACAAATAGACCTACAGTCTCTGCTTCAAGCTTGACTCCAAAAAGGACATGAGGATCTGAATTTTTAGCAAATGCCAAAGGGATTTTTTTTATCAGACCAACTTGGAAAGCACTAAATTATTTCTCTCTAATGAAGTGAAGAGAGATTTCATCATAAAAGTCTGCTTCATCATTATCTTCTGCCTTTTTTCCCATGAAAGACTTTAAAAAATTAGCGTATATTAATTGTACAAAGGGGGGGTTCATTGTGATACCATAAAAGTACTTTTGGAGTAAAATATGCATGGCATAAAGTACAATGAAAAAGTCTTCCTTTTTCCCAAGGATTTACTGGAATTAAACCATAAATGCTTTTAACACAAGAATACAATTCTTTTATCTTTCATCATATTCCACCATCAATCCTAAACTTTGCTCAGAATATAATTGTTAATGCAATCTACTTCAGACAAACAGAACAAGGCAAAAATAGTAAAAGGATTAAGGCTGATATAAAATGTATTAAGACTATAACCAGAAAACAATCTTCCTGTCAATCAGGAATTACAAACTCACCAGCCAATGGTGGTTACAACACCAAGGAGCACAAAGCAGATGGGAATGGGGGGGACAAATGAACACATGGCCTGGCTAAATGTCCCTACCCTACTCAGCTCCAGTCCATCATGGCCTTGCTAGAATATGGGCCAGGGATGGCAAATTTTGTAATTTCTTTTTCAGAAGTCAGAAATCCACTATTAATGTTAAATCTTCCCAATTTAAAATCCTGGCAATTAATTTAGAAATAACTTATTTGCTCTGTTTCCATGCTCATGATCAAAGTGTTCTAGTCACTGTCCTGTTATAATACATGTGTTCTCCAGGGTGTTTTTTTTTTAATTAGTTTGCCCTTTACTCCACAAAACCAACCATACTAGTGCTCACCATCCACAGTGTTCCCCAAACTACTTTCTGACTTTCTAAATAAATTCAGTTTTAACCAGGAAAGAAACTGGGGATCTGGATGGGGAAGGGAGGCACATCCAAAGTGTAATGCTAAAGATTTATAAAAATGGCCAGGAAAAAAAGGAACATGGAAACAGTACTGAGAGGTAACAGCTAGGAAGGGAGTCCACAGCTCCCCTTTCACACTCCTGGCCTAGGAGACACTGCAGCACATCACTTAGGAGCACTGGCACCACTCAGCCAGGCACCTGACACCTACTCCAGCTGGACATCAGGAAAGGAGCTGAACCTCCCCCTAAACTGGTTTCCTCCTCTGCAAAATACAAAAGAAGCTCTTACTTCAAAAAGTGTGCAAAGGTTAAAAAAGGAAAGAATTTGAAAACTGTAGGCAGAATTTAGTTTTTCCAAAGCAGTGTTTCCTAGCAAAGGGGAAGCAATAGAAAAACACTTTCTCTTATTTAATAAGCTTAGGGTCTGCAATAGAACAAAGGTGATTGCTTAAAGATTCCTCTTATTATGACTTAACCACTCATTCATTTAACCAATGATAAGCCTATCATGGTGCTTTATTGCAGAAAATACCAAGGTGAGCAAGAGACTGACCTTGTTTTCAGGAAGTTTTACAGTATGGCAAATGACATAAATAACCAAAATAAGTATGTAATTATTAGTTGCTTTTTGAAGACAGTGAACGTCTTAATCATTGTCTGTAAACCTAGGACACAGAAAGCATTTAATTTTTGACATAGCCTATTATATTGCTTCTAACCCTGGTTCCACTACTTCCTAGGTAGAAATTGACTCTATACCTGATTCCGCACTATCAAAAGTGCTGGTGACAACAGCACCAATCTCTTAAGACTGTGGGAATTCACAAAAAAGATAAGAACAGAAACAGTCAAGCACTTATAAATACTGCCACTACTGCTGTCGGTTAATACTCCTTATCAGCAGACTGAGACAAAATTACTTTCCCCATCCATTCACTTACTCATACATAACTTATTTAAAACCAAAGAGCTTTCTGCGTCAAATAAACTCACGTGTATCCATGTAGCCTGTTCCATTCTGAGAACCCCTAGGTAATCCTCTTAAAAAATATTGCTACCATCTCTAAGGTATACACTCCATTCAGTGTATTAATTTAGAGCTTTCAAGGGAAGGTGTTTTAAGTATATAAGTAGAATTACATATGATGGCAAACTAAGCATTAAAGCTTTTCAGAAAGGTGAGATTTACTATCTTTCTTACACATCTATGTCTGATTCTTAGTACTCTAAGGTCAAGGCTTTGCCATTATAATTTGGGTAGACTCTCATAAGGAGAAATGCAAAAGAGAAACAGATTTAACCACACAGAACAAAGTAAGACAAAACTCTTCTAGAAAAGTGAGAGTGATACAAAAAAGAAAAGGAATTAACAGTCCTTTGCAAATACCACCAATTTGAAAATGTGAATAAGGGCACACAAGTTCTGCCTATTTGAAATAAATTTATTCTTTCTATCCCAAGGTAATGGCTTTTATCCTTAGCTAACAGTGGGCCTCAGAAAACTACGGAGACTTGGCAAAGCCATGAAGATTCAAGTTGTCTTCTGTCGTGACAGAAGTCTGTCACGATCTTCTTTAGTCAGGGAGTAGTACTTTTTTCTCTAGATGTATTTCATTTTATATCCAACTTAAGAAACTTGTATCCTGATTCCAAACAACATTATGCTCTATAACTACAGTGCTTAAAAATTACTTACAAAAAACTGACCTCCCTGAAGAGCAGGGTGCCTGAAGAGAAAATAAGACAGGAAAATCAGAATTCGAATAATGATACAACTAACGATTATAAGAGAATTTATCTTCCAGGCACTGTAAACTTGACTTGTACTCGCTCATTTCATCTTTCAAATGCCTATGCGCTTTATCAGTATTCCCATTTTTTAAATAATGAAACTGAAGCTCAACGAGGTTAAGTGGCTTGTCCAAGGTAATTCAGAACTTGGGAATTGAGTCTCGTTCCAGGTGCCAAGCTTTTTAACATTACACAAGTATGTCTCCCCAGCTTTGCCACTAACTAGCTATATGAGCTTGGGCAAGTCATGCCTATCTCCTTGGGCCTCAGTTTCTCTACGCGTACATGAACGAAATGTCATAGAGACTTAGGTCGCTTCCGGGTCCGAACACCACTCGTTACGTGGGGGAGGGGAGGAGCTGAGGTTTGGGACCCGACTGCAGCCCAGGATATTTCCAAGCCAGCCCCAACCAGGGCCTCTAAGGCTCCCATCTCAGTTCCCTTCTCAGTACTGCGTTCAGTGAGGCGCTCGGTGGTACAGGGCGCCATGCATCCGACAGGCACTCAAGAAAAGGTGCGCCGTCTAGACCCCGCGCGGCAAACCCGACCCGAGGCCCGAGGAGTTACCCGTCCATTACATCCAGGTGCAGATAATCAGCCCCGGAGTCTAGCATCCGGAGGCACTCGGCCCCTAAATTGGCCAGGTCGCTGTTGAGGATGGACGGGCCAATCTTGCAGCCCGACGCCATGGTGCTGGTTCCCCAGAGCAAGTTATCCCACGAGTCCCCCGGCAGGCGAAGGCGTCGCCCCGATTGGGCACGCAGCTTGGGCTCCGCCCCTTCTCCGTACAGTCTTCCGGACTCCGCCGGAAGTAGCTGCTCTGAGGCGAGGAAGTTCCACCTCCCCCTCGGGGGCGGGGCCTGTGGGCGGGGCTTGGAGGACGAGCCTTTTCCTCCTTTCTGTCACCAGTGCTATGCTGTTTTTGGATGTTGTTCAGCCTAGGTCATTAAGGGTTTTCTTGAGGTTCTCTCGCACTATTTACTCTGCATTTCCCACTCCTCGGCTCTTCACTTTATTTCCCTGTTTGTTTCTTCATTAGTAGCTCATACGTTCTTTTCCTCCCCAGCGCCTGTATTTGCCCTTTAAAAAATTTTTCCCACTTTTCTTTCTCCTAGAAACTTTTCACAAAGTTGGAGAGGTCCTGGCTGTGCCAGGCGCTAGCTGGATGATCATGCCAGTCACTGCTCCCAGCCTCGGTTTTCTCACCGTTAAGACAGCGTTTACTCTGTGAGTAATAAAGGAGCCCACGTTGGCCCGGCCCGACGTCTGCGGTTCTTTTCACTGCCCGCCTTTCCTGCGCCTGCCCCCTCGGTCTCTTACCGTCTTTTCTTTTTCCCTCACTGCAGTGCTTACTGACAAATCTGATACATTTGCTTACTGTTCAGACATAATCCCCACAAGGATAAATGTCCTGTTGCCAAATGTATCCTGAGATGGAAAACCACGGTGAGGGGGAAAAAATGGATTTAGCACGAGCAATTCTTAAAGGGGTAAGGCTAAGGCGCCTCATAAACTGCGTTAAAGACATAACTGGTGGTAACTGAATCAGGTCTTTAACCATCCAGAAATCTACCAGTCATACTAGCAGGTCATAATCTTGGCAGTGAAGACAAGTTGGGGTACCTACCTTCCTTTGTATCCATTTTTTGAAAGGTGGAGATGGAAGGCACAAGCTAGAAGAGGGGGCGGAGATTGGAGGTGTCTAACTGGATAGTAACCTCAGTCCAGACTTGGGGATAGGAGGGAAGTTGAAGAGGAACAGCAGGACATTAACAAAGGCACACCCCAGGCATCCAAAATGAACATTTTCCTGAATGAGCCAACCCATTCCCTAGGTAAGAAATGAAACTTAAGCATAATAAATGCTTTTAGTTTTATTTTATTATATGTGCATATTCAAACACAGAAGTCTTAATATCTTTCATAAATATCTTTCATAAACATTTCAGTATTTACTCATATGCATTCTTTCCATGCTCTTTGGTCATTCAGTATTCATAATAGACTTCATAATCATCTGAGGGAAGTTGGCTGTGTAGTCAATCCTTTGTTTTTACCTATAAAATGGCTAATAAAGGACTTTCATCCTGTGGTCACAGTGACTATTGAAAAATATTATGGAGGTACATAGATCTATAATCCTAAATGATCCTAAAATAATATAAATTTGTCAGAAGCTTTTCCAAATACATTCTGCCCTCAACTGGTTTTTATTCTCCTGAGTGTCAAGTCCAAGTTTGCTTCTGAAATGCTGCAGTTGAGACCCACTGAAATAAATGAGGAAGTGGGACATTTCACTCACTGCTAAGACACAAGGCCATGGATTTGGAAGTGTGAGGACTTCATGATAGCAGCAAATTCTGGAAACTGTGCTCTGTTAAAGTATCCCATATAACTTGAGGAAGGATATTTAATTCATGTTTTGGACTATAATTCTATTCATATATGACTTTTCTTCTTATAGGTCCCTACATATGCCCTATTCTTGTCTTAGAAACACTAGGAGCTGGGCAGCAGAGTAGAAATAGTCCTTCATTGATAAAAGGAACAAGTGCTAAAGAAGAGAGCTGTCATCCTGTCAGAGGTATTCTTGGAGGCTTCAAGTAGCAAACCAGCTACTCCCATCTGTACAACAGACCATAACGGTATCACCAATACCACAGATTTTCCTCCCAGCATTGCCATGTGCCCATTTATGCCTTTTGACACTGTAGTTTTAGCGCCTTGTCCTAAGGCACTCAATAACTCATTTCTTTTACAGAAGAATCAGATAGCTTTTCTAATAGAATTATAGAAGGTGGAAAATACTGAAAAATGAAGGTAAAATGCTTGCAGTAGAAAATTCTGTATCCAGGATTTGAATTGGCTTAATAGAATTAGCTTAATAGTATATGTCTGTACCCACTCTCATGGGTACATAATACATAATACATGTCTATTCCAAGGGCTCTCTAAAGTTAATTTGTGAAGAAGCAATCTCTTTGTTGAGTCCATTTTGATACCTGGGAAGTGGGTACCTGTTTTAATTTTTTCTCTAACTGAAATAAATAAATATCACTAAACATCATAGCTTGAGAAATGAACTATTCTTATCAATACTGTATCAATCACATGTAATTATTAGCTTTTAGTCATGTAGTCAATAATATCTTGTACATTACAAAAGATTGTCAATTGTATTGAACTTTTTCCTTATCTTCCCCAACTGTTGTTTTTTAAAATAGTTATTCCTTCAAACTCCAGGTAATGGTATTCCTGAGAATACGTCTTGTGACAGTCTTATGCACATACATATAGATACTTTAGCCATTACACATAAACATTCAACACATTACATTCAGCACATTTAAGGACACCTCAGAAGTCCCAGTACGAAAACATTTCCACTCTATAAGGCCCTGTTTGTCAGAGTGGAAGTTTTTTTGCAAGGTACAACACTACTTAGCTTATTTTAAAAGGTTCTAACAGACTTCCATACACTAGAGTGAAGGAGTCAAGCTAAACGATAGACAAACCAGCAAAATCATGTCAAAAACATTTAAAATATATATAAAGGTATTTAGGATTCTTGTTTGACAATCTTCTTTGACTCTTTTACTTTTTAAATATTTGATACAATTATACATAGAGAATTTGATTCAAGAATCAAGAAACTGGAACAAAGCACATACATAGAGAGACTCATATAACCTAGACACTTGCAATTACTAAACGTAAGGCCTCTAATGCTAGTTGAGCAGCATAATTTTCAACAGGCAAAATATATCAGCTTAGAATCAGAAAAACACACATCTACTTCTGCACTTAAGAATTAGCTCAGCATTAAGTGTAAATGATGTGAAAATGTTATAGAACACTCAAAAGAGACCTCCTTGATTTTCTAAATTTGGGGATTTAAATTTTAAATCTTATTATTTTATCATTAACTCACATATCTTTCATTTCCTTAATGGATGGGCCTTAACCCCAAATTATATTTGAAATTATAAGTGACAATATAAACAGTACCTACTTAATAAACAAGTCTAACAGAAAAATAATTTTTCTTTATGATTAGGGTAGGTTTAATAGGTCTCCTCTTTATATACATATACATTTCACAGCCAACATCATCAAAGTTTAAGCATATAGAATATATTTTAAACTTATTTCAATGTAGTCAAAGTCTATGTTTAACTTCTACTTGAGGACTAGGAAACACACACGCGCACACGCACACACACACACACACACACACCCCATCACACCAATTTAGGTATGTATATGAGTTTTTTAATGTTTAGTAGTTATGTAACAGTTTTCTAATGTAAACTGTTAAAATTTTAAAAATCAATTTTGAACAATATGATGCTCAGCCCTTCAGTAATCCAGTAAGTATTGGCCTCATGACCCTTCTAAATTTTACTCTTTTCTTGAAGTAACTGAACTTCAAGTTAAAGCCCTATTTGTAAAATATACAAGCTGGCTGTGTCTATGAAGAAACTGATTTTTGTTTTTTCCTCATAAACATAGACATCCCAATGATCATAAGAGTATTTTTACTATTGAGAAAAAGATGTTTTCTGATCTAATGTTAACAACAGTAACTTCAATGTATGCAAATATGCCCTCAAGGGCAGGCACAGAATATTGTGAGGGAAAGTTATCACATTTCCCAATAAATGCTAAGTTTGGTGTTGATATAGTCAGGGCTAGAAGTAAGAATGCCATCTCTTTTAAGCTATTATATTTACATTTAATTTTTATACTTGTATAGCTGTTTAGGTTCTTAATTCAGAACTGTTAGAATTTCTAGAATATTCTCTGTCTCATGTGATAGTTATGAATGATTTGTAGCATTAGCACTTTGATTTACAACATGCAGTGAAAATGACAGTTAAAAACTAATTTTTGAAAAGTCCACAGGTCTAAAAATAGCAATTTTCTAACTGGTCATATTGTTAACCAAAACAAAAATGGCTGCGTGTTATTTAGTCTACCTAAACTAATATTTTCCTTATTATTTTTATGTAAATTGCTATTTATACAGCCACCAGATTTAATATTTTTGAAACTATAAAAGTAAAACATTTGCATGAGATGTATGAGTAACCTCAAAAATTTGCATTCTCTTTTTAGAACATATTTTTGTTAATGATCCTATGAAAGCACTGTAACAGTATATATTTTTAACTGCCCAAGGCTTCTTAACTCATAAACAATGTGCAATGGCTCTTTCTCCTTATTCCTCCCTGTTTTTTTTTGATTTGCATACATTTTTAGCCATTGATTTTAAAGATGTTTATGAAACATTAGGTTAATTGGCAGCAAACTCTACTCATCTTTATGCTAACCATTGGATATAAAGTGCTGTTTTGTAATTAATTTTTCCAAGGAAAAATATTCAAGTTTTAGCAGAATGATCCAAAATACAGAACTAAACATGAGATTCATCTAGGACTACATCTGTCTCAGTGAGAGTAAAAGTGAACTGGCTGGCCAGTAGAGGATTTTCCATGCCATTTTCCTCACTGATGTGAAGGACAGTGTCTCCATGCTGTAAGAGGCTGGATGTCTCAAGGCCAGTGAAGTCATCAGGGTCTGAAAGTTGAGTAGAAAGGGGACTGTGTGCTGCAGCACCTTGCACTTCTGTGTCCTCCTTCTTTTCTCCTTCTTCAGTGGGGAGGTGCTCACTCTGTGATCAAAAGTATCGTAACATCATGGACAGGTAGGATGCGTACCAGAAAGAGAAGACTATCAGAAATATTGTCTAGCTGTGACTGGAGAGGAATCAGAAGATGAGTTCCAGTGCTAGCCTCTGTCATAGGAAAGATCTTTATAGGTCCTTTTGGCTCTCTCTGCCTCAGTTTTCTAAAATGTAACAGCATAATTTTGTCCTGCTTACCTTACAAACTGTGAAGAACAAATGAGATAATATAATAAGTATTAAAATGCTTTTTAACTATTAAAACCTATATGAATGTGTAGAGTAATACTGCTCCTTAATTTTCTTTAAATACCACATGAGAATAATATGTTATCTATAGGAATTCATTCATGAAAATTAAAAGAAGAAATGAGAAAAATATCAAAACAAAAAGTTCTTCTCATCGTATAGGACACAGAGGCTCTCTATGAAAAGGCTTATCTAAATTGGTAGCATTAGTTTTTTAATTGAACTTTCAACTTTGCATTAAATATGTTTTCAGTAGTTATTTCACCTGTAAAATAACTTTTTTAGGTTTGTTATAACTAGAATACCAAGATCTCTCATGTATCTTCTTAAGTTGATATATTTCTGGCCATATATTTTATATAGATTTTCTTTTTCACAATGACAGAACCAATATCTGGATAACAATGAGTTGCAGACCCAAATTTAATTATATGGGATAAATTTGCATATCCAAATGGTTCTTAGAATAAGGATGCAGGAAGCAGGACTTTCCTATTCCTCTAGCACCCTCACCTGCTTGGAACATAGACTGTGGAGATCCGCAACAACTATGGCAGGGGAAGACGTGAGCACTGGTTTGTCCATTCCTTCTGGTTTCCTGGAGAGGGCTGGGCTGCAGCCCTGGGGTTGGCCTGTAGCAGGAAGTGTGTCTACTACTGGGCCAGCTGTTGGTTCTGGCTGAGCCTCAATGAAGGTCACAGATCGTTTCTGATCAGCTGTAAGTCAGACAGGAGTCAGTAAAGATGAGAGAAAGCACTGTTGGTGCTCAATAATTGACATTAAAGTCCCTTGGCTTTTCTTAAGACGTTGCTGATTTATTGATGAATGAGACCTTATTTCCTTATTTTCTACATTTTGATTTTATCTTTTTTGAGAGTAGGACTTTTTTTTACATAAATGTCCTAAAAAATTTGCAAAGAGCATTAAGTGAACTCAATCATCCCGCATAACAACTGACAACAGAACTTAAAAGTCCAGACTATTATTCACCATACCTTTATCTTCAGTAAGACATATTAACAATCCCAGTTCCTAACTTGAGTAAAGAAAATACAACCATATATACTCAAATTTCAGATATTAATAGTTTAACATAGGCTAATTCATTTCCCTAGGTTCATGAGGGTAGAGGCAGGGACTGGAGAAGGTGAGAAAAAAAAGGCAGTAAAATTCTCAGAGAAACTTTTCCTAGCACCTCCCCAAGTGTGCTTATCTGCATCAGCTGCAGCTTCTTCAGCCTTCTTGGCTGAGGTGCATGGCACTGAGTTAATGGTACAGGAAGAAAGGACACAGAAGGCCTCACCAGATGGCTTTGTTTTAGGTTGAATGCTCCTGCGAGTAGTTGACAGCCGAGCTCCATGGCGGTTTCTGGGTTCAGTCTGTGTCTTCTGACGTGATAGTAGAGGACGCCTTAGCTAAAGAGAATGGGCAGAATAAAACTGTCAAGACAGCCCAGCTGACTAGCAAGAAACACTGTGCTTAGAGGACTCTGACTGTAGCTTATACTGTGATTTTCATGTTTCCAGGGAGTCCTATCATTGTTCCCTACATTCATAGCTGATAAACTTCTTTCTGTATATTTTAACTGTAAGTGCTTTCTTATAGCATGCTCTTTAACCAATTATAATTCCTTTATGTAGCCTAACAACATTAACATACTTGAAAATTATAAATGTGAGAATTCCAATAGATATACAAGTTATAACTATACAACTATTACTTATTGACCAACGTTTGGTCATCCAAATGTTTTAATTGAAGATATACTAATTTCAAAGAGGAAGTTTATGAAAAAAATCTCAGACACTGGCAAAGCATGTGATACACAAATCAATGCTGAGAATACCCCATCAAAGTAACAGTGCAGAGCCCCATTTAGATTTTTACTTAGAAAGTAATGTATGAGTGGGGTCCGTACACACCTATGATCCTAGTACTTAAGAGATCCTGTCTCAGAACAACATTAACAGCAACAAATGAACAAGGAAAAAAAAAAAAAGAAGAAGAAGAAGACCTGGGTACAGTGGCCTGCAATCCTAGCTACTCAGGAAATAGGGATTGGGAGGATTATGATTGAAGTAAAAAAGATTGCAAGAGTCCATCTCAACCAATGGTTAAGTGGTGGTGAGCACCTGTCATCTCAGCTATGTGGGGAAGCACAAATAGGATCACAGTCCAGTCAGGCCAGGGCATAAAGCGAGACCCTATCAAAAAATGACCAGCACAAAAAGGGCTGGCCCATGGCTAGAGAAGTAGTGTGCCTGCCTAGCAAGCAGGTAGGTCCTGAATTGAACCCCAGTACAACCAAAGGGGAAAAAAAGGTAATATGAAAGAATCTCACCTAAGAAAGTTTGTAAAGATTTATTACTACTACTTGAGCCATGCCCCCAGCCTGATTTTTCTTTCTTTCTTTCTTTTTTTTTTTTTTTTGTGGTATTGGGATTTAAAGTCAGGACTTCATGCTTGCTAGGTAGATTCTCTACCACTTGAACCACACCTCCAGTCCTTAAATCACTAATCTTGAAATGAAAAAGAAAGTACTTGCCATTGTCTTTCTGCAGAAGCAGGTAGTAAAATAACTATGTAACAGAGTTTGGCTAGAAAAGAAGGTTTCCAGATAAGGAACAAGTAGACTTATAGGCCCACTTACTTTACTAAGTAACGAACTTTGTGCATATGAAGATTCTAATCTGAAATGGAAGCTTAAAACTTTCAGCTTGCCCAATCACTTACCATGTTTTAAAGTTGCTCTGTACTGCTTATTTCATGTAAGGAGAAGGCAAAATATAATCTTCATAAGCACTGGCATTAAAAATTAGAACTTCCATATCATTGGATGCTTTCCCACCCTTTCAGCGTCTACTTACCTGCCTCAGGCCCCTCTTCCTCCCCAGCGGCTGCTGAATGAGGAGGTTCTGTTGGCCAGGTTCACTCTGCACACTTGCCACCCTGTCAAGCATCAACAGCATTAGTGCACCCTGGAGAAAGTACAGAAGGCCATCCTCTGGTGGGTATTGTCAAAACCACTGATATGAAATAGTCACTTCAAAGATACCATTATCTTTGAAGGATAGTTGGGAAAGAGTCCCTGGGATAGGGGTTTTCAAAGGTTTGGGAGGGAGGATAAGGCCTTATAGCCCCAAGCTGCCAAAATTGAGATTCAGTTTTCAATAACTGATGCTGTTATCTATCATTCAGCAAAATGTTGGTTCGCTCATACCCCTGATTTGGAAGCCACCAAACGGCTTAAGATGTCACATACTAATCTCAATTTTTTTTCCAAGGGGAATGGAAAAGGTGGTGACAAACACACACAAACAATTCTGTCACATGAATGAGAACATCTTTTTAAATTTCAATTTAAATGAAAATAAGATGGACAGATATCAAACACATCAGACACAGAATCCATTTGGGTGAAGGGGCACATTCAACACATGTTTGCAGCCTGAAGTCTCTGTGACTACTGAGTCAATGAATAGTCACATGGGTAGAAAATTAAATGCTTTTAAAACATGCTTTTAGATTTAAAAGGCTGGCAAAGTAATTAAGCTACCATTACAACTCAGAAGCTTTAATATAAAATAGCTGCACTCAAACATACTGTGCAGTTTATAAAAGCAACAATCTGCTCCCCCCAAATTTACTGTGTATGTGTGTCTTTTATAAGCAAAAATGACTACTGACAGTGGATGCTATTTTAGTGTTGGGTGAAACTGAAAATATTGACATAGGCCCATGATTCTTTTTCATTCTGCATGCATGTACCATAGTATTTATCATGGAAGAAGGAGTGAAAAAAGTAATATACTGTGCCCCAGAGAATATTTTAATTCTGTGCATGATGTCAATGTGATTATTTGGTTAATGAGTAATTAATTTCTGCTTTGCCTTTGCAAAAGGAGAGTCATCTACAGATAGTTTTTAGAGTAAAATATTCCACAGAGGAACCCAGAGTCAGCAACTGTCCAAGAAAAAAAAAAAGAAAGAAAAGATTTTATCTATTCATTCTGTTTCTTAAAAATGAGGTACCTAAAACCTAGCTGCAGTTTTAGGAAGATAAGTTAGTGGCAAGAAGAATAATCAGGTATTTCTCATGTTGTACTAACAACTGTCTAATCATCACATAGTTGACACAGTCACATCTGTCTTTGTTTTTAATTTGTACACATTTTTACTAGAAGGAAATAGATGAGTCCTAAATAGGGTTTGTCAAAGTTTGAAATAAAGAAGGTAATCACATCATTTGGGATATGTAACACAAAATCCTGTACAGAGTACCAAAAAACAAGTATCTTAAAACTTCTTTGTTTTCCTGAATATCTTTAAAAAGCAGTGCACATTATCCACATCTATATATATGCATATAATACATATGCATATATATGACTTGAAGCATATGTGACTTTCTCTGAAGATAGAAAAGTATGCTGAAGGAACAATAAAATTCTGATAATCCAGACTATGGTTGCTGGCATGTCCGGAATGACATCTCCTTATTAACTGTACATTTTGATACATGTCTGTTAAATTGAAAAGAGTAATTAACCATATGCACAAAAGTAGAAACAAGTTTCTCCCAATACCAAGCAAAGCTTTCATTGGAATGGATTCTTCATTGACATCTAAATGTTACCTCAGTTCCCTTGGCCATAAAGGGAGGTTGATACTTACCAACTACCTCCCATTAAGGTAGAGAAAAGAAGTTAGTAAAATGTAAAATGGTTTGGACATGAAAAGTGACATATATAGCATGCTTTCTTGTTTTATATTTGATGTTGTAATTAGTTTATTGCTTCTAGAACACTAAAAAGGGGTAGGTAATACAATGTTTTGAAAATAATTGGGCAGAGAAAATGAATTCGAGGCAGTCCACTTGTCTCATTTTTATTCAGTAATCCAAGATTGTGAGGAAAAAAATGGTTCAAGAAAAGAAAAACATTACTTAGGAAGTGTTAAATGCCATAACATAATGGTAATTTCATGATGATTATTCCAAGAGAGGATTATAAGCATCAAGATTTTCTCTGTGGATAGAGAGGCTTGTATCTAAGAAATGTACCAAGTTTACAGTTTTAGCAGTTAGTTGCTCTATGTAAATGATATAGCATCTCATCATGGAATGCACACATCAAAGACGAAATTATAGAACATGTTCCTGGAAATATATCCCAGCTGATAAATTATATTCTCCCTAGAAATATGATGAAAACATATTTGTGTTTGCAACATCAGTGGCTGGCTTAATTGTGAAATGTTAGGACACATTAATATTAAACAGCCAGAAAAGTTAACAGTGGAAGCAGTTTATACAAAACACAATTTTGGAGTGCATATCAAATTAGAGTCACATATAAAAATTAGTTTAAATTTATCTTCTTTCCATATCTTGTAATATTCCCATCATCTCTGGGATTTGTTATGCTTGACTATGTAATGAGTAATACTAAAATGAACCAGGAAAAGACCAAGGTGTTTGCATGAAGCACTTCTCTATATTATACTCCATTTTCTATTTTAATTTAGTCCTTACCTACCATATATGTAATAATCAAAATTCTTTCCCCCTGTATTTTATTTGATGATCTCAAATTTTAAAATACTGTATTTCAGTAGACCACTGGATCTTTCTGAATAACTGAAATATCTATGTCATGTGTCATAGTCATGAAAAATAACTGAAAAGTTGAGCCTGTGATAGGATTTGTCAAAGTAGTGAGACAAATAGTAAAAATTGTGTCTTATACAGAAAACTGGTTCCTTTAAATTTTTAATCTTGAGGTTAGAAATGGCCAATTTCCACTGTGTTGGCAAAATAGGGGGAAACAATAAAGATAAAAGCAAATAAAACTTTCTAAATCAAGGCTAACATCTCATAATATATTTAGGAGTAGGTTATTCCTTGTATTTTTGAGTTGCTGAAAAATATCTTTATGGCAAACCATATGATGCTGCTGTAGGTTGTTGTTTTTTGGTAGTACTGGGTTTTGAACTTGCTAGGCAAGCACTATACCACTTGAGCCACATCTCCAACCCCATATATTTTAGAGAAGTAAATGCAACTGGGGTTTAGCAAAACTGATATGATTCAAACTTTCCCCCAAAACAAAAAATGCCTTATTCAAAATGCAAGGAAATAATTTATAAGGTAGGGAAATGTAGACAATATTAGGAAAACAATTGTGGCACAGATTACCTCTTTCCCTGTTTCAGTATGATGGCCTGGACTGTGGTGTATAAGTATGTATGTATGTCCTAACAGACTACATACCTAATAGTATTTCTTAAAATAAGGCAAACAAAGGGCCATTCCATAATGTAATAGAAATTTGTATCACTCAACTCAAATTGTAAAACTAAGATTATAGATCGAAGTATATTTCATAGATAAAAACTTAAGTAGAAGCACTGGATGAGAATAGCACATGGAAATGTGAATTAGTATTTTTATTGTTTTGATTTATAATTGTAGTTTCAATTTTAATATGGTTAAAGAAATCTGAAGGTAGAACATAGGAAGGAATGCAGCACAGTGGTTTATCCTTTTAATGGAAAAACATAAAGCCAAACCAAATAATCCATAAGGCAATTGTAGAGAACAGGGAAATAAACAGAAGACCAAGTCCTATTTCATTCTTCTCAATAAAAGATTATATTAAAATTTACTTGGTCTCCATAGCATCCAGGAAAATATATTTTAAATGCCACAGAATTTGAAGATTGAAATCAGATTTAAAAGGGACAATAATCTGGATTTTAGATCTCTTATAAGGACTGATTTAGCAATGGTCAAGAACATATCTATTTCACTACACACATTTTCTTAGTAATTCATTTCTAACTACATAAAAAAGCTGTTTTATTTCTTTTCCCTTGTGCTTTGAGATACTTGCCAAGTTTTTGTATTTTGAAAACGTAGGTGATCATGAGGCGGGTTTACTAAATAAGTAATTTTTATTTCACTTAGACTGTAGTCTTGTTCAAACTTGAGCCACATTCTTACTTTCCACTGTGATTAAAATTATCCTTACAGAATCAAATACTTCAATTTCTTTTAAAATTAGAGTTGACCATCAATTCTTGCTTTTCAAAATATTCTAACATGTCCAAACAAAATCTGATTTTCAAGTGTAAACACCTAGTCTTAAGCAGTCAAATAACTTTTGTATATCTCTATTATTCTGAAGAGAAAATATTTCTACTGTCTATGTGTGTGTGTTAGGCACATCTACAATGAGTTTCTATACCTCTAAGGTCAACTCTGTCCAGGGAAGAAAATTCTTCCATGGAGTATTGCTTGTGTTTATTAATTTCCAAGAGAAAGAAACTTTTCTCTAGAGCACAGTGTTTCTAACAGGATACTTCATGGGATGAATCTTAAAAAAACCTGTGAGCATAATTAAAAAAGAAAATCTTAAAAGAAAATTTCATTTGGTGTGCAAATTGTTAATCAGTTCCATCTATTCATCTGGCTATCTTGGTCTCCTTGTTTAGCCCATTCAGTATATCTTATCTCTTTTGCCTAAAACAAGGGCTCCTTCACAAGCAAATTCCCACAAAAGTTAAGCAAAATGTTATGGGTCTGGGGAGGAACAGGGTTAATTGTTTTCCCTTATGCATGTTTTCTGGTATTTGAGCTTTGGACTAGATTCTCCTTAGGACTACTTTGGATATAGTTTAGGTTCTGAGTGCTAGAATGTATGTTAAATGCAATTCATATGGTAAATGACTTACTGCTTTACAGTTTTAAGAGTCTGCAGCATAAAGACATTGCATACCAAAATAAGAAAGCCTGGAAACCTAATATAAAAAGTACACTATTTTGTCAACCCACTTCTTAGTATATGCCAGAATTTCCTCTCCTCCAAAGAGAACTTGGTGACAGGAGATAGAATTTGAAACATATGGCAAAAGTAGATGTGTCACTGATTGGTGGAGTGCCCTTGCAGTAATAAAGTTATTTCAGAGTCCAAAGTAATTGCCTCACCTTCCCATTGCTCAGTGACCACAGCTGGGTCTAGGTGACTGACACCCAGGACTAGAACACAATGGTTATAGGAACAATGTATAAGCAACATTGGTTTAAGACAGTCATCAGAAACCTGACATGATTGACTAATTTAGCTGTAGATAAAAATCTATAGATTTGACTCTGAATATGTCTCACTCATTGACACTGGCCCCAGGGCATACTGAATTGGTGTAGACAGCCCCAGTCATCTGAACCCAGAGCCTGCCATAATAGGTCAAATCCACTGGATAATTCATAAAAAATAACTCAAGCTTCTACCTTGTCTCTCCAGCCCTGGAGAATTTCATTTTTGTTTTATTCAACAAAAATAAAATTTGGCATAATTAGAAAAGCCCAGCACAAAGCCAGCTAAATAGAGGTCTGATTTGTTACTTTCTACATACACAGCAGACCACTGATACTGTCTTCTAATCAAAGTTCTGTCACACATGCAATTTTAAACATTAAACAAATGCATTCTTTGAAAGCAATGGTAACCCTGCTAGACTTGGTTTAGAGCCCTTCAAATACTGTAAATAATTAAGGGAAATCTTGATGATTGTTGTTTCTCAACTTCATCCTTGTCCCCAAAGCTCCTGCTAATAGAATTAAGTTTGAACTCTGTAGCACTTCCACATTTACCACCAATAAGAGACTGATCTGTCAAAGCAAGGGCTAGCAAACACAAATGAATGTCATGAGTTATGGATCCATTAAAAATAAAGATAAGACCTGATGATGGACTAAATTTCCCATTTTCAATTGCAAAAGAAAATGTGAAATCTGAATGAGATGTAAAGAAAACAAAAATAACCTTTCACAGGACCGGCCTCTCAACATTTCCTCATCTTTGTGATAAAGCAATAAACACAGGTATATCATACTCACTATATAATGCAAACCTGGAACGGAATGTTTTCTTTTGAAATGGAACAAAGACACTCTAAGAATGAACAAGAAGCATTACCCTAATGAGGATTAGTTGAGAGGTGTAAATCAACAGCACAAGATTAGGAATGTTTGACGTGGTTTATCTGAGTGTTAAAGGTGCAGTCCCCTTTTCTGAAGCTTTAAATCAGTAGTCAAGATATTATATTGTTTGCGTCATAAAAGTTCTCTTACTTAGCAAGAAATGTTTGTGTCTGATATTTCATGACAAGTTTTAGAATCATCTTTGTACTAGAACAGACGTTCTTTTTATGTGTTGTTTGAACAGCTATTATAGACTGCCAATTAGCATGCATCAAAGTGAAGGAATTATATAAATTATAGTGACATTGTTATTCTTCTTATGGCATCCTTGTTTCTTATCAATCATGTTATTAGTTAAAAGACCTGACTTGATTTAGTACAGGGGCTAATGAATTGTATTAAAAGGCCTCTGAAAAGCAATTCTTAATGATTATCAGTGTGGGAAGGAATGATTAGATGGTACGAATTTAACATATGGCATATCAAACTTCAGATGGGGGTGTAGGAGATTGAACCCAGGGCCTAGCACATGCTAAGCACATGCTCTACCACTGAGCTACACCCGTAGCCCCTGGAATGTTAAGCATTTAGACACCCATGGGACAAACCCCATAGGGAATTCTACAGTTTTTCTTTTTAAGTAAGGTTTTTAGGCCATTTGTGATTGATCTATAAATCTAAAAATGAAGGAGGGTTTGCTACACCTTTGACTTCCAGGCTCGTGTGTTCATGAACAACAAAGGGCAAGGAATGGAAATAGGTATCAAGACGGGTTGAGAGAAGACAGAGAAGACAGAGAGACAGAGGAGACAGGGAACAGCTAGTTTCCTAGCACAGACACCAATAGACAGGTAGCATTGACACTGTACCTAGAGAGGCTGCCCTCAGCGGCCAGGCCCTGGGAGTCATCGAGGACATTAGGTTCACTGCAGGAGGGGTAGGGAGATGAAGCATTTAGGGAAAGAAAATGCAAAAAGGAAAAAAAAGAAAGAAAGAAAGAAAAGAAAAGGAAAAAGAAAAAAGGCATGCAATTTTCTATTTCCAAGAACTGAAAATAAATAAATTTAACAGAACAAGGAAGGAAAAGGAGACAGTCAACCATTTCACCTTGTGCTGGGTTTGTCAAGACATAGGACTCAAGGCAATGGGGAAGGAAGGACTTTTGGATGGATACAGCTCTCAGAGGACTGGTCTGTTTATTGGTCAAGAGTTAAAATGAACTCCAAATGGACATAGGAGCTCTGAAATGCACTGCAGAATGAATCTGTAGAAGATGAAACTATCATTGCTTCGGTAACCATTTGGCTAGATGTTTATTTTTTCACCTGTCTTAAGTACTTAGTGTTTCATTGACCAGGATACCTGCTTGTTTCTTGTACATCCTGACATTCTCCCACAGAACCCACTTACCATGAATTGCCACAACCAACTCTTGGAACTGATACCATTAAGCAAAGCAAACAAAGATCTCAACTTCTCTTACTATTTTTGCAATGAAAATGCAAGTAAACAAATGGAAGGAAGATATCTTGGGGAATTCACATGGAACTTGCATTTACCTCCTAACTCTCCATCCTCTAGTGACTGAATTGTAAATGCCAAAAGAAGAAACCTGTCAGATTGGTGAGAGAATAATTAAATAGTTTATCAATTTATTTGGATGTACCTGAATTGAAATTTGTGAACAGAAACTGCTTTTCCTTCTGTGCCTACCTTTTTTTTTTTTTGTGGTACTGGTGCTTGAACTCAGGGCTTTTCACCTTGAGCTACTCCATCAGTCCTATTTTTGTGAAGGGTTTTTGGAGATAGGGTTTTGTGAACTATTTCCCTGGGCTGGCTTCGAACCATGATCCTCCTGATCTCCACCTCCTGAGTAGCTAGGATCACAGGCATGAGCCACTGGTGCCCAGCTGTGCCTACCTTTGAGCTAAGCACTCACAAGGCATTCAATTAATACTCTTTAAATTGTGTAGAATTAACCATCTACTATCCTCAAAGAATTGAGGCTCATCTACTTGTGAGAATAGTCTCTGTCCCGGAAGTGGCTCATTTCATCTAATGTACAGAGACATCATACAAGCACTAATATTCTAAAATATGACTCAAGTCCCAAACAGATTAGATATATTATCATTTCTGGATTTCTAGTATATCTATGTACCAGACAAATTTTCTCCCTGGAAACAGGTTGATCCAGTGGTATATATGTAAAAATGAAATTGATAGTGTGGGTTATTTTTGGTTAAATAACCAAAATTCTCTATTGAAATTCCTATTCTATAATTTAAAAAAACTTTTGAATAATTTGCTAGTTTTATTCTTGATGCAACCTTGCACATTGTTATTAATTGCAAATAAATTGATAGATGCTGCTATTATTTGCTTTTGTAATTTTATATCTTTTTATGAACATGTTATTGATTGGCTCTTATTTTGGTTACACATTTTATTTACAAAACTTTCTTTTCAAAGGAAACTTGCTAAGTATTAAGTAAAACAACCTCTAATAATGGTAGAAACTTTATATGTTTTTAATTTTTGAAATAGTTCATTGGTACTTATATAAAATTGCTTTCTTTAAACATATGCAATTTACTTATTAATCATCTTTTATCATTTCCTCCTTTCCTTTGATGTTCTTCAGATTTTTTCTTTATTTCACAAAGTTCATTTCATCTGTATAGTTCTGTATTTGTGAAGGAATTTAGGTCCAAGACCCCTTCATATAAACTGGTGTTATGTGAGCATTACAATGTGCCTTAATTTTTATTATTTTCTATGTGTGAACTGTATCACAATGAATTAATGAGTATTAAAAATAAACAAAAAAGTAACTAAAATAATGTAAGGCTGAGTCTTTGAAAGAATTTACTCTTTAAAAGTAAAAATAGCATGGTTTTTAAATTAGTGTTTTTACTCATGTCATCATTTTCAAAATTATGCTTTTGTTGTGTATATATGTATGTCTAGGTTTTAAACTTACATTTATAAAAATGGTGGTGAACACGTAAAAAATGTTTAAATGAGCTTAATTATGAAGTCTTAGAGATATAGAAAGAAAAGTTGTGTTAAAGATCATTTTAACCAACATCCTCATTTCAGAGAGGAAAACTGTAGGCTATTTTAACCTCACCTTCCCAAGGTCACACATAGTAGTGTAGTTCCTTTTCTGCTTAGTTAAACATTCCAACCTAATGACCTATCAGAAGCCTATATTTTATCAAAATATTAAATGAATTTGGTCCTATATTCTTGTCAAATACTCATTATTATCTTAACTAATAATAAATCTGAAATACAATATTGTCATTTGACCATCAGAAAGAAGATCATGTGTGATTTATGGGCAAGTTTTAAAGAGAGACAATGGTTGGATCAGAAGTTGGGGTTCCTTCAACTGGCCTAACTTACAAAATTGCAAATCACTATCTGAAGGAATCTAGTTGAAAAGTCCTTTGCTGAACAGTCTACCTAAAAATATAATCATTGCTTGCTTCTCTCTTAGCCTTTGTAGAATAACAGGAGTATATGTCACAATTTCTTCCTTTGCCCCCAAGTACAGAGTGTAAGACAATCATAGCTCTTTACCTCTGGCTGGGTAGCATGCCCACCTCGGCCTGAGGTGCAGACATGCTGGAGACGTGACTGGAGAACCGTCTCCTTCCAATGGCACTCAGGAGGTAAGCTTCCTGTTCACTTACCACACTGGGCATGCTTATGGAATCATCTGAAAGTGGCAGAGGAATCGAGTGTTATAAAAACTGTGGTGATGATTGGAAAATCCCAGCTAAGCTGTATTTTGATCCCTGGATTGAGCACAACCTCAGGTCTGTCTCTAAAGCTAAATTATCATTGGTTCCTTTGTATAGATTAAAAAAAAAAACACAAAAAGACTAAGACACCAATAGACCAATGATAATTCTACATGCCTAAATCTCTCCCATGGTCCCACACTTGAACAGCCTTCATGAAATAAGTGTAAACTCCTTGACTATTTTTGTAAGTATATTATTTGTGAAAGTAGACAGGCACCTGAAGACTGAAGATTTCAGGAAAGCTAGAATATACATTTTTGAGGCATTACAGGAGTAGGATGCTTGTTATTAAGCAAGTCAAGAACATTTCCCTGACATTCAAAACTACATCAGGACATTTAATAATTTCTAGCCTGCTGTGGGACAGATTATTACAATTTTAGGAAAATATTTGAAGAACTTTAAAGTTCAGAAATAAGTACTTATTTGAACCTAAACTTTAAATACATATCCTTTATTTCACCATAGAACCAGAAATTAATGTACTCAAATCCATATAAAAGTTAATTTTAATACAGTATTTGTGACCAGGTCACCTCATTTTATGTTGTTTATTGTTGAACACTAAATATACTTCAATAAACCTACTGGGTTTTGGTGAGTGTGTGCTACCATATAAAATCATCTGATACCATTTATTTTTTTTTTAAAAAACCCAGCGATTGAACTTATTTCAAATCAAAAAATGAATATGAAAAGTGCTAGAAAATTAAATTTGTTATATAGTGACAGATTTGAAATTGAATCTTATTCACAGAGAAGGTAAAAATATGAAAAACATAATAGGATATATGGAGCTATTTTTACAAAGGGTTTTTCAAGATCTCACTGAATTTTTTTTTCCTTATTTGAACTCGTATCACTTAACACTTACTCCCCAACATTTGCTTGGTGATTAGTTGTGAGCTGTCTTCCACTAAGCCTTTTGTTAAGGGTTTTATATTACAAATGTCCATCAACTCCTGTATGAGTTTATCTCTAATATCTTAGAGGGCAGAGAATATATTTTTCTTATACTTCCTTTTGTTATGTCTGACAGGTTTTAATACAGGTTTGATGGCTGAAAAAATAGTTTAATTCAAAACATTTAATGATCTGGCTTTCATATCTCTCCCCATATAAATCAATATATATCCACATCACAACCACACTGTTTATTAGCAATCTTGCCTACATTGGGATGACTGTGATGTCGAGTACAGAGATTTTAGCTACAAATTGCCTACCTTCTCATGCTCCACATTGATATATGAGTGTTGGCTTAAGATATACATATGAAGTATTTCTATATCTGATATCCTTTCATTTTGCGATACTAAATCTTTAGCACATGCTTCAGCTGATCTCATCTGGTAATTGTCTTAACTCAAAATTGGGTTGTTTCCCCTCCAGACAGCCTGCTGATTTCATTCTAGCTGGCATAGCCAACTGGTATTCTCTGCGTCCTGAACATATGCTTTGGCCACTTTTTCTAGCCCAGTGGGATCATGTCAGTGCTGGTCAACCCTCTAAGCAAGATGCCCAGAAGTAGGGATAAGTTATTCATCCATAATTTAAATGAGTTCATGGACAAGGTTGACTACATAAACTCAAAAAAGAATTTAGGGGTCACTGAAGATTTACTTTTTTCCTGATTTCTTCCTAAACAACTAAGGATATCAACCAATTTATAGAAGAGCAGGCATTAGGAATTGCAGAATTAGTCACAATTCCATATTGAATCCTTTTTGTAAAAATGCCTGAGAGGATGAGAACTGGAAATGGATGGAATGGCAGAAATCCCTCACAAGGCCTTGCTGACATGGCCAAGCTGTGTGGCCTGCCCGGATTTTATAGGGTGACCTACTTTCCTCATCCTCCTCATCAGTCCGACTCAGGGTGTCCTGTGAAGCCTGCTGGGATGGTTCACTGTCCTGCTCCCAGACAGTGCCTGTGCCCGTGTTGGAGCGGGACATGGTGGCCAGGCTCAGGCGGTAAGCAGAGGTGGAGGTGCCCACAGTGCTGATGGATGTCTTCCCTTGGTAGGCTGGGGAGGTTGAGAGACCAAAGCAAAGGAATGGTGAGGCTCTTGGGAAAAAAACCAAAACAGAAATATTTGTTTTCAGGTTCTTTCAGACTACTTGTATTTTTAAGAAAAAGTTAGTTAGAATGTCCTGGACACACTAACTTTGATCCTTAGGAAAAAGTAGCTAATGGAGTTGGGAATTAATATTGGCCACTGATGAACTTATAATTACATAGTTTCCTTCTGAGAGCCAGACATCTCTAACAATGTAAAGGCTTGACATTGTTTTTTCTCTTGTTACCTTTCTATTTCATTTTCCAAGGTTCGGTAGGATGCAAATCAATTTTGACCTGCATTTCTGCTTCCAAATTGCCAGTTTTTGCAGAGACATAAACCTTACCTGACATAAGCATATAGGTGTAATAAATAAATCAACTGATAAGACCTAATATGGACCCAGTAATCAGAATCAGAATACATAATCAAAACTGTGTTCTTATTTTCCTTTTCTGGAAATTGCAACATTTAAAACCCCTATCCTATGTCAGATTATTTTACCAGTTCTATATCAGAACAAGCAGAATATTTGAATGGTAATGTGCAAATTTCACATTGTATTTGTAAAAATTTTTGTCTTTAATATATTGCAAACAGTAAAAGCTTTAGAAACAAGAAAGCCTCAACATATATTTTACTTATAGGTAATGACTGCCCTCTAATGGCTGATAGTGATTTATTTTCCTTCTTCAGTCTAAAAGGTTAGAGGCCATACAGATAAGGTTTAAAATCACCTTATTGTTATCATTTCCTATGCATGTTACTTAACCTCTATTGAGTCTTGATTTCCTCCTTTTTTAAGTGGATTTTCAATGACACACCTTGAAGGTATTTGAGTGCATTAAAGGAAATAATATCTGAGAAATAATCTACTATACAACAGATGCTCAATAAATATGAGTATCCCTTTTAAAAAAGGAAACAAGAATTTAAATGTTTTTTAATTAAATATTTTAAAAATGTTTACTAAAATGAAGATTGAGACAATATTTAGGAAAGGAATAAGACTAAACTCCTATGATACCCCTTTGGTTTCCATTTTGTTATTGGCAATGGTTGCATGGTGTACAAAGATGACTAGTTCAGAGATGGTCCCCAAAAAAGCAGTGTCCTGGGCAGAGATTCTTTGTAGGTTTTGGATTTGTCAAACAAATTCAAACTACCCAATGTATACTCACCTGATCCACTGTGTACTGCTTCTTTTAGAATTTTTAGTTCACTGTTGAACTCAGCAATGAGTGAGCTCTTACACAAAGGACGAGGTATGAAGCGCCTCTCCAGCTGGTCAGCAATATGTTGCCGCGCAGAGAGTTCTTCATGGTTCTCTGCAGGTTGGGCCAGAAGCTGAAAGGAAGGCATGGCATTCTCAAAGCCTCAGTTTTCCCATCTGTAAAATGGGCTAGTTCTCTACTTCATAGTTGAGAGGAGTAAATAAAGCAATGCATGTGACATCCATAGAACAGAACTTTGTACAGGAAGTGATTAATAAATACATGGCTTTGAATCACTGCCCCCAAGAAATCAGAGCATTAAGGGAACAGGATGAGTACTGAGGGTCTTAGAGGAAAAACATATCATCAGTTTTCCATTTTTTTCATATGTTTATTTAAAATTAGTCTCTGCTGTGCCACTAACAATAGAACATTCTCTAGACCAGACCATGGGTCTTTTTATTAAGCAGGAGTGGGGAGAGGACTGTCTTATAGACTCTAGTAACTGCAAAGGTACTTCTAATGTGAAATCATCCTCTAGACACACGTTTGGGAGGTTTCCTCATCAAGCATGGCATTACCAGGCCCTACGATCCAGCTATGGAATGTCTTAGAAACCCTCCTGCTATAATGCTGCCTTAAAGGAGAGCAATGAGTTCATAGGACTTGTGGCTCCAGAAGTGCACACCACACCTTGCACTGGATGAAAGGACGCAAGAGCACGAAGATGGGAATCCGGGTGCGCACGATGAAGTCAAGGAAGTCCCACAGGGCCAGGCCGCCCACCTTCCGCAGGGCCATCTCCTTCACCTGCAGGCTCAGCCAGTACCACTGGCTTCCCAGCTGCCTCTCAAAGCAGACAAGAATCACCTTCAGAGCTTTACACCAGAAAGAGAGAAAAGAGAGCCTGAGGGCTTGTGCTTCCGAGGAACCCTACCCACAGCCACTGCTCTTTTATGCATCAGGGAGTTTTCTAAACTTTTAAATCCATGTTTCCAGAAACTTAACATGCACTCCTGAGCAAGAGTGTTCCTGACATCAAGGCAAAAATTTGTGTGATAAAATGTTTTGATTGTAATTAGACCACAAATATCTTTCACAAGTGCATTGAACTCCTATTTTGAAAACAAAGAGCAAAGTAGTCCATAGAACTGAAAGAAAAATATTTTATAAGCATGTTTTGTGACTAATGTTTGTCCAATAGCTTTGTCATAGTAGTTTTATGGTAAAACCAACATACCACACACATTTTCAGCTAAAATATAGATCTTTTAAAAAGGATTTTCTTCTTTTAAGCATGGAGTAAATATTCATGTTCTTAAAAAAATCCAACCATGCAGAAATATACAGTTAAAAATTAAACCTTTCCCTTCTCTGTTCCTTCCTCTACCCCAGCCCAAACTGTTCCACTTACTGTCCACCAGCAAATGTGATTAAGTATATTCTCCCAGGTATACACCCCTCTCTCTCTCATAGTGTACACCATGTCTATTACTAAAGCTGGTGAGATTTCTTTTACAATACCTCCTAGATTCTGGCAGCCCCTTCTCAATCTATACTTTTTCCCTAGGAAGACTTCCCAGACAATATGTCAGGACACACCAGAGTATTGTAAAGATGTTGAGTGTCATGATGAGAGCTTCCTCTGCTACCCCAGCTCTCCCCACAGGGTCTGCCACAGGGCAGTCAAGTGAACCTGGGTCTTTGGGATCATTTCTTAAGACCCATCAACCTGAGTATCAAGTTTGAATGGTAAGGAAGTTTTGATTCTGATTAGGAGAATACAAATATCTTAAGTACATGGAACTACTATTTGCACAGAGAACTCCTACTCCCTAAAAACAACATAGAAACCCAATTTGGCTAAAGCCCTCAAGAATCCTGTTCATCATTACTGCCCTTAGGATGTTTCTAGGAAGCCATGGCATTTCATACAGAGATATCAGATTCTTACTTATCTCCCTCCTCAACCTCATTTTCACAGCAATTGTTCATCTCAATCCCTCTCTCAACTACACAAATGAACAAATGATTGAAAAATGCCCTGATTCTAATGATATTCCTGCTATATTGTGCATGCCATTGGTTCCTGCCCTTTCACTTTCTACTTTCACTTCCATCAATCCAACACAAAAACGGTATATAACTGTGGATTTGAAATATGGATCTGTCACTTATTAACTTCATGTCTTTAGGCAAATTACTTAGCTTTTTTGGATCTCAGTCTCTTCTCTCCTAAAACAAGAATAATATTAATTTTTAAGAGTTGTGAGGATGTGAGAATTCAGTGTGATGGTAATATAAAACACTGGGAAATACTCAAAGTAAATGCAAAAAATAAAATAGAGGTGCAGTAGCCTGGGCAAGTAGACAAAGTAAAAAAAAATTTTTTTAAAGCAGGAAGAGCTGGACATGGTGGCTCACACAATCCTAGATACTCAGCAGTTGGAGATTGGGAGGATCACAGTTTGAGGCCAGTGCAGGCATAAAGTTCACAGGACCATACCTCAGCAGTTAAGCTGGGCATAGTGGCACATGTCTGTTATCCCAGCCAGGCAGGAGTGTAAATAGGAGGACAGCAGTCAAGGCTGATCTGGTCATAACCACGAGACCCTATTCAAAAAAATAACTAAAGCAAAAAGGGCTGGTGTGTGGTTCAAGTGGCAGAGCACCTGCCTAGCAAATACAAAGCCCTGAATTCAAATCCAAGTGAAAGGCAGACTGTGGGAGGTCCATGTGTTCCCAAAAGGTGGCAATTAGCCAGGGGGGAAATGCCACTTCTCCTTCCCAAGAAACATCTGTTCATGCCAGAGAGATATCTGTTCATGCCAAAATCTCTGCCCTCTGGCAATAAAAAAAGCTGTAAAACCTGATTTGCCACTTGACCCAGGGGACTACCGGTTTCTGGATCCTGCAGCATGACCCCATGTGGCCTTTCCTTTCCCTCCCCTCCTCTGCTAATAAAACTTTTCTGACCTCTGCTGCTTAAGTCTGCCTCTGATTTCTATTCAAGTGGAACGATGGACCCTCACCATCCAGCGCCTCAACCTTGGTGACCATGAAGAGACACTTCATCACTTGAAGTTGGTACAGGTTGTGCCAAACTGGAGAGGACTGCCTAGAAAGTGTCCATGATCATCCAGCATGCTGCTGCAGTCCATCCTCCAGGAGAGCCCCCCAGCATGGCTTAGCTATGGTGGAACTCTCAGGCTCTCTCTCTCTCTCTCTCTCTCTCTCTCTCTCTCTCTCTCTCTCTCTTGCTAAGGAGGGTTTCTCCCTTAGGAACCTAGGGAAAAAGCTCTGAGCCCACTACATCTTAAGGCAGGCAACCTGAGAAATCAGGGGCCAATCAGGGGCTAATACCAGACTGCCAATGCTATGTGGGCAGAGCTAAAACCTCAGTACATCGAGGCTTTTTTTCCTCTCAACTCTCAGTTCCCTCCCTCCTTAAGTCCTTTTCCTTTCAAATCTGACCCACTAAGGAGGGGGTCCAAAAATGGCCTGTGAGAAGGAAATTTTCCCTTCAAGCTGCAAGGGTGCTCTGTTGGGGCAACACCCTGATTGGACCTGAAGGCTGAAGATGCAACTCCTCACCCACCTTGAGGCTCTAGAGGTGGCTAAATATTAGAATCTCTCCAGCCATGTCCACGGCAAAAAGACAATCAGATCTCTACACTTTCTTCGTAGTTCCCGTGAGCCAAGGGTGGAGGTCACCCCTCACTTTCAGTGCTCCAGCACTGCCTCTGGCAGGATCAACCCAGAGAGCAGTGGTGGCTAATAATCCCTCATGTGTTGAGCCTGGGAAGTCTCTTTCCCCCAACCCTCAGCTTCTCCTCCTTCTTCTTTCCCAAGTAGATCAGGATGAGTGGCTGCCCCCTTTGTCCTAGGTAGCAGTGGGCTTCCTTCTTCAGCTAAGTCTGTGAAAGATCACTACCTCTCTTTACTATCCTTAGACTATGTCCTCAGGAGCTCCCATGTCTCTTCTGCAGCCCCATTTCAATTGAGTACACCAAAAAGGAGTACTCTAACTTGGGCTTAACTGTTTTTGTTAGGCATCTGATTGATCTGGTTAAGCAGGTTCCTGTAGTCTGCCCACAGGGGAGAAAAGAGTGCTTTACCTGAGAGCTACCTTAGGAGATAGAGACTGCAATGGTCGTCTCCATTTTTGTCCATTATCACCAGCAAAAGAACAATGTCTTCAGATGCTCCCTCTCTTTTCATAGAGTATATATGTCTCATGGGGGACATAGTGGGACAAAAGTCTGCCTCATCAAAAGTCCCCATCCATGCCTCCACACGGTTCCTCCCTCTGGCCATGCAAGCCCTTGGTGACTTTAGAGCCCCTCACTGATAAGAGTTATTTTTTGAATTATAAGCCTTCAGCTGGTAGAAGAGAACCAGTTACTTGGGTCACAAGGCAAACAGGCAAAACAAGACAAACAGACAAAAAAAAAAAAAAAAAAAAGATCAGGGTCATACCAGCTGGGTGAATGCAGCTGTATCTACCTAAATGTTTTCCCCATGACCTTAGCCACAGGTGGCAGTGGTGGGAGAGCATGGGAGAGAGTGATGCCCTCTCCCATGTAGAGGATCTCCTCACCTGGGGACATCTGGGTAAAAGGAGAAAACTCCTCTTAAGGTGATCAATTTTCCCTTGCTTCTCTTTTTTGATGGGGAATCAAGCTTCCAGGATCCTGGAAGGGTCCCCTCCTTGCCTGCTTTACTAAAACATTGAAAAGATCTTGATCCAGAAAGTCTTCTATGGAAGCAACTCAAGTTTTACTGCAACCAGGCCTGGCCTCAATATCATCTAGGGTACCAGGAAAAATGGCCTGAGGAGGGGAGCATTAATTATAATACCATTCTTCAATTAGATATGTTCTGTAGAAAGGAGGGGAAGGGGACTGAAGTTCTGTATGTTCAACTTTTCTTTTTCCTAAGACACCACCCCAAATGGCTAAACAAATGCAGGCTAGATACTCAGACCATGGTGACCCTTTGCAAAAAGCTCCCAGACTCCCTTGAGGAGCCAGAGCCTGAAACACTATCTGATGCCCAAGGGCCCTCAGCAAAGTCAAAGAGGACCTCCCTCATGAGAGAAATCAAATCTTCAGGGGAACCTCGGGGGATATATCCCACAATGAGGAAATTGATTGCTGCCCCCACAGCTCCTTCTCTACCCCCTTACCAAGGAAATCTAGATTCACTAGTGAACTGGTCAGGCCTCATGCTGCTGCCAGAAGCCGAGGCCTCTAACTCTTCCTGCCAAGCAGGGACCCCCCCACTGGCCCCTCTGTCACCAATCCCTTCCTGCCAATAGCCCCTTACCCAGCTGCCTCACACCCCAACATCATCCCACAGGACTCTGCCCCCTCCAGTTAATTCCCAGAGGAGACAGAGCTCATGTTCCTTTTAGATTAAGTGAGTTTAAAGAAATAAAAAAAAAGATTTAGGAAGTTATACTGAAAACCCAGATCAGTACATCCAGGCATTCAGGGAAGTCAGCCAAAATTTTGAATTGAGATGGAAGGATGTAACGGTATTGTTATCTCAGACTCTTACTTCTCTGGAGAAACAGTGAGTACTAGATCCGGCAGCAGCAGCAGCCAGGGATAATTATCACTTAGATAAATGTGGCCCTATACACCTATCTCAGACTGGGCCCTTGGAAGAGGGAGAGGAGGAAGGAAGACAAAGACATTGGATACCTAAAAGAGAATCCTGATTCCTATTTCCCACAAGTGATCAGGAAGTGTCTAGATATGATCCTAAGTGTGACCCTGAGAATGACAAGGATGAATGGACCTGGAACCACTTCATCTACTGCATTCTTGAGGGTCTAAGGAGGGCCAAGGGAAAACTCCTTAATTACTCCCAAGTCATGGCTATTTGGCAAGGACCCTTAGAAACCCCAGTAGCTTTCCTACAGAGACTTAATGATGCTTTACAAAAGTGTACCGACATTGTACCAGAGTCACAGGAGAGGAGAATATTATCCTAAAGGATAAGTTTCAGACACAGTCATCCCCAGATATTTATAGGAATCTTTAAAAATTGGCAGCTGAAGGAAGCAGGGAGCTAGACCAATTGATCCATGTAGCCACATCCATATACTATAATAGGGACTAAAGAAAAAGAAAAAAAAAAAAAACAGACCTGAAAAAGGAAAAGAGAAAGGATAAACAGCAGGAGGGTCCAATCACAGCTCTCCAAGAGGTTCCCCCAGGACACAGTCCAAATCTGTGGACATGTTTTCAATGTGTACAGAAAGGCCATTTTAAGAGGGAGTGACCCTGAAGGAACCACCTCCACGACCCTGCCCAATCTGCTGTGGAAATCATTGGAAAGCACACTAGCCTCAGTTCCCATGGGAACTGAGGCTAGAGCCTTCTACCCAATAATGGGTCCCAGGGGCTCCCATCCAGGCTCCTGTGACCACCATAAAACCAGAAGTGCTCTGGGTGATACTTACTATTGAAAAGCACAAGGTCAGCCTCCTTGTTGACACTGGAGCCAGTATTTCAGCCATTCATTTCTCTCCTGGACCCAGGTCCTCCAAGAAAATTACTGTTTGGGGCACATCAGGCCAGCCTCTAGAGCATTATTTCACTCAGCCTCTAGCTTGCTCTTGGGGAGATTTCCACTTCTGTCACTCCTTTTTAATTATCACAGAAACCCCTACTCCTCTGCTAGGGTGAGACCTATCTAAATTGGGGGTGCAGCTCCTTTTACCACCAAGGGAGTACTTTTGCTTGCCCCTGCTAGAGGAACAAGTAGACCCCATGTTGTGGACGGATGGACGTACTGCTGGACAGTCATGAATGGAAGTCCCAGACCCAATTCATATCAAGGACCCCTCTTAGTTTCCCCATCAAAAACAATATCCTTTAAGACTGGAAATTAAGGAGGGGCTAATCCCATAATCAAAGACTTAAAGAGACAGAGACTGCTAATAGAATGCTCCAGCCCATATAATACTCTTATTCTTGGGGTCAGGAAGGGACCTAACAAATGGAGGCCAGTCCAAGATCTCTGCCTGATCAACGAAGCAGTAGTGCCTCTCCACCCTGAAGTACCAAATCCTTATAGGCTTCTAGCCCAAATACCTCCAGGTACTGCTTACTACTCTGTCCTGGGTTTAAAGGATGCCTTCTTTTGCATTCCCTTACACCCTGAAAGTCAACCTACCTTTGCCTTTGAGTACCCTACATGAAAGGCTAGACAGGTCACCTGGGCTGTCCTTCCCCAGGGATTCAGAGACAGCCCCCATCTCTTTGGGTTAGCTCTAACCCAAGACTTGGCAGAGTGGCAATATCCACAAGCTACTCTGCTACAATATGTAGATGACCTCCTGCTCTGTGGACCAAATGTCACAGAGTGTCATTTCATGAGCCACTGAGTCCTTACTAAACTTCCTAGCAAATAGAGGTTATAAAATCTCTAAAAGATAAGCCCAGTTGTGCCAGTCTAGAGTTACACATTTAGATCTTGTCCTGGAGAAGGAAATGAGGGCTCTAGGAGAAGGCAGGATGTGTCTGACCTTGACGTTTCCTCTACCTAAGACTCTAAAACAATTGAGGGCTTTTTTTGAGGGGGAGTGATGACAGGATACTGTAGAATTTGTATCCTGGGATATGCAGACCTATCCAGGCCCTTACATCAGATCCTTAAGGAAGTGCAAAAGGATCCCCAGCCTTTTATTGAATGGGATGACAAGTCAGAAAGCATTCCACTTATGACAGCTCCAGCCCTGGGTCTCCCAGTACAGGACAAGTTTCAATTATATGTCTATAAAAAGGAGGGCTGGCCCTGGGAGTGGTAAGTCAACTCCATGGCATCACTCCCCAGCCAGTGGTCTACTTAAGTAAAGAATTAGATTAGGTAGCCAAGGGATGGCCAGGATGTCTTCAAGCAGTTGCTGCAGTTAGCCTTCTAGTGCCTGAAGCTCAAAAACTTGTCCTAAACTGGCCACTGACATTTTACACCCCACACAACCAAGGGGAAATTTTAAACTCAAAAGGAGGACTTTATCTGTCCAACAGCGGTCTAATTAAATAGCAGGCCCAGCTGCTGGGAGGGACAGAAATAACTTTAAGGACCTGTCAGAGTCTAAACGCTGCATCCTTTCTACCAGAGACCAGGGGCAATCCTGAACACCTGTGTGAGGAGGTGCTTATGGAAAATTATGCTGCCTGACCTGACTTGACTGATCAGCCCTTAGAAATCCCAGATCTAGAATTATACACCAATGGCAGCTCCTTTGTCAAAAATGGTGTGAGACATTCAGGGCTTGCAGTTGTGACAGAATTTGGCACTCTAAAATCAGGTCCTCTTTCTCCTAATGCAGGTGCTCAATTGGCAGAATTAATGGCTCTAGAAACCCTAAAACTGTCAAAAGGACAGACGGTCAAAATTTACATAAATTCTAAGTATGCCTTCCTGATCCTGCATGCTCATGCAGTCATCTGGAAGGAAAGGGGAATTCTAACTACAATAGGATCTCCCATTAGACATGCTTATGACATACTTGCCCTCCTAGATGCTGTTCTATTGCCTAAAGAGGTCTCGGTGATTCATTGTATTGGTCACTAAAAAGGGGAAGATAAGGTAGCAGAGGAAAACAAAATAGCTGACGAGGCAGCTAAACAGGCAGCAATGTAAGAACATACAGCTGGCCCTCTCCTCTGAGTGGGGACTCTCTTACCCCAAGAGAGACCACAATATTGATCAAGGAAAGTAAACAAACCTCAGACCAGTTGGTACCAGTTAGATCACCAGGGCTGGTGGGTGTCTCCTGAAGGGAAGCTATGGCTCCCTGAGACACACAAATGGAAAATTCTTAAGACCCTCCACCAACTTTATTGTTTGTGCTTAGACAATACTTTGGTTTTGATCAATAAAATGTTTGGGGGGGACTAAATTAAGGGACACCTCCCAGGAAGTTGTATAGGGATGTGAAATGTGGCAAAAATTAATCCCAATAATAAAAGACTCCAGATGCCAGCGGCACAGAGGCAGGGTTCTACTCCAGGGAAGACTGGCAATTAGACTTTACCCATATGCCAGGGGGACCAAAATCAAAGTTACTGTTAGTATTGGAGGACACATTCACTGTATGGGTTTTGGCCTTTCCTTACAGTACAGAACATGCTAGGGAGGTAGTCCAAGTTCTAATCACAGAAATAATCCCTGCTTCCGTCTCTCTAAAAGCCTTCAAAGTGATAATGGGTGTGTATTTAAAGAAGTAATTCAGGGATTTGCTAGGGCACTAGGTATAAAATACCATCTCCACTGTGCCTGGCATCCCCAATCATCTGGAAAAGTAGAAAAAATAAATGAACTTTAAAAAAGATACCTGGCTAAATTGGCCCAAGAAACCCACATCCCCTGGATTAAGCTCCTCCCTATTGCTCTCATAAGGTTCAGAAACACCCCAGGCAAGTAGGACTGACCCCTTTTGAATCTCTACATAGCAGGCCCTTCCTAACCAATGACCTCCTTCTTAACTAAGAGACTGCTCAATGAAAATCAAGATGGAAATTTAAAGGTGGCATTGTAAGAGAAGACAAACAGCCAGTAGGATGCATAATGTGCTGCCAAGCCAGCAGGTCCTACTGTAGCTGTGGACTGCCCAACTCCAAAGGCTCCATTCACGTAGATGTCAGACCTATGAGCCCTAGGAATTGTGTGACAATGTGTTACATTGTAGACTGAGTCTAGATCTGACAACAGCTACCAAATCTCACTATAATCTTGTACTCAACCAAAAAGATGTAATCCTTCCTGCAGATTCCTTCCTAGACACCCTATGAAACAACTAAGCAATTTAGGTATTGCCCATTGAAAGCCATCTTTGGCTTTTGACATATACTTACTGAAGGAAACCAGACTTGGAAGGGTATGTCTTATCCAGGTGGCTTCTTTAAATACTTTCTGAGTGAAGGTGTATTGAGAGAGAGAGCGAGAGAGAGAGAGAACACCCACCCAAGTATGCTGCTTGGCTGGTGGATTCAGCCAGCCCTTCCCTGCGCAAGTCTTTCCCTGCATCCCCAGGGGTGGAACAGTGGGCAGGGGAGCTCTCCAGCATGAAGTTCTTGCTCCTGGATGTGCTGATGATCCGTGGTGGCAGGAGCACATTAATGACAGTCTGCAGCAGCAGCTGCACCTCAGGCTGCTCCAGCCATGGGCTATCTGGAGGCAGAGTTTAGAAAAGGAAGGGGAAAGGAAAATAGTCACAAGGTAGACTTTCTTCATTAGATACAGAAAAATTCAGCTCTTTCAATTCCAAACTAGAACACTCTAATCACCCTAGAATTTTGGGTGTTCCCATCAAGGACAGCTTCTCTCATGGACAGACATACGTTTCTGGCACCTGAGTGTTGTGCACAGTGGGTACCTCAAGGTTTGTGTTATTAGCCAGTTCTCCTGCTTATCATTTCGATATCCTTTCTTTTTGAAATACTCATAATACACTGTCCTTATATTTGAGATAAGCTTTTCCTAAAAGACCCCCCCAAGAAAGAAGAGTGATAAAATACATAGAAATTTAATGACAGTGTTAGGATTTCTGCTAAACCCAGAATTAGTATTATAAAATCCATTCACCTGTCAATTCTCATCAGACTGTACTTCAACTAATTACCATTTTCTGAATTGAATCGAAACAATGTACTCCTGCTTTTTGCTGTACTGAAATGACTTAAAATAGGATGTATCTTCTAAGAAGTAGAGCAGAGAAACTCTTGTCCCACGGTAGCTAAACTGAAAAGAAAGAACAACTCTTATTTCCTAAGGTAACCCTATTTAAGCCACTCAGATTGAGTTCAAGTGATGGCCTTCATGGAAAAAGGAAAAAAGAAATAGCAGCCTGATTTTTAAGAAAACACAACAACAATGATAAATTTCCTTTAGTCAAATTAATCAGACCTTTGCTTCCAGATCCTACTGTGAGCACAAATGGGATGAGTAGATTTAAAAGCATTCCCTCCCTTCGCTCTTGATTGGTGAATGGGGAGATCACATGGCTTAAAGGAAAATCTTCTTTTAAAGCCTGTGCAGCAATAATAGAAAAATAGATTAATTGACCACCACGTCCATTCAGTATGTTTTTACACAGTATGACGGAGACGATGACTCCCTGCTGGCTGCTCCTGTAAACTCTGAGTTCAATTGTCGTCTGTACAGCATACAAGATTTGATTAAAATTGATACTTCACCATTTGCATGACATAATTGAGAGCTATGTTCCTAGAAAGACAGTAACATCTTGAGAATTAAATGAAAGGTTATCATACTTATGGTCAGGTACAAAACCAATCTTATTTTTCTATTAATTTTCTCCACATGTCCACCAGTAAATATTTTAGAGACAAAGGAAAAGGAAGAAAATGAGAACTTGTCACTTGTTCCATTTGGGAGCTATTTAAAGTCCTCTGATCCCTCCCTTGCCCTTCCTCAAGCCAGGAAGCAATAAATAAGAAAGGAATATGTGATCTTTGGAAACAGGTTGTTAAAATGCATCACTGTAGGGGTGTCACACTCTTAATGTTTTCTATCATCTACCCATTCTCTGAACGGTGACCAAAGAGCTTGGTTGTCAGATAATGGGTAGGTCTGTTACCTCTTTATACCAGTTGTATTCTTCTCATTGATTACAGAACTTTGAAATTAGAGGACACAGAGAAATAGGCAGAGGAGTTGGGATTCTGAACTTTTTGTCTTGGAATGATTATTTTATTTTTAAGAAATAAAGTACCCTTTATTTTTAAAAATAAAGGATAATTTTTTAAAAGCACCCACAATAGTCAACCCACAATCATTAAAAAGTTAAGATATTCAAAGTCTAGTAATAACATTTGAAAGAATCTTAGATTGTAGTTCTTTCTGAAAATAAGTTAAAACCAGACACTGAATACTACTGCCTCTTTTAATTAACAATTGTGAGCTGATTATCCACAAATCATTATTTTGCACACATCTTAAATGACTTAAGTGGTTCCTGAGGTTGTGGCAGGACCAAATGACTCTGCTATTTTTGAGATCTCAAGAAGAATTACAGAAGCACAACTTAGGGCCATGCTCAGGGCTGAAGCTCCAAACTATCAAAGTTTGGAGATATTCACACTTTTGTTTCACAGATTTTGCCCAGCCTTTGCAGAAAGAGAAAGAGGACACCATGATCTGGTGCCTCAACCAGCAACTTAATGAGCGTGACAAACAGGTAAGGCAGTCACACCTGTATCTGCAATGCTACAAGCCGGACAACAGCTGTGCTGAAGGGCAGAGGTGGTGAGAGATAAGGGCTGAGATGAAGAAGGGGTAATCCATCAGCAACACTGGAAGGTCCTACCACTCCCATCACCTGAAATACAAACAGAGCACATGACCAGCCTCGACCATTGCAATTTCATGCAACCATAGTAAAGGAATTTCATTCAATAATAATATAATAATAATAATAAATTGAAGGTTGGGCATGTTACTTTCATTCTTTTCTTTATCATTGCCTTCTTCTGAAGGCATGTAATGTCTGGAGTCAGATCGATCATTACAATGGATTCAGCCAAGATTTTGTAGAATGTTGTTCATAGCTAACTATGTAAATAATGAAAGATGAACCAAAAAGCTTTTCTAATTGGGAGACTGAATACTTACTTGTGGATTCAAAGGAATGCAGTCAACATTCTTGGATGGAGCAAATACTGACAACAATGATGATGGTGGCAACAGCTCTATTTGCAGTAGGCATTCCAACTACAGATTCCATTCTCAACTAAGTAAGCAGCAGATCCTACTCAATGAAATGCTCTAACATGGTTTCCATACATTGTACAAAACCTTGGCCAGACCAGACTCCAGATATTACATAAATAAATAAAATATTTTTTCATTACATAAATTCTAGATTGGCCAACTCATTGTCATTTTGCATTCAAAAAAGAAAAGGAAAAACCCTCTTTGCATTTTAAGATCCCCCACCCAAGACTACCTCAACTTCTAGCCAATTTTGCAGATTCCTCCACCCCACTCTCCAACTGGCAGCCCTCAACTCTCAGCGCAACTTCAAGAGGTGAATTGTCAAAGTAGTGCATGGGAAGCAGCACACCAAATTCCATCTGGGTAGGGATGGGTCCCTGTATCTCCCCACGCACCACCTTGAAATGTACCTCACTATTTTCAGTGTCACCTGAGCCATTTGTTTTCATGGGTAGGTAGGGGCACAAAGTAGTTGACCTGTAAATCTTCAATGCAGAGAAATCAATAGCAGAGTTAAATTGTGCAAAGTTTCATAAGATTGCCACTTGGCTACTCACCAGATTGACACAGACATTGATCAGTGACCTAAGGTGAGGCAGGAAGGATATGATTGGCTGCCTCTGAAGTGTCAAACAAACCCCTTCAATCAAATTGCTGGCAGGCTCCCACTCAACCTGTCGCCTGGAATACAATATAGGAGCCATTAGCGGGCTGACTCCCTTCTAGAGACAGTCTGAAACAAATGAATGAGACAGTGATTCTGACGCCATCTAAGACAGGACGTGTGTCCGAGAAAACAAAGTGCTTCATACAGGGTGAAGTTTATCCATGCTGTTCCAAAAGTATAGCGCACACTGGGAGGGAAAGAAGATACTGAAAGCGTAGCAGAGACACTCCTGCCCCACCAACTAATGAGACAAAATCTACTGAAGAAAAAACAGAGATGGTGAATGGGTTGCATTTTAAGTTCCCTGATTTTAGCTTTGAGAGGGATACCTAAGACTATCATTTTAGGAGACCATGATATGAGTAATTACTCCCAGTGAAATGAACACCTCCAAATGCATTTCTGAAATTTATTTATCAAAACACATTTGATTCCATCAATTTTTATGCCAGACTACTACTAATTGGATTATGTGGTTTGACTCCTGTATAAAAGGTCACATTTGAGGAGAATGGTCTACTCAAAAAGTATTCTTTCTTGGCCTCCCAAGAAATGATATTTTAGTTACTTTCTATGGTAGTATAAATGGTGGTGCACATACCCTAATTAGATAAACATGGCATTTTCTGTAATAAAAATCAAACCAGTTTGAAATTATCCCAGTACCAAAACACTCATTCCTATACTCCAAAATAAACAGGTTGGGTTTTGCCATATATTTTCTTGGAAGTACTTCCTAGGCTCACATACCTACCAAAACAGAATCCCTGCAATGACACAATGAAGACAAATTCAAAAAGGAAGATATATTGACATTCTTGATGCCAAAAGTGCCCACATAACCCATAGGTCAGGTTCAGTCACTACTCCTTATGTTGAACTGAGGTCATGTAAAGAAGTTAAATTCAAACTATTATGCTTTCCAGGAAAACTACCTACAACTGACCAAGTCTTTGCATTAATCCCGAAATCTGCTTTTGAGAAGCATGATGATATTTTATAAAGGGCTTAATTATATGAAAATAATATAATTAATAAAATAATTATATTATAATTAATATAATGTATTAATAATAAAATAATATAATATTATTTTATATGAAAATAGGCCCATTTATGGAGATGTTTAACCCCTTTAGATACCAAATTATTCAAGGAGAAGAATTTATTTTGGCATACACTCATAAGACAGTTACAAATAAATCTCTGATCAGCCATTTGCCAATAGACACAAATCCTCCACTGGGACCACTAAAGAAATAGTGCTTTAAGAACAGGCATTTCTATGTAACTGAAATAATCTTGAAGTAATGTTTAGACATTCATTGGCATGGCATAAAAGGCTATAAGAACAATTATTAGCATGAAATCAATTTGTGTTTTTCAATGATTCCTGATGAATGTAAAGAAGAGTGCAGGCTAATAGCTGCAAAAATTCTGACAAACTGAACCTTAAGTGCTATAAGTTCTTGGGAAAGAGTTACATTGATTTTGGGTCTAGTTTAAAGGGACAGAAGAAGCTCTCGCTGAGCCAAATTTGAAATTTCGAAGTTAATGGGTTTATGAGCATTTGTACATTGAACCACCTGCTCACTATGACTACAGTTTCCCAAGTCTGTTCACTGGTTCAGAGGAATCTGCTCAGAGGAGGGGTACCAATAGATATTTCTCAGGCCTACCTGTGTCCATTTAGAGCTCCATTGTATCAGGTGAAAAGGTGAAAATTAGGCATTTCTTACCAGTCCTATGTACTTTTTAGCTGCTGATTATTGTAAAACTTGACATTTTTCTAAGTTTGCACCTAAATATATTAACTTACTATGTTAAATTCAGTACTTTGAACATCAAATTAACTTTTCTTCTCTCTTCAGTTGGTTATTAATAGTACCTATTTCTGTTTTAAAAGGGATTAAAGTATACTAACTGAATTCCTTATGTGCATCAGATAAGGGACTTGATAGCTAAAAAATGGTAGCATTTCTTAATATGAACATGTGTATTTTTAAAGAAAATGCTATTTCCTCAAAATGGATCCTACTACTTAGGCACTCATAGTCCTAGTTAGCTCTGTGCATATACTAACAGAAAACTTTTAAGTCATTCATTCAAATCCAGATTGTTAAAAAAATAACAAATTCTAACTTTGAGGCCTATGACCTCAAGCACTGAGTAGGAGGCCCCCTCACCTCAAAGTAGGCATCTTATGAATTTTGTTGAACATTCTATCCAATCTCTTTAGAATGAGGATAAGGGCTGGCCTCACTGCCTCAGCTGTCCAGTCTGTAATGGGTAGCATCTCCATGATATAGCGCCGAAGCCCACGGCTCTCCATTGTCTGGGTGTCATAAGGTGCCAGCTTCAGAAGGGAATGTGCAATTTCTGCCAACCTAAAGTGATTTAAAAAAAAAATAATGAGTGAAAAATGCCACAATGGGAATTTTCCCACACAGCCTTATTCTAATCACCTCCTGCCAACACATCAGCTCCCTGAACTAAGAATATTATTCCAACACCCTCAATCCCTTTGCTTTTCTCACACATATCAATACAATGATAGGTGCACAGGCACAGTAATGGACAATCATGGAATGTTTAAGAAGGGAAACTTGAGGAAATTAAAACGCAGAAAGTTGAAGGATTGGCCAAGTATATCTAGACAATGTTATATACACATATATTGCATACAAAGCTATTAGGATATACAAATCCACTAAGAGTAGTACAATGGTATTATGTTCTTCCTTTTATCACATATATAACTATAACATTTTAATAAGGAAAAATGTTGGCTATTATAAGAGATCAGGAGAGAAAGGATAAATGCTTAAAGGATCTGCAGTGTAAACAAGGGGATTGGACTATGAGCACATGATAAAAGCGAGAGCACACAAGGGAGGGGTGAGGATAGGTAAGACACTTAAAAAACTAGCTAGCATTTGTTGCCCTTAATGCAGAGAAACTAAAGCAGATACCTTAAAAGCAACTGAGGCCAATAGGAAAAGGGGACCAGGAACTAGAGAAAAGGTTAGATCAAAAAGAATTAACCTAGAAGGTAACACACACACACAGGAAATCAATGTGAGTCAATGCCCTGTATAGCTATCCTTATCTCAACCAGCAAAACCCCTTGTTCCTTCCTATTATTGCTTATACTCTCTCTACAACAAAATTAGAGATAAGGGCAAAATAGTTTCTGCTGGGTATTGAGGGGGTGGGGGGGAGAGGGAGGGGGCTGGAGTGGGTGGTAAGGGAGGGGGTGGGGGCAGGGGGGAGAAATGAACCAAGCCTTGTATGCACATATGAATAATAAAAGAAAAAAAAAAAAAGGATCTGCAGTGTAAGAGCTGTCCAGGTGTTTTGCTTTAGGAATCTCAGCCAAGCCTTTGCCTCTCTACTTGGAATGTTTACAAGTGCTTCACATGACTAGCACCATGGGTAGGAGAACTCAACTCATTCTATCTTTGGAGGTCCATACTGTGAGAAGCTCTCCCCATGTAAGGCCCTTAAATTCCCTCTAGTGTCTTCCTATTATGCTCAATTCTGAAAGTATAAATTCAATCCATCTTCTTCATGGCAACTCTTCTTTGTCATCTGTCTTTTTATCTACACTGTCTTCTCTTCAAATCAAATATCCACATTGTCCTAGAAATTGTGTATGAATTAGGGTGTTCTAAATAAACCATTTAAAACAGTTTATACATTCTTTTGTTTATCTCTTCCTCATAAGTGTGCCATGCAGCAAGTAATTCTTTACTTCTCAGGTTGTCTGTATGACAGGTAAGAACTATTTCTTTTTCCTTTATTATTTTAGGGATAGCATTTAGACATGTTTGAGAAATGATCAATCAGTCTATTTTATGTGTGAGAACAATACTCAGAGCTGAATGAATTTGAGAGTCATTTTATAAATTACTACCTTAATTGTTTTAATCCCTGGTCATATGACAAAATGATTTGAGCCTACAACAAAACTTCCCTTTCATACAGTATTTGCTGTATTATCACAACAAATAATCTCTAGGGTTTTTTTTTAAGGTTACTTTTGCTCATTTCCAATGAGACTACAAGAGATTTTCCAATTGGGAGGGAGAGAGGAAGAAGGGGAGCAGAGACAGAGAGAGAGGAGAGAGAGTAAGAGAGAGGGGAAAGGAAGAGGAGAAAGGAGAGAGTGAGTGAAAGAGAGATTGAAGAGAGATAGGAGAGAGGAGAGAAGAACAAGGGAGGAGGGAGGAAGGGAGAGAGGAGGAAAGGGAGAGGGAGATAACTGCAGGTTCACTTTTGTCTGTGTTGGGCAAAAGAGGCAATAAATCACTTTATGGCACAGATTCTATCTAGTCAAAATTATTTTCCCCAGGAGGCTTATAATCAACCATATGTTCTGCAGATGCAGGAGTGCAGACTACCTCAGTACGACTTCTTAGCTCTTTGGCTTGATTTAAATTCTTCCTGAAAAATTAATGTGAGTCAACTCCCTGTATAGCTATCCTTATCTCAACCAGCAAAAACACTTGTTCCTTCCTATTATTGCTTATACTCGCTCTTCAACAAAATTAGAGATAAGGGCAAAATAGTTTCTGCTGGGTAGCGAGGGGGTAGGGGGGAGAGGGAGGGGGCAGAGTGGGTAGTAAGGGAGGGGGGTGGGGGTGGGGGCAGGGAGGAGAAATGACCCAAGCCTTGTATGCACATATGAATAATAAAACAGTTAAAAAAAATTCTTCCTGAAAAATTCTCTTGCATCTTTGGTATTGCCCTATTTCTCTTTTTAAAATCAACTCTCTTTGAGGCTATCCATTCTTATGCTTTTAATTATCATCCACAACTCACAAATTTATATGTTTAGCTTGCCTTCTACATATATCTGTGTGTTTAATTTATAAGAGAAAAGTTTATATTCTTTGCTTGGTATAGAATCCAAGCATTTTGATCTGCCCCTCCTCAACAAAAAAAATGTCAGTTTGGGCAGAAAACATGCAGGCCTGTATTTGTTAAAAGTTTCTTGTACAATATTGCATTAATAGAGGACATTAAATATTTCCTGGCTAGTAAAACCTGTGGCCTCCTGTAAATAAAGGCCACAAAATAATTGTGCTCTTGAATGACACTGTTCTGTTCCTCTTGCCAAATTGCATTATGGTTTTATGCCAGCTTTCTATGCTGAGAGGCATGTGAAACTAGCCCTTTATCTACTACTCCATAGATGTCAAGAACACTGTTCCTTCAACAAATATCAGTTAGGAGATTATTTCTTGTTCATTGTTATTTTTATTTTTACCTATTTATTTACTATTTTTGAGACAGGGTCTCCCTAAGCAACTGAGGCTTACCTGGAATTCATTAAGTAGCCCAGGCTAGACTCAACTTTGTGATCCTTCTGTGTCATTCTCTTCTGATCAATGATTACCAGTGTGGGGCCATTATTTTTTTAAAGTAATAAAGTTGTTTGAAAAACAACTGACTGTTTTTATTTTATTGACACTATGACTTTGTAATCGATCATTTTTCATTTACAGCTTTTAGAAAATAGAAGAGCAATGTCAAATTTATGCTGCATGAATCACATCTAATATGATCTCATATCATTTCTTGTGCTAATGTTATTATAACATAATATCTCCCTGCTCAATTTTGTTCAGAGTCTATACTAATTTGTATATGCTAACTCTTCATATCATAATTTTCTAAGTTGCCCTGACTCTTATAAAATGATAAGCATAAACATACGTGATTACAGTATTTGGAACACTGTATTGGTGTTATTTTCTTATTTACCTCTAACATTGTATTGTAATAGTCTTGAGGATAAGGACTTTATTGTTCACCTTCAGTGCCTAGCATAAGAGTTTGGATCACTTATTAGTATCTATTCCATCTTAGATCCGTGCAAGGTACTGAGCTAAATTAAATTATATCTCGTTTAACTTTTAATAGCTGTTAGCCTCTAGAGGGAGCTCCAGACCACTCTGACTCCTATTGTTCCCTTCCTCCAAATGACCTAAGAGTGTTATAGTTAGCTACTACTTCCATTTGCAATCTCTCTCTCTCTCTCTTTCTCTCTCTCTCACACACACCAAACACACACATACAAATCTTTTAGTAAACTTTTTCCCTTACTCTCACAAAATGGCTATTGGTAGTAGTGATTTTGTGCCTCTGGGAATGTGCTGTTTACTCACACAATTACTCAAGTCAACTAAAGACATCTGAGAAGAGAAATGGAACGAATAGAGCTCTTGGTTGCTATGGTAATGACATTGCCACTCCAAACTTTCTTCCCTTTCTCTAAAGCATCCCTTGTAAGTGCTAAACTTCCCAGTGTGAAATAAGCTCCTCTCTATCACTGTTAGCGTGGGTGTGAAGCCCTGTGAAGCCCTGTGAAGCCCTGGAGTTTTCCAGCGTGGTTGCCTGTGTGCCCGTGACTCAGAGAATGTGAAATAAGCCTAGGGCAGAAAGTCTATGTCCACCATACACTCCTGCTCTCTCATTTTCCTTCATAACTACTTCTTAATGTTTTTCAAAAGATCATTTTAACAAAAAGTCAATAATAAGGAATTTGGCAAATTACAATGCTATTTCTGAATGGCTAAAATACAACTCTATCTTTAGCTTTATAGATTAACTAAACTTTCTAAGTGAATCTTGTTATTCATGAAATTTTCTTTTAAGGAATTTTTATGACCATTTAACAAACTGATAGAAATATGAATAATACGTCCTTTGGAATCACATTTCTTTTAAGAATTTAAAAATACAAACATAGGAAGAGGGGAAAAATGAATGCATAGAGATGCAATTCAGGGTCCTCTCCACAGACTACCAGGAATGAAAAATTTTAAATTGATTTGCCTCATTCAGTTCAGGCTTTTTACCAGGACATTGTTTCTTTTTTGAATTGGTGAATGCTACCATATACATAAAGAAGGTTTCAGGACCAAGTTAAGTGTGGCTAAGAATAAAAACTGCTCACTGCCCTGCAGGGCATTGCTATATCCTAGTCAGAATGTGTCCTCAATGGAAAACAGGAGTGTATTTTTCATGTAAAAAAGAGAAGAAACATTGAATTCTTGTGAAATATTAGAATCTGGGTGATAAATAGTATTTGGAAGAAGGCTACTTTTAGAGGCATACAGGTGATGAAATTTCTTTTTCATTTTCTTTTATGGACTGTGTTGTACTGTTTTAAGAATATTTCTCCCTTCACAACTCTGAGGTCCTTTTATGACAGACCTAATGTGCACTTTTCCAGAGGGTTTTGTATATGTACCCAAGTCATAGGAGACAAATCATTCAAGCTTCTCAAATTTTTATCCTGGAGGCCCCCCCACCCCAGCTCAACACACGCAGACACATGACCCAACTCAACTGTGCCCAGACTCACGGGCAGGGAAAGAACAATACCTCATGTGGGACTTCACATCCAGCAACTCCAGGGCAGTAACCCGTGGCTCCCCAGCCAGGTTCTGCAAGATCTTCAGCCTTGGCCCACAGTGCTTGTAGAATTCTGTGCAAATATTCAGCAGGGATTCCCGTGGTCTTCTAAACTCTTCCCGAGCCATTCGTTCATCCAGTTCTTCTCTGGGAAGGCCTTGCCCTTCTTCCAATAAGTGAAGGTTTTCCCTGGGAAAGTGTGAAAGATTAACTAGGAGTTTGAAAACATGGGCATCTGGCAGCCATGAGAGGAGAGCATCACACAGAAGAAAAATATAAAATTCCTGTTGAGTTAAAGGAGTCAGTAGGATAAGACCCAAGAGAAGCTCATCTGAAGGAAAGGGAAAGTTGAGCAGCCTAGACAAGATTTCTGCCTACCCCAAATTGCAGTGGCTTTTATTAGTCACTTTCTGAGGACATATAAGGAAATAGTATGCCATGTGTCATTTAAATAAATCTAATGGAACCATAGCTCAGATTCAAAGGCAATCATCTCAGCATGTCACAACTGGTATGAAATTAGAGCAAGTCTTTCTGTACCTTATGAAGTGCAGTTTGGCTCCTTGTTCCTGGTACCTGGGAGTCAGAAAAACAATCTGTATAACTCTCAGAGCAAGAACAGGGTCCCTCTCTTACAGACTTTGTCATATTTAAAGCTCTTGAAGGTATGCATTCTGATAAGCTTACAAACATCCATATTAATCCTAAAATATAAAATCCTTATCTTTCACTTGGCTTCCATGTACACTGCAATTATAACTGCTATGAAAGCTGTTTTATTGCCATACAATTTATATAAAGAAAAATGTAAAATGAATACAAACTCATGGAATATAGCCAAAGGAGAAAATATTTGAAAACTTTGAAATCTGAGGCATAGTTTTAATTCTTTCAGGCGACCAGAGGAAGAAACATGGCTGACTTCTTTGCTTTCTGAGACATATTGCTTCATGACTACTGGCTAAGACTTGAGAGGATATCTTTTCTCTACACACTATTCATCTGGTAGTAGTTGAACCTAATCCAATAAGCCCAGAGAAGTCCCTACAAATTGCTTAAACTGTATCATAATTCCTTAACGTGAGAAATTAACGCACGGATTCACCATCGTATCAGGCAATTGATAGTTGGGTTTGAATTTATTTTTGTCTTATATTTAATGAAAACATGAACAATGAATAGGGAATCAGCTATACATACTTAAAATATGCTTTTGAGAATGGAAAATTATTTAATTTCTACTCATGATCATTCTGCTAGGAAAAAGAGAACTTTCTTTTAAGCAGATTTTGGATTAATGCTATCTTAAATCTTCAGGGATGAAGCCAATTGAACTCCTTTCATGTGTTGTAGTATTTAAAGGTTAACACAGATAGAATGAACTAGATAAAATATTGCCTAGTATCATCAGTGTTACCTATGTTACTGAGTCACACCAAAACAAGGAAAAGAGATGATGTGAACAATAGTGAAAGGATCATTTGAGGATATAAGTCAAAGTTTGGATGAAATGTCTGAAGAAAATTTGCCCCAGGAAGGAGACATCACCTCCTGCTCATCGTTTCCCTTGTTTTTTGTTCGAGGCAAATAAAACAACACTGGAATAGTTTGAAGACCACCCAGGAAGCAGAGTCCATCCAACACTGTCACACAAATGCGCACAAATGCCAAATCATGAAAATGTTGGGGGTTTGTTTCTGTCTGTGGTATTTCTTATAACTCTAAAATCTCACCCTCTTTTCTTTTCCTTGAAGTTTTTTACATTTAATATTGACTATTTTCAGGATTCCTTTCATTATCAACAATTGAAATTCTGGCTGTATGAAATTGACAGACCCTAGAAAAATAAGGCACAGTGGATTACCTGGTGTTTACACCAGACGACATGGTGTGATTGGCTGTGGTGGTTCCCTTGTGACCTTGATCACACCTGCTCATCTGTGGGGCTGTCATGGGCCTGCAACAATAAAGATAATTCTCAGAACAAAACAGCAACAAAAAATGGAAACATTTATGAAATCATCAAGTGGTTATAACCCATATGAATTTTAAGTTAGTTTTGGAGTCTTAAAAAGCCGGGCAATCTAAATATAGGATACATTTTCTGTCTGTTCTGAGAGGAAATCTACTTATTTTTGTTCTGGGACTCTAACCCAGGGCCTCACACGTTAAGGCATTAAAGGATACTTTAAAATTAACATTATCTCCATGAGTCTACTAGTTCACTATGACTTAAGTTCATCTATTTCTTGATTCTGAGTAATAAAAAAAATAAGAAGTGATCAAACTCCTAATACTATATGGACACCCACAGGCGTCAGGCAATTAACCATTCAGACAATAAAAAAAGAAAGGCAACGGGTACATACTTCTGGTTTTCTGAGAAATCATCAAAGAATGAAATAATCCTTGTAGCAAAAATGATACCTAAATTTACCCAGGAAAGGGAGTAAATTTGTTTTGATTTTAAGTCAGGAATTTAGATTCTTGTATATGCAAGGCTTATTTTAAATATTAGATAAAACTTGCCTCTGTATGTACTTTTATGAAATCTTTAAGGCTTGCTTCTGTATTGCTCACATTCCCTATTCTGAGTATGGCTAGAAAGTAAATGTGTAACAATCACACCAGATTGTATCTCCCATGCCTTGTTGTAGTAGGCAGAATTTAAAGATGGCCTCCGAGACCTTTGCTGCCTGATGTTACTCTAGTGACTATGTTACATTATATGGCAAAGTGGAGTTTATCTGGGCAGGCTTAATTTAATAACACCAGTCCTTTGAAAGCAGAGCATTTTCTCTGGCTGGAGGCAGACATTTGAAGTGTGACAAGGATTCAAGTCTCTATTACTGGAAGATGTGAGAGGAGTGGAGGGACCTTTGAACACAGAAAGCTACAGTTGACTGAGAGCCAGCTAGAAAACAGGACCTCAAATGAAAGCTGCAAGAAATTGAATTCTGCCAAAAACTTGAATGAGCTTGGGAGTAGATTCTTCTCCAGTACCTTCAGATAAGAGCTCATAGTGACTAACGCCTTGATTCCCACCTTATGAAAATCTCGAGAACTCAACTGATCCTACTTGGACCTCCAGCATACAATACTGTGAGATAACAAAGTAATCTGCTATACAACAATAGCATATCCTTACCCATATAATATCTATATAATTGTTAAATTTCTTTTTTCATGAGATGAATTAAAAATAAAAAGTGATTCTTATCTTCTTTTTGTAAAAATGATGAAAATAATTTTGTTGTAGCCACTCCCAATCAATAAGAGTAGTCTTCTCCACAAAAAGAATATTAAATGCACTGAAATATTAAAATCACAGAATTTTAAATGCCAGCCCTTCATCCATGACTCTTCATGGAATTTGGGGAGAGTCAATTTTGGGTACACTAATTGACTTATCCGTCTAAAGGGGAATGGAAAGGAGGAAAGGATCAACAATATGTAATATGAAGAGAAGAACTAAAGTGGCATTTGGGGAAAAACTATTTTTCTCTACTCTGATTGAAGGAAGGGGCTAGTAGATGGACTCAGAAGGAAGACCACAACCCATATATTTCTCTTCAGGATGTTCTTCCTCTCAGCACTTTTATGAAACCATCTGCAAAACACTGGGACTATTTCTCACTGGAGCAGTCAATTTGTCATGGCACCCTTCTTCACCTCTTCCTGTTTACTCACTTTGGGTACATGAACATTTTAGGATGGCACTTGACCCAAGGCTCTTAGGTTCTATTCTGTTTGCCTAGGTTGGCAGTACGGCTCATGATTAGAAACTAAATATATATTGAAATTCATGAACAGTAATTCCACTCACTCTCTCACTTTGTGGATGCATGCTGAAAAAGTCTTTCCTAAAGAACATCAGATAGCCCTGTTAACAACATGGCAAGATGGGGTTGGGGAAATGGAGGTACACTGTAGGGGGAAGAGAGGTAAGTCATAGACAGAATTTTGGGCTCCTTTAAGGATATGGCACTTTAGACTGAACATACAGCATAGCACAGTGGAATGAAGGAGCAAAGACATAAACCCAGGAAAACTTTCCCATCCTCATGAATATCTCCTTCTAGTTAGTTTAGAGAGATCAGAGAAAGAAAGCTAATCACATGCCTAGTGTCCTGTACCCACCTTCCTCACTTTCACTCCATCTTTTGTCCCATCTGGAGCCTCACCTGGACCTTCTCTGCCATGTGGGAGCTCAATTTCTTATGCTTTTGCACCCAAGAATCTTGTGACAAAATTAACTTGTTTTTTAAAAAATATTTTAAACTTTATTTAAACATACAACATACACATGTAGTGAAAGATCACATGCTACCCTATTAATATGTATAATTTTTATGTTTCAATGTGTCAATTAATAAAGAAAAAAGAAAATACTCGACTGTAGGGATGAGGAAGAGGACCTGGGAACAGATGCATAGTATAACGTATTCCTCCAATCCACCAGTCTTTAGCCCATGCCTCTCTTCCACTTCCCAAAGCACTAGGTATCTAAGTTGTAGTACCTGTGTCTATCAGGACTTAGACTGTAACTTCCTCTGCTGAATGCACTGCTCCTGCTCAACCCACTGTTCATCTTCCAAACACCTACTACTGTCCTGTGTATATTCTTGCCATCCTTTGCCTCCTATTATCTCTTCTTCTGTCCTCTTGGGTCTTATGAGTTTCTACTTTATAAATTCTCTTACTAAGCGTTAGTGACATTTCAAGCAGGAGAGGAGACAAATATGCCTCTGCATAATCATCCGTGTTTAATCTGAAGTCCTCTTTGCATTTAAAAATTTGTATTTTATTTTTGAATTGGTATACATTAATAAATGAGGGGATTTCATTGTAATGAGAATTAACTTCTTCAACCTCATTTAGGCTGAACTTTGGTGATAATTTGCCTTTTCTTCCTCAAATCTCTCAACCCTGTCTCCCAGCATTCTTTCATCCTACTCCACAAACAATCTGTCATTTCTGCCATTAGGATAGCATTCTGCAGTTTATATTTGTTTTGTACTGTCTAAAATTAGAGTAAAAAAGAACACAACTCTTCATGAACAGTAAAATAATAAAAGAATGCTTCTTTGAAACTTCAGACATTTTATGTCTCATAAAAAAATATAATAGCTAATACAAGTGTAGATCAGCTTTTCACATTCACTAACTTGGCCCTTTTACTAAATATTTGCTTACCATTGGGTTAAAATTACTGTTGAAGCTCATCAAACTATGTGTAATTGTGTGTTTAGCAATCACTGTAGGAATATTATTTTTATCATTACTACTGCTAGTCAGAGATCTTAGAGTTATTTATCCAAAGCCTAGAAACTATCTGAAGTCATAAGCCATAAAGTTCAAGGTAGATCTTTTTTTAAAATTTTTTTTAGAATAGGTATCTGTAGGCATGACTGAGTTTTAGAGACTTTTAGCTATAACAGTTTTCCTTTATTTATTTTTTGGGGGTTGGTACTAGAGTTTGAGCTCAGGGCCTTGCTCTTGCTAGGCAGGCCATTCCCAATTTTTTTCTTCATTTTTTCAATGGATACATGTAGTTTTAAGCTGTGGATATTTCTGCCTGGTATTACCTGGTGAGGACCTCCACACTGTAAAGAAGGGCTTGTAGAGATGTTGCAAGAGCAGCCATGGCAGCGATCTCTTCTCGGGCAGCAGGTACTGTCTCGACTTGTGATGTTTGCCTCTTTAGTTTTTGTAGATAACATGGAACTAAGGCTTCCAAGACCATCAGCATCTGAAGACTATGAGAAAACCAATTCATTATTGACCTTCTACCTTTGTACATTGTATCGATTTAAGAGCATGGTAAGCCTCTAGAGAGATGAAGAATTCTAAGTTTCCTTTTCATCCCACCCCAATCAAGAGTAAACCTATTGGAAATGTTGACCACCATTAATTAATTAACCAATTAGTTAAGCACCTGCTAACATAACAGGTGATGAATCCTGACTTAAGGAAGCATGTGACCTAGTTGGTGGAATAGACATGTTTAAAATTGGTTGAAAAAATAGAATGATGATTGGTGGAGCTCCACAGTCCAGCCAGAAAAACAGGCTTCAGAATCCTCAACAAAGCTGTTCAGGAGTTTTCTGAGAGTGATTTTTCTGTTGAAATAATTTTGGACGATCTAACACTTTTGTATAAGTCTGGCTTCCTAAAACTTAAGGTATTTGCTAAGCAAGAGTCTGTGGAAAGAGCCATTGTGATGAGATCTGGCAATGCATACTTAATAGAGTGAGTGGGCGCCACTCACTGGAGAGGACCCACCCTCCATGGAGTATTGGGGTATCAGAAACAGCTTAAAAGTGAAGAGAGAAAATCAAGCAGTTATTATGCAAGGTGGATTCTTGCCTCTAAAACTGCAAGTACATAATCTTTTGTTGGAAGATTTCTCAATTGAGTTTAAGAAAACAACACTTAATGGCTGATATTCTGAAAAAGCTGGAACAAGATTTTTTTTAATCCATCTTCTTTCCTAGAGATACCAATGAGTTTCTACTATAGTTTTTAGCAGTGCCAAGTACTGCTTTCTGATCATATAACTGTACCTGAGATAAGGACTTTAGAGGCAGGAAAGATAAATTTTCAGAATTTTATGGGTGTGGAGTCAGAGCTATGAGACTCTTTTGAGTCCTACCACCTCTTTGACAACCTAAAAAGAGTGGCAAGAAATCAGTTGTGCTTCCTACAATAATAAAGTACCTTACTGCGGATGAATTGTTTTACTAAAAAGGCTGGACAATTACTTTAAAAAAATTATACAAGGTGTCAGAAACTAAGGCTGCCAGGTATCATCTGGAAGTACCAGGTTTCTGGAGAAAAGGAAGCTTTACGTGTTTCTTTCAGACATTATGTGGTACTTTTCTCCTTCAGGCATTTACCAATTTGTAAATAACATTCGTGCTCTGCTGGTGGAGTGAAAACTGATGGAAGCACTTTGGAAAACTTTTCAGTTGCATCTACGAAAGCAAAATGTGCACACACTCCATGGACTAGCCAAGCATTCCCATCCATGGAAATGCATGCGTGTGTGCACAAAGACACACACAAAGCATTCATTCCAGCATTATTTGCAATAGCTTCAAACTGGGTTCAATACAAATATTTGTCAATAAAAGAAGAAATAAATTTTGGCACAACTATATAAAGGAGTATTACATGTGAATAATAAAGAACAAACTTCAGCTACATACTATTATGTGGATGAATATCATGAAATATGATTGGGTAGCAGAAGCGCCTATTGTACAATTTTACTTAAATAAGTTCAGAAATAGACAAAGCCAATTTATCATGACAGAAATGAAGATAGCAGTGCCCCAGCTGATTTTTTAATCTGAGTGGTAGTTAAGTATATATGATGACTATAAAATTTAACTGTAAAATTTTGACTTTTACGGGCTGGGATGTAGCTCTGTGGTACAGCACTTGCCTAGCATGCGTGAGGCCCTGGGTTTGATCCCAGCACCAAAAAAGAAAAGACAAAAAAAACTGTTTTTTACTTTTAAACTTTTTGCACAAATAAAATCTACTCGTTTAGGAATAATTTAAGTACAACAAGGACTTGGAATTACAAATATGGAAGTCCTGTAAGAGAACCTCGGAGGGCAGCTACTTGAGAAACCCTAACTTCACTTAGACATCAAGAAGCCCTCTGGTTCAACTTGAGAATGGAAAATTAGGAGGATAAATTAAAAAATTACATTTAACTTAATAATATTGGACTTTAATCTTTAACTCACAATGGTAAGGGATTTTGTGAACTCTAATTCTTTTGCTTTAATGTGTTTGAATTTTAACTTGAAAGAGAATTTCTTGTCTCACTGGGAGTTTGGTAATTGTAGTAAAACTTGGTGGTTTTCTACATTGCTAGTATTTTAATATTAGAAAAATATTATGGATTTCATTACTGTGGTGTCTTAACATTGTGATTTAATTTCAATGCAGCATCTCTGGTGCATCCTACTAACAATGTACACACTTGGAGTAGAATATATAGAAGAGACAACACATTTTTTGCACTCAAATTCAGCACAGATTTGGAATTAACTTCCCAAAGGGTTTTGATCTATTCTGGAACCTGTTCTGGAGCTGTGATATCATAGCAGGAGCAGGAAAGTGGGAAAAAGACCATCCTAATAGTCTGCAACCTCACCCCTGCTTTACCTTCAGCATAATACTTAATCCCCACTGTTTAAGATGAGAAAAAGCTGGGAATTTTAGGGATACATTTTTACTCATTCCTAATGTTTCCTTCCAGTAAAGAGAGTTCAGTTAATATAAATCCTTTATCCATTCTCTTTCTGGGAAGAGGAAAAGACCTCCTAAGAGGCAAATGTATAAAGCTAGACTGAGCATAATCAGCTCAGCAACTTTTTTTTTTTCCAGAGGAGCTTGCCAGCAGAGTAGGACTTTTAGAAGAGAGCTGACCCTTATGTATTAGACCAGAACCAACATCGTGGGGTTGGGATGACTCACTTCCCATGTGAGTCTTTTGGCTTCCCTGTACTTGGCAAAATGAAAGACAAGGTTTATGTTCTTGCCCTTTGTGTGATGGGTATTCTTATTGCTCCTTGAAAGGAGTTTTTGTAAATGTTTAAATATCTGTATGAAATTTTGTTTGCTGCTAATTTGTATTACATGAGGTAAAAATATTTTCTAATAAGATTAAACATCTTAGCCTTTGCATTAATTCCAAATTGGTAAAGATTTACAATATTTTCCAGAACCTCTGGTAGGACAGATTTCTTAAATTTGGTTTTAAAAAGCTTGCCAGAATGTTATAGACTGATAGACTAAATATAACACTGTATTCATTCAATTTTATTTCCTGTGCTATACTTATCATGAGGCACAAAATAAAGGGCTGCAGTTACCTTCTGAATGACTCAGGAGCATATGCCACCACAGTGACACAGAGCTTAATGGCTTCACTGATAGAGAAAGTCAGATCCTCATTTCCATAGCAGAAATCTGAAGGGACAAAAAGTTAAGGCATATAATCAGAATGGATTCCACTGGGAATAAGAGAAGTGTATTTCTTCTAATATCGTCTTTCCTGTTATATTTTGTAGCATCTTATTGGCTAGATTTTAAAATTTTAATTATTTAATTAATGTATTTATTTTGCTGTGCTGGGGATTAAACTCAAGGCCTGTGCTTGCTAGGCAAGTGCTCTACCACTTGAGACTTACTAGTCTCTGTTAGATTTTTATAACTGTGAAAGTTTTATTTTTTTCATCTGAAGGGAATGAAATTCTGTTTTCTACCTTTGAATATCTGGATGATAAATAACAGTGCCTTTTTAGGGTAGTTTTAACTGTCTTCACCTAATAGAAGACAGTGAAGGCATTTTAATGGTCTAAGTTAAAACAGATAGCTTTATATTTGAATGACATCGAATGCTACATGTTCCATGATAATGAGAGACCATTTTGGAAGGTTATTCACTTAGAATTGCCAAAGATAACCACGCCTTCTGAAAATTGCAGTACTAGTATAGTGGTCTACTGAGAAGCATTTTAGTATGATTTTCATGGCAGTGAATTTCTTACTGTCCACAGAAAATTTAAGAAAAACCAGATTTTAAAAATCTACTCATTTTATGTATAACACTGCTCCATTTAGTTTTAGAATTGCAACCAGTAAAAGAATGTCAAGGGAAGTTGTGCATTTACCTAATGACTTAAGGGGCTTCTCAGCTTTGACCAGTTCTAGGATGTCTAATATGTCAGCAGTCTCTCCCTCCAGGGACTGTAGCAAGTCAAATAGGCACTGAGCTGACACACCTTTGCTGTGCCCATTATTGGCAACATCCTGCATGAAGACAAACAAGTTTAGTTTATTGGTTCCTACCTCAGTACCAGTATGGCTGAAGAAGAACCCAAACATCATGAACACTATCACCAAAAACAAAACCATCACTTATGTGGAATTCATCTTACATAATTCTGCATCCAACAATGCTGGTACATGATTTTGGAGTGATACACCAAATTTAGGGGATCTATTAAATGCTAGTCTAGCACATGAGAGATATTTATGGCAAGTCACAAAAATACAGCAATATACGAACTGCTAGAAAGTTCACGCCAATGGCTCTTTTTGCATAAGATGGTAAGGTGAAGGAACTTTCCATAGTAGATTGTTTGAATACTTCAAAGATGTTTTGGGAACAGATGCTTATTTTAATTAAAGACTGTGAATCTCACAGATTTTGTTCGATAATATATCTCCAAAACAGAAATACTTGTCATTTCAAATCTATTTAAAATGGTGTTGATCCATTCATTAAAATATCAAATTGTTGCCAGGTGTGGTGGTTCACATCTACAATTTTAGTGATACAGGAGGTAGAGATGGGGAGGATTGTAGTTTGAGGCCAGCCTGGGCAAAAAGTTAGTGAGATTCCATATCAACAAAGAATCTGTGTGTGGTGGTATTTGCCTATAATCCAAGCTATGTAATAGGCACAGATAAAAGGATCATGGTCTGAGACCAGCCCAGGCAAAAAGTACAAGACCCTATCTGAAAACCAAAAAGGCTAGAGACATGGCTCGAGTAGTAGAGTGCTTGTTTAGCAAGCATGAAGCCTTGAGTTCAAACCCCAGTTCAACCAAAAAGTAAAAAAGAAAGAAAGAAAACAATAGATGCTTATTAAATTACTATGTGTCAGATACCATTCTGTGCACTGAGGTTATAGCAAACCCAAACCAAAACATGCACACAGAAACCAAACCACAAAACTGAAAACAAACCAATAAGAAAACGTAAAATCAGTCCTGTTTTCAAGGAGCTTAAATTCTTCCATGGAAGAATTGTAGTAGAGATACATGTTAATGACACAGACATATGATATGGTGGTAAGTTCTCTGAAGGAACACAGAAATAAAGTAGGGTGGGTGGTGGAGAGTGACAGAAAGGACTTGAGAATCAGGAAACTTTCTTTTTCTATTTACCATCCCTTTTATGAGTTGAGATAAACACTGGAGAGAATACTTAGACCGTAGGAGCTGAGGTAGGGATCGAAAAGACATGGTGAAAAGAAATGATTTTCTTATTGAAAGAGAAAGGATTTATGTTTTTCATGTCTGACTGGGTGAAGAAGGGGAGCTGAGACAGTGAACAACAACTAGACCCTACATAAAAATAGAGCTCTGACAGCAGCAACCTGCTCAGAAAGCCAGCCTGCTCTAAGTCAGACTTCTAGAAGTCAGACCACTAGCTCTAGTGGAAACCAAACAATAATTCCTGTAACAACTGGACCAACCTGACTAGGCCTTAATTAATAATAATTAATGACTTCCCTAATTTTTGTCTTCACTCCCAAACAGAGAAAGTCAAGTATGCACCAATCACATAAAATACCCTGATACTAATTAGCCTTCCTGCTGCTTTCCCAGGCCAACAGCCTCTGGTCAGGGACACCTGCAACCTCCTTCCCTTCCACTGTAGAGCTTTCCCACTCCTCTGCTGCCACTGCATTTCTGCGCAAACACAGGTGATGGTGGTTGACTCCCTTGCTGCAACAAGTTTGCATTTTACATTTGATTTTCATTTATTCCCATAGAGCATACTCACAGGAAACTCCAGGAGAGGGGCCACACTAGCAAACAACTGGAGCACAAAGGGCTTCCGGTGCAGAATGTAGAACTGGTGACAGGCAAATTCGATAGCTTGGCGCAGCTGGGGATTGCTTTCATAGTCAGAATATACCTACGGAGAATGCAATGTGCTCAGAAAGTGCCTTCCTGATGTTTCAAAGTTGTGTTTGTTTGCTTTCAAAACTTCTCACAGCTATGGGAAACTGAACAAAGTAGCTAATTTCTTAAGCTGGTGCAAAGGAATGTGAAATGGTATTACCTTTTCTGAGAGAAATTTGGCACTATACATAAAAGTTCTAAATATTTAAATATACTATTCCCCAGGAAGTTTATGTTTCAGAATTGATCTCAAGGAAAGAATTGAACAAGTATATAAAGATGTTCATCAAAGAATTCCTCCTACAAGATTATTTACAATAGTGGAAATTTTGAAACAAATTATTCATAAATGGTAGTTGGTCAAAGTGAATCATGGTACATGCAAACAATGGGATAGTGTGTAGTTGTCTAAAAATATCCTATAAGCTAAATGTAGCTACATGAAAAATGCACAAGATATTCTGTTACATGAGAAAATAAGTCACACACTTGAATATATGATATGATGCAACTTTTGTTTGAAAACCTCTGTGTGTGTGTGTGTGTGTGTGTGTGCATGCATGTGTGTGGATTCTCAAGAAGTCTAAACAATGACTATCTAGAAAGGAGGATTATACGTGACCTCTATTTCCCATTAAAATTGTATCCTCTGAAGTTTATAATGAGCATAATCACTTTTGGCAATCAGTAACAAATTGCCATTATTTAAAAATAAGGCAGAGTCCTGTGATAGTATAAGTAAATTTCTTTTACCCCCTAGGTTGAGCAAACTATGCTTTTCACAGCATATATTATTTTCATAACTTTTATAAAACTTCCCTAAAAATATAGAACTAGAATAAGCCCCAGGCCATGGATGAATTTTATTTCATACTCCCAAGCGTAGACAGATACACATTAGATGTAAGTAAACTGAAACTGCTCCTGCCAAATTCTGCTCTACCAATCCCATCAGCCCAAATTTCCTGGCAACGGAATCTCTGTCAGATGGAGGTCAGAGAATTTCTTGAGAGAGTCATCAGGTAAATACTTGCCATACATTTGACTTAAGAACTGTGACTCTTGAACTTTCTAGGACATCAGAACCATCTGAAAGTCTTGTTAAAAACACGTTACTGGGCCTGGACTCTGGCGTTCCTTATGCAGTATGTCTGAGATGGGGCCCAGGAATGTGCTTTTCTAACAAGCTGTCAGGTGACCCTGCTCCAGAGACCACACTTTGAGAATCACTGCCCTGTAAGAACTAGGAAAACAGATATCAAATTTTGGGGATCTCAGGATAGAATGGGATATTGTGAACTCCTTCAAAATTTATGAGTGGTTTCATTTGGTGCCTTCTGTTGTCTCAAAAGAAGATAATTGCATCACTAAAACGTTTCAGTGTAGATCTTTTTGAGTGCTACATATAAGCAGTACTTGGGTGACTTTTCTGGTTAGGTGAGGAGATTCCGGGCACCTGCAGCATGGTGGGGAGAATCCACTGGTAGCCGCTGAGAGAAAAGAGGTGATTGAAGTGCACAGCTGTGTTGATGACTGTGGCAGCATACTGCCTGAGCAAGGCACTATCTTCTGGGTGGAGGATCAAAGCCCCGTTAAAAACATTGAGAAAAAGCATGATTTCATCTCCCCAGGGAAATTCGCTCGGCATGCCCAGGAACATCTCCTCCAGGAGCTGGATCCACAAGCTTTTCTGAAGAGTGTCAAGGCCAAACAGTTCCTTCCCAGCTGTGAGAATACAAGACAGCAGAGACAGAATTAGCCCCACACCAACCCTGTCAGCATGAGCAGACGATCAACAGCGAGGGAGCTGCTGTTTTCCATTTGTTCCAGCTCCCTGGATAAGAAGATCTACTGCCGGAAGGGTTTCCAGCAGATCGTAGCTGGCATTGGCACAACACTCAAGTTCTCAAAGGATTTTCATCAGCACCTCTTTGACTTAACTCTGTGGGCAAGACAGGGCAGGCATTTGCAGCATTTTGCTGCTAAATAAGTTGGAGCTTTGAAAGAAATAAGTTATCCCAGTGAGAACGTGGCAGGGCTGGGATTAGTGCTTGGTCTTCTAATCACTGCTCAGACCAGAGCTCTTTCCACTACTACTCTGAACCTTCTGCATGAGGATATGAAGGGATGGGAATGCAGATTTAATGAATTGTCCCAAGTTAACAAGGTAACATTGGGACTTCAAAGCAGGTCTCTTTCTGATTCTCTCTTTACCAGTTCAGGTACAATTTAGTGTAAAATGAACAGATCTTAAATGTAGCGTTCAATGAGTTTTGACAGAAATATGCACTCATTTAATCCATGTCCAATCAATAAATAGGTAAATTTCATTTCCAGAAAATTCATTTCTTCCTAAAGCAAAGACAACTTCTGTTCTGATTTCTGTCACCTCACTTTGAACTTCACATACATACCTGGTTTTCGCTTAGTCGGGGACTCCCCTCCCCTAAGACCAGCACCCTGCTTCCTTTGCCTACTTATGATTGGCTGCAACTACTGGTGTACAAGGCTGGTGGTTGGGTAGTGTCAGCACCACCTGTGAACTTGTAAGAAATGCAAGTTTGGGTTCCATCCTGGGACTCGGAGGTGGAGGACTTGCCCAGCCAATCTGGGATTTAAACAGTTCCTCCAGATGATTCTGATGCACACTCAGGTTTGAAAACCACTGGCTTCCAGAACTATCTGCTCATAAAGTGCTCTCCATGTCAGAACAAAATAAGGATTTGAGATAAAACCAAGAGAGGGAAGGCTCCTTTCCTGCTTGGTACCTTGAGGATCACTGAAGAGTGAAAACTCAGCATCGATTGCACTCCGAGGGAAGGAGGGCAGCCGGAGGAGGTCTTCCTGAAGCATGGAGACATGGGACTGCTTGTGGGCTGTGGGGATCTTCTGGGTTAAGGAGATGAGAAACAACACCCGTCCCACCTCCTCCAGCTTCCGAGTGAACACCTAGCAGAAACAAATGTGGAGGCAAATGAAAAGCAGAATTGGGAACTAGAAAGGTGAGGGAACTAGTACAGTGAAGAAACTGAAGCAACATTTTCAATGGTAAACCAGGTTGATAAAATGAAAGGAGGAAAAGTGGGATGAGGGAGAAGTGTTTTTGCTTTACTACGCAGAAAGAGCAAACAATTTGTAATTGACTTTCAGTTCCTGCTTCTGTCTGCTCTCTAGAAAGGAGTTTTTATGGAGTTTGTGGGCTGAGGGAGCACAAGGCAGGCATTGTCAAGACAGTTCAGTATCACACAGAGCCCCTTTGTTTGGCTGTCATAATATGGAAGCTCTTCTCTAATATGGAGCCAGTAAGTCAGCTCCAATTGCTTTTAACATTTCCTTGGGTGCCTTGAGCTGGTTCCTGGCAGTTCTAGGTTTGTCTCTTTAAGAAAAAGGATGAAGTAGAATCTAGGAAAAAACTTATTTTGGGACAAAAGCTGATGGGCCCTTGATTGGTGACCCTTTGCCCCTGAGTTTAGATGACATGTTCATGGAGTCCTTGGTCCCTTTCTAAGTTCCATTTCTCTTTATGATCAGTGGACAGGAAAATGTGATTAGGAAGTTAATATATAATGAGCACCTGCCAAAATGAAAAGCCTCTATATTATCTCCCTGGGGAATTTAGAAGTCTTCAGATTCAGATGCTGTCAAAATCAGAGGGTAGGAAATGTTTTACACATTGTTCATATTTAAGATCTTTTAGTTTTCCCCAGTACCTCAAATCTTGCAACATATTCAGTACCTTCTTTTTTTAAAAAACAGTCTAGGCGTCTAATGGTAGCTATTTTGAAAAACTACATAAATGGTGTAATATTATGGCATTCTCATTTGTCTCATGAAGATATTTTTGGATAGTTCAATGTTAAATTAGCACCATTGATATATGGAGAAAAATTGAAATAATAAAGTATCCTGAAATTCTTGTTCAAGTATTTTATTAAAAATAAGAGTAGCATGTTCAAGCTCCATTCATTTTTAATTAGCATATAATAGTTGTATAAAGGGGTTTCTTTGTGATATTTCCCTACATGCATATAATGTACTTTGATTAAATTCTCCCCTCTATTATTCTTTCTCATATCTCCTTCCCACTGTTTTTTTTTTTTGTTTTTTTGCTGGCACTAGGGTTTAAACTCAGGGCTTCATGCTTGCTAGGTAGGTGGTCTTACCACTTGAGTCATTCTGCCAGCCCCTCCTTCTCACTTTAAAAGCAATTTTAATGGGTTTCATTACAGTATTTTCATACATGTGTATGAAGTATTTCAATCATATTCCCCCCCATTCACCCTTTCCTTTTGCCCTCCCCACTCTTGCTGGTTCCCAACCCTAAGCAATCCCCCTGCTTTACACTCAGGTCATTTTTTTAAGGTCTAAATTCCACATGTGGGAGAGAACATGCAATATTTGTCTTTCTCAGTCTGGCTTATTTCCTTCATGTGATGATTTCTGGTTCCATCCATTTCCCTGCAAATGACATGATTTCATTCTTCCTTATGGCTGAATGATACTCCATTGTGTATATACACCATGTTTTCTTTATCTATTCATCAGCTGATGCACACATAAGTCAATTCCTTAGTTTGCCTATTGTGAATAGTGCTGCAATAAACATGGACATGCATGTATCTCTATTGTATGTCAACTTACATTCCTTTGGATATATGCCTAGGAGTGGTGCAGCAGGATCATATGGTAGTTGTATTTTCATAGTGGCTGCACTAATTTAAATTTTCACCAACAGTGTATGAGTTCCTTCTCCATCCATCTTTGCTGTATTGTTGTTTGTTTTGATGATAGCCATTCTGACTGGGGTGAGATGGAATCCCAATGAACTTTTGATTTGTATTTTCTTTTATGGCGAAGGATGTTGAATATTTCTTCCTGTATTTATTGGCCATTTGTAATTCTTCTTTTGAGAACTGTTTGCTCAATTCATTTGCCCATTTTTTAATTGGATTCTTTAGGTGTTTAATTTTATATATTCTGGATATCAATTATTTATCCAATGGATAGTTGGCAAAGATTTCTCTCCCATTCTATAGGTTGTCTCTTGATTCTGGAAATTGTTTCCATTGCTGTGTGGAAGCTTTTTAATGTGATACAATCCCATTTGCCAATTCTTGCTCTTATTTCCTAAGCAATTGGAGTCCTATTCAAAATGTATTACCTCTGCCTATATTTTCGTGGGTTTGCCATATGTTTTATTCTAGTAGTTTCAAAGTTTCAGATCTACATTTAGATCTTTTACTCATTTAGAATTAACTTTTGTAAAGGAAGAGAAATAGGGATCTAGTTTCAGTCTTCTATTTGTGGTTATCCAGTTTTCCCAACACCATTTGTTGAAGAAGCTGTCTTTTCTTCAACATATTTTTGGCATCTTTGTAAAACAAATCAGATGGCTGAAGCTGTGTGGAATTATTTCTGGATCTTCTATTCTATTCCATTGGTCTTTCTGTCTGTTTTTGTGGCAATACCATGTTGTTTTTGTTACTATGCCTCTGTAGTATAATTTGAAGTCCGCTATTTTGACACCTACAGTATTGCTCTTTTTGCTCAGAATTGCTTTGGCTATTTGGGGTCTTTTGTACTTCCTTCCATATAAATTTTAGGATTGATTTTTCTATTACTGTGAAAAAGGACATCGGAATTTTGCTGGGGATTTCACTGCTTTTAGTAATATAGCCATTCTCACAATGTTAATTCTGCTGACCCATGAACAATGGGAGGTCTTTCTATCTTCTAGTGTCTTCTTCAATTTCCTTCTTCAAGATTTTATAGTTTTCACTGTAGATGTCTTTCACCTCTTTGTTAGGTTTATTACTATGTACTTTTTTTTGAGGTATTGTGAATGTGATTATTTTCCTGATTTCTATGTCAGCTTGTTTATAATTATTATATACAAAAAGTTACCTATTTATGTATGTTGATTTTGTGTCCTGCTACTTTGCCGAAAGTGTTTATCATATCTAAGAGAGTTGTTTTTTTTTTTGGGGGGGGAGTCTTTAGAATTTTTTAAGTAGAGGACCATATCATCTACAAATAGGATAGTATGACTTTTTCCTTTTTGTATCCCTTTTATTTATTTCCCTTGCCTTATTGCTCTGGCTAAGAATTCAAGAACTGTATTGAATGTGAGTGGAGAGAGTGGATAACCTTGTCTCATTTCTGATTTTAGAGGAAATGGTTTCAGTTTTTCCTCATTTAGTATGATGTTGGTTATAGGTTTATCATATATAGCCTTTACTATGTTGAGGTACATTCCTTGTATTCCTGGTTTCTTCAGGCTTTTATCATACAGGGATGTTCAATTTTGTGAAAGCCTTTTTATATATCCATTGAAATGATCATGTGATTTTTGTCATTTATTTTGTTTATGTACTTATTACATTTATTGATTATCTATGTTGAACTATACTTGTATCCCTGGAATGAAACCAACTTGATCATGGTGTATGATATTTTGAATGTGCTGTTAGATTCAGTTTGCAAGTATTTTATTGAGAATTTTTGCATTTATGTTCCTCAAGAAAATTGGTATATAATTTTCTTTTTTTGTTTTTGTATCCTTATTCAGTTTTGGTGTCAGGGCAATACTAGTTTCATAGTATGAGTTTGATAGCATTCTTCCTTTTCTATTTTCTAGAATAGTTTGAGGAGCATTCATGCTAGTTCTTCTTTAAAGATGTAAAATTCAGCAGGGAATCCATCTGGTTCTGGGCTTTTCTTTGGAGACTCTTTATTACTATTTGAATTTCATTGCTTGTTATAGGTCTGTTTAGGTGGTTTACATTCTCTTTGTTCAATTTTGGTAGGTCATATGCATTTATAAATTTATCTATTTCTTCTAGATTTTCTACTTTATTGGAATATAAGTTTCGAAGTATTACCTAATGATCCTCCAAATTTCAGTGGTATTTGCCATAAGGTTCCCTTTCTCATCTCTACTTTTATTAATTTGAGTTGTCTTCCTCTTTCTTTTGCTTAGTTTGGCTGCAGGTTTGTCAATTTTATTTACCTTTTCAAAAAAAAAAAAAGAACCCAACATTTTGTTCCATTTATTCTTTCTGTTGTTCCTTAGTTTCCATTTAATTAATTTCTGTTCTGACATTTATTATTTCTTTCTGCCTACTGTTTCTGGGTCTGGCTTGTTCTTATTTTTCTAAGTGGTTGCACCATTAGGTTATTTATTTGGCATTTCTCTGATTTTTTAATGAAGGTACTCACAGTTATAAACTTTCCTCTTAGCACTGCTTTTGCTGTGCCCCAAAGGTTCTGGTAAGTTGTATTTTGATTTCCATTTGATTCTAGAAAATTAAAAATTTTTTCCCTATTCTTTTTTTGATGACCCATTCATTCTCCATGTGTTTGTATATTTTCTCTTTTTATTTATTTCTAGTTTTATTCCAATGTGGTTTGATAAAATTCAGGAATTTATATAATTTTTTTGTATTTGTTAAGATTTGCTTTATGTCTTATGATATAATCTGTTCTGGAGAAAGTTCTGTGGGTTGCTAAGAAAAATGTGTATTCTGCAGCTGTTGGGTAAAATATTCTGTAGAGGTCAGGCAAGTCCTTTTGATTTATAGTGTCATTTAATTCTGAAGTATTTGTGTGATTTTTTTCATCTAGATAACCTATCTATTGATGAGAGTGTGGAATTGAAGTCACCCACTTTTATTATGTTGGGCTCTGTCGAGCTCCATTCTTCCTCAGTGGATGCATCTATTGCTGCTACCATCAGATGCCAGCTTCTTCAGTGTTTCCACATGGACTCACACTGGCAACTGTCCAGGGAGTTTCCAGACCTTCATCCTTGGATGGGGGCTGCATCACTGATCCCTCTTTTCTGAGGCTTCCAGATTTTTGAATGGAGGAGTGACCTTGTCCTTTCCATCATGTAGACAGTCAATACTGGACTACCTAAACTCCAATCATAGGCAGAACTTGATCACCTTGAGTGTTCAGGTCTCATCTGGTGAGTCTCCTTAGAAGATATCACCTGAGAGGCCAATAAGTCTTTTAGTGAAGAACTAATCCGAAGTGGAAAGGCAGAGTAAAGACAAATTTTACCCAGCTACAAAGCTTCAGTAGTAATGGGCTTCCCCAAGGATATTTTTTCAACCAGAGAAGGGAGAGTAAAGATAAATGGTTATTGAGTTAAAACTGAAAAGGCTATTTCCCCTAAAAGCCCAGTTTGACATCTGGTCACACTGCTTAACCTGAATTTCAGAGTAAGCCACAAACTGGAGAAAGAATCATTCTTCCCCTTCTGGTCAAAAGCTTTTCATGTGATATGTAGCAAATTTGCCATGGGCCTGTGAGCTCACCATCTTGGTTTGTGACCAGTAGAAGAGTCATGCCAATAATTTAGGATGTAGGGAAAGGTACCTTGGGCATGTGGTCTTGCTATTGTTAGCCTGATTTTAAGAGAAGAAATTAGCATTACTGAGAGGTTAAGAACATTACTCAAGGTCACAAAGCAAAAAAGTGACAGAAATTGAATTTGAATCCATTCCACCTCACCAGAGAATCCAGTTCTTCACCACCATATGATTAAGATCAAGAGAATAGGTTTCTGGAGTTGGATATGTGGGCTAATCCCAGGCTCTACCACTGAATTCATACTGTAAGCCCCATGGAAGTATTCTACTGGCCAAGGCAAGGGGTGCTTCTTCTGTTCATCACTGCATACTCAGCTGTTTTACATGGTAGGTATTCAGTAAATATTAGTGGAATGAGTAAAAATCAGACGTATCACTGAATTCATAGGATGAAGACATCCTATACTATAGACTGGATTCTCTAGTCTATGCTAGTTAGTAGGATGCCCAAGACAGAGTAGAGGTATTTTAAATTGTTTTATTTTGGAAAGGAAAGAGAATGATCATTAATAGACCCCTGGTATTAAAGGTATATTACAAACCAATTTTATTTATAAACAGAGTGGGAAGGGATCTCTTAAAGTCATATTATCAGTAAAGCCTAGCATAGTGATAGAACAGGCAAACTAGGAGAGAAGGAGGAGAGAGAGTAAGAGGGGGGAAGGAGAGAGAGAGAGAGAGATTGAGAGAGAGAGAGTGTGTGTTTAACTCCAACTGGTATTTAGCTTATCTAAAATGTAAAAATCACAACATCTAGAAAAACAGTTGTCCTAACTTTGGCATACATGTAAAAATTATTTGTCATTAAAATATATTAAACTATTTTTTGAATTACAAAAATAAAGGTAATAAATACACAGACAAATTATATCAATTTTATAATTATGTAACTATAGTCATACTTTGCATGCAGAATAGTGACTTTCCTTAAGCTGTAAGTCTGATCTGTGGGCATTATTCTGTTTTTTAGACTTAAACCTAAGCAGAACTGCTTGATTGTATCTTCTGTTTTACAAAAAGTTATTAAGGTCAGATACATGACCAGTGGTAGAGCTGGGATAGAGTAAATATTCTATCCCCTTTACTTTTTTTCATCTGGTGTAAACTTCTGGAATAAGCATCTAATAGTCATATGTACTTTTGATCATCTCTTATGAAAATGTGAATTTATACTTAGAAACTAGTGGGGTGCTGGGTGTGGGAGTGGCCCCCTAAAATCACAATATGGAGGAGGTTGAGGCAGGAGGAATGCTAGTTTCAGGTCAGCTTGTGATACATAGTGAGACAAAAACTCAGAAACTAGTAGGTAAATAAAGGATATTTCTATTATTTATGTCCAATGGTTCATCATAACATTATTCCATAAAAGTTTTTTAATACCTATATACCATGATCCAGTTTATAACACTTACACTATTTTGAGCAACAATGTATTAAGCAAGGCCACCATCTACTCTCCTCAGAGAGGATCACCATGTTATCACAGAATCTTAGGGCTAGCAACACGTTTATAGATTATCTCTCCCAACAACACAGCACAGAATAAAACTGAGTGGTCAGGCACCTGTTTCTGAATGAGCTCCTGTCCCTTCTCCGGATGCATATGTACAAGGTTCAATTGTGGAGATACTGACCTCCGGAAGGGGTAAATATCTCGAACGTAGGTCTGTTGTGGATTACATAAAGAAGGGCAAAAGAGTTCAAAAATGATTAAACTTCATTCTCATTTCCAGCAGACCAACAAAAAAGTCAAACCAACAAAAAAGTTAATTTATTTTCTATGATTTTTATTCTTACTCTTCTGCAATTCTACAGAAAAACCCAGGAAGGGAAAGTAAACTCCTTCCTTAGGAAAGATTCAATCCATCCAGGCTGCATTCCCTCCCCTTGCCCTGGGTGCTAGGTTTGGAGCAATGGAGCCAAACATTCTGGAAGAAGAGGGTAACCATAAAGTGATGAGAGGGGTCATCTGAGGTACCCTTTTGTTCACTGGATCAAGTCACCATGGTCATATACATTCTATTATATAATAGAAAAAAGAACCAGACAGCATTAAACTTCCAAATAGACAGATACAGCTAATACATTACAACTTAATCTTTCATGGAGATGGAATTATGATAAGCTTGGCTGGTTTATCTCCTACAGTGATTACAACTGCCCTAACACAGATGCTTTTATCATTACCTTCATTTTACAAAGACATTAAAGGTGGAAAGGTAAAGTAACTGGCCCAAAGTCACATTGCCCCAAGTGGCCAGGCTTTTAACCTCTAAACAGTTCATGCCTCCCTCCCTACAAACTGTGCATGTGAGCCTATGGTCCTACCTCTACATGAACATTGCTACTGTAGCCTCACCTTATTGTAGTGGATAAGGTTCCATCGTTTATCCATGAGGAAATAATGTGTCCCTTGGGATTCTGGGATATTGAAAAACTCCAGACACTCCTAGGGTAACAACAAATTTCAATAAATGTTTATCAAGACATATTATTTGCTGGGTAGGTAAGATGAAAGATACAAACACTGAAAAAAACAAGGTACTTAACAAGGATTTGATATATATATATATATTACATATTTTAATATATTATATGTGTAGATATACAAGAGAATATACATTCATAGTTATCAAAACTGATATAATAAAGATTGATGTTGTAATATAAACCATCTACTCTCACAGTGTCCAAAGATGTATAGCTGGAATTCAGACTGAGCAACAGACTGTGGAGGCCTAGTGGCACCTTCTGGTCTCAATATCAGGGAAAAAAACATGTTTAGTAACAAAATTAAAGACAATCCAAACTACAATGCATTGAGCATATATATAATGTGTACTAGTTTCAGTGCTTGCCATTGTAGATAACTTGTATAGTTAAATTAATATCTCACTACTGTTGAAAAAGAAACTGTAACTAGAGAGCTCTTATTATTTGAGTTAGCTCACATTTGCCATGGTGCATTTGGGGTCTGAACACACTGATTCATGCTATCCTATTATTTAACATAAGTATATACATGGAGTAGTGTTGAAGTTTGCTTTGCTGGGCCTTAGAAATTCTCTGGAGATGTCTAGGTGAAGCCTGAAGGAAGAGTAAATTACCCCTTCTATTGAAATAACACATATATGTTTGGCAAAGATGAATTTCTAGGAGATCTTTTCTATTTATATTGTGGCCCAGAACTGTCTTCCATAAAATCCTGTTACTAAAAGTTTAGACTCTAGACAAATGGGAAATTGCTGAACTTGTTTACTTATCACTTTACCTTAAAGACCTTGCAGGCATGTGTAGACATCAGTTGCATTTCTTTGGAAGGGGATCATTGTAGTAACCTCTAGAAAATCCTTTCTTGACCGCTCTGATTTATTGTAAGGTATGTATTTTCTGCTTCACTAATAATCCCTGCCAGTGACAAATGAAGACCCTATGGATTCCAGCGGTGCCACACAAGAGACTCTGGCATGGATCATTAGCTGGAAACTAGAGTTTACCTTGATGGGCAAACCCAGGCCACCTCCAGAAGAGCCACAAGCAATGCCAAGAAGTTTCTAAGCTGGAGTTCACAGCACTGCAAGTCCCATTGCCAAGCTGCTGCTATGACACAGAACCTGCCTGGTGTTACCTACTTCAATGCAGAGCTAAAATGGCAGCACAAGTGGGGAAAATTCTGTAAACACATAATGGGGGAGCAGATTCTTGAAGAGTAACAAACTTCACATGTTCATTTGAAGATAGAAAAAATGTCCTTTAGTTCAAAAAGGTGTTTACTGAGACCATAGGTCTGCATAAAATTCATGTCTATATATAAAAAAAAGCATTCCTACCTTCAACAGGGCTTCAAATTGAGTGTCTTCATGTACCGGTAATTGGGTTGGGATATCACACTCATTCTGTCCATGAACTACCAAGGTTTTGGTACCTACAGAAAGTAAAAAACTACACTAAACAGACTTGATTATAGGAAAGTTTGTATGTAAAACATAAAATAATAAAATACTCTCAATAAGCTGATTTCTACAGTTATTTGTTAAGTACTTACTAGAGATGTGTCTTGTACTAACTGCACTCACTCCTTTATTCATAAATATATGCTTTATATATGCTCACTTATAAGAGATAATGGCTGTCATTTATGGAGTCCCCAATACTTGTAGCTGCCTTTTACCTGCCTTTTGCATCTCACAGCAAACCCACAAGATAAGTATTATCATTTTCATCTTAAAATTGAATAAACAAAATTTGAATAACTTATTCAAAAATGTGTACTTATTTAGTGGAAGGTCAACATTCAAACCTCAAGCATTGCAGTAAGTAATAAATTCCTGGATTTTAAATGAGATGACCAGGCAATGATGGTTGAGAAAATATAAATGAAGATATTATCAAAAACAGAACAAGTATCTGAAGTATAGTTTAAGATGTATTTTCTGTGTTCCACCTAGCTGATTAAGATAGATATTTTTACTTCACTTATTAATTATAAATCTTTGTTAACATGATATGCCTTGACTTTATTTATTTATCTATCTATTTAGTTAGTTAGTTAGTTATAGACAGGGTCTCATAGGTGGCATGGGGTGTCCTTAAACTCTCAATTCTCTTGCCTCAGCTTCCTAAGTGCTGGGATTACAGGTGTGATTACCATGCCCAGCTTATTTCTCGATTTTTCATGAAATGTTTAAGTATATGAGTGACTTGCTATAATAAAAATGGATCACTTTTTTAAGCTACTCTACTGAACACATACATATCAAACTGTCATTTTTGAATGCTTATCATGAATCAGGCAAGGCAGAAAGTATTTTATGTGCTGATCATTTATTCCTCGTAATTCTGCTGTATGGATCATATTCCTATTTCACACATGAGGAAAGGAAGCTTTGAAAAATGGTGTTCTTTTTCACAGCTTCTATTAAATAGCTAATAAATGTCAGTACCAATTTTAATACAGGCTCCTTTGCTGCCAGAACTTGTGTTCTCATTACTTATGATATTGTCTTTCTCTTTGTTTCAATACATGCATCATCTCACAGTTTCGTAGTCACTGAACAAGAATAAAGACTTGTTCATCTTAAGGACAAACGAGCTATGTGAAGTGAAAAGGAACCGCACGAAGAGTTCATATCACACGTCATTTTCTTTTGTGATCCTCCCTCTTCCTGCTTTGCCTTTTCCAATTTTTCATAAAGCCGCCTCTCATTGAGTTAAAAAAGCCATGCCATGAAAACAATATCATTCTCATCTCAGTGCCAAAAATTCACTCAAAAGGGATCTCAGTTCAGCTGGCCCTGTGTGATAAAGTTAAATAAATTTTTAACCTTGGCTGCCCTTCAAGGACTGATTCCCCCGGACTTGGTTCTGGTGTCTCCTTTTTCATCTGGCAGCTCCTGATGTTTTAAAGGCTCTATTATATTTCTTTTGATTAGATTAAATGAAAATTCTTTGATGGACTCAAATAATTTTAGGAGTTAAGACTCAAAGTTTCCTCATGAATGAAGGAGTCTTTCAAGGAGCCGTTTACGTTTACATCTGTTTGTTGGTTTGTGTTACCTGGCATGGAAGCAGTCACCAGGAGCTTTACTTCACATTGCTCTTTCTTCATCGTCTGCTTGAGGTCTTTGAAGAAAAGGCCTTCCACATACCCGACCACCTCCCACAGGAAAGTCAGAGTGGCAGAAATGGCATCCATCCCCCACTCACAGGGGGTTCGCACGAAATACATGATTAATCCCACCTGAAAGTCACAAAGCGACAGCAATCCTGAGCTCACATTCTCATTTCTTTGGCTTTTCTTTGTTTAAATTAAATCTTTGTCTGCACCTTCCTACTCTGCTCAAATGCTACTCTAACACTTCCAGTGGCAGTAATTGGACTCTGCACAAGTAGAAAACTGACAGCCAGGCTTCTGTATGCTTTCTTGCATCATTAAAAAAAGAATTCTTAAGAAGAAGGCAGAACATCATTTTGCAGACATCATGTCACTTAGTAACTCAGGAACTTAGACCGTAAAAAATTAGTCTGTGTGATGTTTGCCTACACACAATTTGCAGTGAAGAGTCTAATATGCTTAATAGTCTGAACCTGGGAGCCATCTGCTTGGCGAAGTCAGTATACTCAAAATTTTTGCTTGCAGGTCCTTTAAAATAATCCTGAAAAAATAAGCCCTTTTTCACATTTTAAAGTTCACATTTAAAATGTCTTATCACTCTGCACTGCAAAAAAAAATTATTTTCAAATAGGAGTTCATTTTTAAGTAGAATGTGTTTAACATTCCACACTTTAAAATAAGATGAGGACTGAGTATTATTAGTACATTTGATGAAACAGCTTTTGATTATTTTATTCAACAGTACACAACAAAATCAGAACAAAAGAATATAATATTCTTTTTTAAAAATTGTAGGTTCTAGCCATCCAGTGGTTCTTGAAAAATTTGGTAGTCCTGGCAAACTTTCCAGTTAAGTTGAAAGAATCAGTGTCACCAAGCTAATCTGCTTTGGTGGTTCTGGATGCTAAGTATCCTAAAGAGACCAAACCTCACCTTTAGCAGAAATGTATTAAAGATGGAAAAGCTGGCAAATCCAGTGGGTTAAAAGTACTTTGATCGATGACTACACACAAAAAGCTGTTAAACAACACAGGATGGGGGAAAAGGGCAAGGAAATTCAGTGGAGGGGGGTTACACTGAATTAAGCAAAATGGATATACAGGTGTAATACCAAGGCAAAAATCCACTGAATAATGAACAGACACCTAAACAATGAAGAACAGGAATGAAAAACAAGTCACACTAAAAAGAGCACTAATGACAGGGGGAGGGAAAAAGAAGGAAGTAAAGAAGATGAATAAGGTTAATGTATTTTCTGTGCAAGAATGAATATAGAATTTTAAAACCTGTTGAAATCACCAAAAGATGGGGACTAAGGTACAAAGGAGAAAAATGAAGGGGATGAACCAATTTGGGATATTATGCATATACACATGGAAATGTCATAATGAAACTCCCTGTATAGCTAAAATGTCTTTTTTTCAAAAATGAAGGACAAGAAAGGTCCTATCTGGGGGTCAGAAGCAGTGTGTGTATGTGTGTGTGCGTGTTTGGGGCAGGGAGCATAAGGAAGGGGTGGAGAAGGGTGAATATGGTGGAAATATATGTATTCATGTATGAAAATGGAAAAATAAGACCTGCTGAAAATATTCTAAGAAAGGGAAGGGGGGATAAAGGAGAATGACGGAGGGGATGAATTTAAATAAGATCCATTGTAAGTAAGCACTTTTGTAAATGTCACACTGTACTCCCAGTACAACAATAATATGATAAAAATAAAATAAGATAAAGCAATGTGGCTTCCTTAAAACTATGTACTTCAGGTTCTTCTCCATCTGACGAGGCTGTCAGCACAGCCAGGTGATGACAACTGGGATGGTGGTGTGGGCCTTCCTTGGGTACAGATGGAGAATGGTGATTGGAGTGTCAGACATGCTCAAACAGTGGTGGTATGTGTTCATTGAGGATTTTGAGATTTATAGTATTAAAATTATCTGGACACCAAACCCCTTCCAAAGTCTTTGCATACCCACAAAAGATATGCAAGTCAAGCAGGGCTTTAAATGTCCCTAACAGAGTCTGCAAGTGATGGGTCAATGTCCCCAATGTTCCTGCCATGCACACCTATAATAATCAGGAAAAAAAGAGGTGTATCCGGTGGATAATGGTTTAAAAATGACTTTGCCTTTCTGAGAACAAGGTCTTTCCCTCATCTACCAAAGCATCCATTATTCTGGAACTCGGGAGAAGATTAGTTTGGACATAAATACAAAGAAAGGAATTTATATTTATGCAAACTAAGATTTTACAGCAAGGTCAAAGTACAATTGACAGCTCTTTTCTCTGCTACCTTATCAGTTACCTACTCGTGTCCAACTTTAAGGCTTATTTGGAGTTGACAGAAGGAGACCACAACAGAAAAGAAATGAAATGGTCATCTGCTGTTCTCAGGACTGAAGGGTGGAGGAGAGGAATGGTCCAGGTAGGCATTTCCCTATCCAGTGACCTGGGAAATGAGCAGATACCTGGGCAGGTGAGGGTGACACAGGGTCTCTTGCCTTCAGTTTTTGTATGGGTTGCCAACAGGAATTCACCTGAGAACCTTTCTATACCAACCCAATGCAATGTAAACTTGGCAAGGCCCATACTTAAACTGAGGGAGTCCCTAACCCAGGTGTTCGTGTGACGTAGACAGGACCTGGAAGTAGTGACACACTTGGAAAGAGAGCTTTCCAGATGAAATGCCATAGGCTGCTGTCACTGAGTGGGATGCTGAACCAGGAGTCTTCCTATGCTAGAGCCATGGATAAACTCAGGGGGAGGCTACCACACTGACAGGAACTGAGGGGAGTCTCCCAACAAGCACCAGGGAGCAGACAGGCCTCAGGTGACAGCAGTCATGGGCTTCAGCTTTTGCCAGTCAAGGAATACTGTCTTATAAATGAGTGGCCAGAGGAAACACAAGAGACATACATAGAGCAAAAGTCTGTTTTCTCCCCAGTCTCTCGTAGCTCTTAGAAAGGAAAGCAGTGGGAAGGAAGTGGGATTCCTAGAGATGAAGCATTTCTGTGCAAGACAGACTGAACACTATCCAAAAGTCCTATTTATGTTTTGTATTTGCTGAACTTAGAACTGGATTGGACACTCATTTATATTTTTCCCTTGCCAACTAGCAAGTGGGCACTCCAGAGGAAGACCAAATTAGTCATAAATGAGAGCAAGGAATTAGAAACATTCCCTGTGTGTTGAATTTGTAGTGTGAGTTAAATTTATCACTCTGTTACAGATACATATGCACATACATGATACTTCCTTGACAATCATAAGAGAAAGAAGGAGTTCTTCCAACAGAGACATTAATGCAGCCATCTGTCTGCCTAGATTAAGGTGCAATTTCAAAGCATAGTTATCATGCCAAACTGCATATTCTTTTGGGATGTAAAAGAAACAGGTAAATCCACAGATAGTTGCCATGGAAAAATACACTCACTATTACTTTCTATCTAAGGGAAATACCTGTGTGATCTCTCTCTCTCTCTCTCTGTGTTAAATAGCAAAATAGGAAAAGGGAAAAAATGAGTAAAAATGACATGAACCAACATAAGGAAGTTACATAATGCTGGAGGAAGACCAAGGAAACTGAGAATTATTTGATTATTTGAATATCCCCCACATGCATATACCAAATGTTGTGCTTCTCCATTCTAACAGTGGTGAATTCATCTGCCCATGATTTACTATCAGTCACACAATTACTGGAAATTGGAAAAAAAATCTCCTAAAACCCTTTTCTCATGCTCCTGTATCCTATTTGGAAATGAACATTCATATTCTATTAGCTGCTGAGACTCACCAAGTAGTTGAAAAGGATGTGAGATGTCTGTGCAGGAAAGTCTCCAATATTTAAGAGAAGTTTGCGTAGCATGTACATCAACTCATCCTGAAAGAAGAGCAGAATGTTTAATGTGTCATCCAGCTGCCATGCTGCAGGAAATAAAATTAATTTCTTAAAAATCAAGAGGAATTTTTCTTACTTTTGTCCACGTGTTAATTTCAGTTGAGTTCAACATTTTATTATAGTATATTTGAGTCCTAGTATTGAAATTATCTGGAAAACTTTTCTCATATGAACTAACGTAAATATTACTGAGCAGCTGTCAGACAACCGTCTTTTCAGTGTGTCTAACGCAGAGGCAAATCACACAGGCTCTCTATTCAATTACCTCCTTGCCATGGCTTCCAGGTGTGATGGGAATGTGAGGAGAAGCTATGCTGAGAAACAGTTAAGCAAATCCAGTTTATTGAGCTCCATAATTCTGTTTCCTAGGTTTCCAGGCAATGAGATAAAGTGAAGCCAAGGGAGGATAAATTGAAAAGGCTATAATTAATTAATCTTATACTTTAAAAAAACTAGATCTAATCTTTTTTTTAGTACTAGGGTTTGAGCCTTTTGCTTGGTAGGCAAGTGCTCTGGCACTTAAATCATGCCTTCAGCACTTTTTGCTTTAGATTGTTTTTTAGATAGGGTCTCCCCTTTTGCCTGGGCTGGGCCCCTACCTGTGCCTCTGACATAGCTGGGATGAGTGTGTACCACCATGCCTGGCTTATTTGTTGGGATGGGTGGTGGTGGTGGTCTCACTAACTTTTTGCCTGAACTAATTTTTTTTTTTTTTTGTCTTTTTCTTTTTTGGTGCTGGGATCGAACCCAGGGCCTCAGGCATGCTAGGCAAGCGCTGTACCACCGAGCTACATCCCAGCCCTGCCTGAACTAATTTTGAACTGCGATCCTCCAGATCTCTACCACCCAAGCAGCTGGGATCGTAGGCATGCCCAGTCACCATGCCCAGTCCCTAAACCTAATCTGTTGAACGAAACCACAACATAAATGAACAAATAATTTTTAATCATCTGTGTATTTAGGCATCATGCTGGGCAGAGTGAAAATTAGGTTTTTGGTTAATGGGAAGTTTTTGGCTAGTAATTCTACCTGTACTACCAGCTGCAAAGTAATCAGAATTCAATAAATGAATAACAAAGCTAAAAACATTATGCTGAATTTAATCTTTATTTAAAGTATTGAGAATCTTGCATCACTAGCAATGCACCACACCTATACGGAGACATTAATTAATAGAGTAATTTTAAAAAGAGCCAAATTTAATATTGTCCACCATGATCATTACTTAACAAGTACTTATTGCTGTGTGTCAGAGGACATCGATGCTGCTTGCACAGCACTACTGAGTGTTCACTCTCGAGGATTCACTATAAAGGAAGAAGGATTTACTTGTCTATTGCTGATGGTCAGTTTTTCCAGAAAATGTCGAAGAACTGTTGATGGATCTTCAATTAGACAGTTCCACAAGACTTGCTGGGCCACAGCACTTACTTTAGGAGAGAAAGGACATCGAACATTTGTCTTTAATGGAGATACATTGATCAGATAAAGTATTCATACAATTTACTAAGCTTTCATTTGTCTCTCATTTTTTCCTTAAAAAGGTTCTCTGAACACTTTTTCTACTGAAAGGTGCATGTTTTTTTTTTTTTTTAATTGTTGTCACTGAACATTTTCACATGTAAAGAAAAGGAAAGGAAAAAATGCAGGATGGCCTTTAGGTATTAGCATTGCTTTGCAAAGAATACCTTTGTGAACATATGCTATTGTCCCTGCTGTGGCAGCTACTCTAATATTAGCAGCAGTCACTCTATTAAATTAAAGTGGAATTTCATTGCTTATTTTATAGATATATTCCTAAAGTAATTATTTGGTGTTTGAAAATATATTTTGGTTTAAAATACAAGCAATTTACGTTAGCATTCTATAATGTGATTTCTAATGAGTACAGAATGATTCATAATAAGATTAACTGTCTTTTGTTGGGCTTTTAAATTCTTTTCAAATATTTGTTACTTTATAAAATGCCCAGTGTACAATGTCCTTCATAAACCTTCATACAGAGCTTAGCTATTGCTTTAGAAAATTGCTAGAAATCAGTTCTCGGTCAAAGTGGTTTACACTTTAAGGGTTTTTGATCCACATTGTGAAAGTGTTCTAGAATGCTTGCACTGAATTTATTCATTAGCCAAGTGTAAGGATGCTCTTTTTCCTTTTCCTTGCCTCTTTACCAACTATCAGTATTTTTATTTAAAATAATCTTTGCCAGTTTGGAACTGAAATGTTAGATTTCATATTGCTTACAGGTTTTATTGGCCAATAGACTGTTTATATCCTTTGTCTATTTTCCTATGGGGTTTTAAAACCCATTATTGAGTTTTAACATTAAAATATTAACCTTTTGTCTGTCACAAACATGGCTTATCGTTATTCCTAGCTTATCATTTCATGTTGTCATTTTCCTCTTTAGGAAGTACTTCTGGGAAAGGCAATCATGTAGCAATAGATGGCTGTGGTGGGATCAAATTAATAGCTAAGACTCCTGAAGTGGAGAAACTCATTGTTTGATTTCCATGTGTCCAAATAAGTTTCTACTTCCTGGTCATAAACAATGTTTATGCAATGATATACATAAATGCAATATCTTGGTCATAAAAGTATAGGATATGGAGATGGAGAAAGTGATGGTATGGTATGCTATAAACCTATAATTATAACATTTGCATAAAATAATATAATAAGTGGTCAATAGATAATGTGTTCAAGAGCTATCTACAATTTTCTGTCAGATGAACAGCTTATGAAAGTCAACTGAAAGTTTAAGCAGTCAAAAGTGTACCTGCTACTCCATCTTCCCGCACCTCACCATCCTCCATTAAATGAACTATGGGAAGTACAGCTGCACAGATGCATGCTGGGAATACTGCTTGTGGGGGCTGAGGCACATGGTGATTTGGTGTATGTTCAGTGGTGTGTTCCTCATCTGAAAGGATAGACAAAAACAGTGTTTTTCTTAGTAATGTAATTCTAATGCAACATTTTGCTTTCAGTTCAAATCTTACCTATTGAACAGTATAAGCCTTGCAACAGTAAGAAAATACTGGAGTTTTTAAAAAGGTGAATTTTTATAGAGTCTCTCCTATGTGTTAAAACAAACAACAAAATCAGTTCACTTCCCAAGTACTATCATTATTCTTGTTTTGTAAAGAAAGAGCATCATAGGCATTCCAGAGCAGGTGGAGCAGCTCATGATATGAAATCAGAGAAGACAGAATTCTAAGTGGAGGTAAGACATTTTTCAGAGGCAACTGGTTGCATGTATTTGGGTGTTTATGATACACACACATGAAAAGGGTAAGCAGAAAGTACACACACTTTCATATCTCTGATATGAATAACACAGTCTACTTACATTAATGTTCTCATCTTCATTGATAAATACAATTGACAATAAATTCATAATAATTATTTTATGTAGGAATAAAAGAAAGGGCTTAGATGTAGTAATCAAGGAAGGTAAGAAAGGTTTTTAACAGCCTATAAATAAAGTAATTTTTCTTATTAATACAAAAGAAGTCATTTTTCTAAAGTACTAAAGAATCCTCAGGCTTTGATTCTCATATTTCAACAAGTGGCTATTTGGGATTTTGGAGTTCCTATGAAGGACGGGCAGATTCACTTAGCTGTTTTTAATTCTTGATTCACACAAGATGCATGTAGAAATCTTTTTAAAAATATGTAGATACACTGGGGAAGCACTTCCGGAATGACACAGTGAAGATTCCAAAATACTTTCGCCACACAAGGAATGAGAACATCTGTAAGTACAGCTAAAACAACCTTTCTCTGAACTTTTGAAATTAACTGAAAGTTTGGAACAATTTAAGGAATGTTTATTAAAAACAAAAAGGTAGATCTGGATGATATCAGTGATATTTCTGGCTTTTGAACTTGCCCTATACACCTCCTGCTATCCCAGTTCCTTGGTAGCCTTGAAAATAAACAATTCCACCCCAATGGTAGATATGAAAACCAGCAGTTTAACAGCCACTGGGGAATGGGAGAGGAAGTTAGAACAAGTTTGGTGTTCCCTAACAGCCTTACCAGAAAACTGTCACTGCTTGACCAGTCTAGTGGCTGGCTGGAAAAGTAATTCTCAAGGGATTTTTTTTTTGACCTGCTTCACACAGTGTACTTAGTGCAAACAGCTCTGTACCCAGCGTATTTGCTAAAAACATATTAGTCCAAAGGTTTTATAATGCAGCTGCCTCAGGTGTTTCTGATAGTTGGAATAAGAAGTTGACAAAACAACTTAAAAGGAAAATCTGGGAATGAGATTTCTATAGGGCGACGTAAATCTCTGTCATTTTCCTGGTATCTAGATGACTGCATGCATGTGTAGGGATGTGTACATGACCGCAACAGACCTAAGATGGTCCTAATCTCTCATTTTGGTTGACCTTTAAACTTTGCACAAACAGAAAGTGAAAAAGTGAAGGCTAAAGCAGAGCTTTAACCTACTGTAGCATTGAAGGTGTGCCTCAATATTTCTACAGGTCCCCTCAGCAAAAGTTGGGAGATTCATTAATTAAAGCAATTTAAGAAAAATCTCTGTCTAAAAGCTGGTAGCATGAACCTAAAGTCCCAGTTACTTGAAAGGCTGAGGCATCAGAATTACTTAAGCTAAAGAGTAGCTTGGGCAATATGGAAAGACCTCATCTCAAAAAAAACAAAACAAAACAAACAAACAACACCTCTGTATAATCATTATCTGACCATGAATCTAATTGACAATAGATTTCAGTGATCACACTCAACAAAGCATACAAACTTTATAAAATTAGTCCCAGAAAGTCAATAACCAAACAAATAGTAATACAACAACTACCAGCAACAACAAAAACTGAGGAAGAAAGGGGACATCTGATTAAAAGAGATGCCACATTGTATAATTTAAATTATTTTTCAATAAAAAATTATGAGACATGCAAAGAATCAAGAAAATACTGCCCATATAAGGAAGGAAAACAGACAAAACTGTCCATAAGAAGAACTTAGATGTGGGGCTTATTAAACAATAATTTTAATTGGCATTATAAATATGATCTATTTCAGTATACATAAATGTTCTATAAAACATGAGAAGGTAAAATAAAAACTATGTCTCCCATGTGAAATATTTTATATTTTAAAATGGCAAATATAAATCTCAGTTTATCCATAATTAAATAGAAATGGATTAAATACTCTAATCAAAATGCAGAATTAGTAGAATGGATAAAAAATGAATATATGAACAAGACTCAAATACATGTTATCTTTAAGAGTCATAATTTAGCTTCAAATACAAAGTAAGATGAAAGGAAAAAGAAAAGAAACAGATATGTCATGTGGACAATAATCAAAAGAAAGTTGGAATGGCTATGTTAGCATTGGACAAAGTATACTTAAAGAAAATTTTTACTAAGGGCAAGGAAGAACATGTTATAATTATACACACATAGGCACTTAATAACAGAGTCCTAAAACATAGGAAGCAAGAACTTATACAATGAGAGGGAGGAAAAAACTCACTTGCAATAATAGAACAACCAAAGAGAATTTAACAAAGAAGTAGAAGACTGAACAACATTATAAACCAACTAGACCTAACAAATACCTACAAATAAAGCATTATTTTCCAGAGTATATGTAATAAAACAACCTTAATAAATTAAAAAACCCAAATCATACAATGTGTGTTCTCTGACTATAATGGATATCAACAATAGTAGAAAAATTTGAAGATTCACAAATATGTGGAAATTAAATAACTTGATCTTAAACAACCAATGGGTCAAATAATAAATCACAGGGGAATTTAAAAAATATTTTTGAGATATCTGAAAATAAAAACACTGGAGAGTTATCTACCAGTGCTTAGAGGGAAAAACATAGCTGTATATGCATACATTAAAAAATAATGAAGGTCTCAAATCAATAACTTAAACTTCTACTTCAAGAAAATGCAAACACAGAGAGAACATATTAGTGTGAAAATAAGGAAACATAAAGTATAATAACATTAGAGAAAAATTAATGAAATAAAAATTTGATTCTTTGAAAAGACTGAGAAAATTGATAAGCCTTTACCCAGCTGAGAGAGAAAAAGTAAAGATGACTTAGTTTCCTGAAATTGGGGATAAAAGAGGGGACATCACTACCAAGCATACTGAAATAATGAGGATTTTAAGGGAAAATTGTAAACAACTGTACACAAGTTGGAGAATATATATTAAAAATATAAGTCCCTAGAAAGAAGCAACTATCAGAGTTAACTAGGGAAGAAATGGAAAATATGAATAGACTTATATCCAGTAAAAGGATTGATAGAGTAACAAAAGAAAACTTTCCATAAAGGAAAGCTCACCAATTCTACCAAACAGTTAAAGAAAAATTAACATCAGTTGTTCACAAACACATCTATAACAATAGAAGGGAACACTTCTCAAATTATTCTATGAAGTCAATATTGGTCTGAGTCTAAAATTAGACAATGACATCACAAGAATTGAAAACTACAGACCAATCTCTCCACTGAACTAAGATGTAAAAATATTCATCAAAATATCAGATTGAGTCTAGAACTACATAAAAATATTATGTACTATGAACAAATGGAGTTTGTTTTGGAAATACAAGGTTGGCTCAACATATGAAAGTCAATGTAGTGACTGTGTTAATAGAATGAAGAAAAAACACATGAAAATGTCAATGGATGCAGAAAACCCAGCATTCTTTTGTGATTAAAACAATAAAAGTTTAGGAACTGAAGGGAACTTCCTTAACATGATAAAGGCTCAGTCCAACAGCTGTCTATGAAGCCTCAGCAATGCGAATACACATGGTGTGATTAAAATAGGGCCAACTTAAAAATGACAATTCCTGGGTTAAATCAACAATGCACTTTTTAGGACTCCACTACATCTAATTTTTCATTTTTTAGAACTTTAACTCATCAAACAAGTTAATAAGACAGTGTAATGAATATAATGCTACTAATTTGAAAAATGTTTCAAAACCAGAAGTCACAAAGAATAAAGAACACATGCACTGGGCATGGTGGTGCGCGGCTGTAATCCAACACTCGGGCCAGGAGCAGGAAGATCATGAGTTTAAGGCCAGCCTGGGCTACAGGGTGAGACTGTCTCAAAGCAACAACAAAAGAGACAACACATTTGCAAGAGGACACACCTTCGGCACTGACTGCTGAGCGCACTGACCAGACTGACCCTCGGCGAAAGGAGTAGTTCCTGTGGGAAGTGCTGGAGGTACAGGAAGGGCTCACAGACAGCCGACGGGATGCCAGATGGGTGACTTCTTCTACTGGCAAAAAAAATGGGGAATGTGAACTTGGGCTTTATCATATAAATTTATCACTGTCACAGAAATGGTTGTACTTAGATCACAAGTGTATAGTGTTCTCAGAAAATAAGACTTAAGTAACTTAGAGTGTACTCAGGAAAGGAAAAAGAAAGAAACAACAACAAAAATCCCCAAAAAACTTCTATAGAAAAAGAAAATTCTTCCCAAAAAGCAGGGCAGAGAATCACTGAATATAGAATGGTTCATAAATCATTTTCTGATATCAACCCACAACTCCATATTTATGATGTTTGAAAATAGCTAGTGGACTAACCCCATTTTTAATAGTGGAAGATTGGCTGCATTTATTTAAATATGCATTCTGGAGTCAGCTCTTTCCTGAATCATGGTCCATTATCAGATTGGTTCTATATGACTAACAAACTCCTCTGAAAATAAGCCCACTCTAAACTTTAGAAAACAATTTTTCTATTTTTTTTATTTCAAAGCAAGTCCTTCCCTGTTACATAGCCCCCCAGGAGGTCCAGGTATAAAGGGCACCTTCTTCTTCCGGCTCTGAGCTGGGGGTACAGGTGGGCTCGTAGCAAGCCTCCTGTGTGATAGGGATGGCGGTGATGAGGCTGGCTTCTCGACCAAGACGTTTCTTCTCCTCCTCCTGCTGCAAGTTCTTTAAGATGTGTTCTGCCCTTTGATGGGAGCGGGACACAGCTCGGGCTGAAAAGGATTTCTGTGGAGACACGAAGGCAAGTTTATGTAGCAGCAACTCTTCTTGTAAGGTCATAGGTAGAAAGAACGATCCAATGAATTACATAGAGGTGATTAGTTTGTCCTCAAGAAATGGTAGGGTATCCATTATCTAGCTTCATGAGACTTATTTATTTATTTATATTTCTACTAATTTTCTAAAGTCGGTGACTTTCTTTTTCATTTAATCAAAATAATTCTTGGGGCTGGGGGCATGGATCAAATAATATAGAGTACAAGCCTAGCAAGTGCAAGGCCCTGAGTTCAAACCCCAGTACTACCAAAAAAAAAAAAAAAAAAGAGAGAGAAAATAATTCTTCAAGAATGTTTAATTCTTGGAAATGATTCTGTTTCAACTTTAGGAATTGAGGTGATATTAATGATTCACTCTTTAAACACTAAGAGCAAATAAAAATTAATCCAAATTTTTTTTACCTGGCTTTAAATGTAGGACATTTATTACATTAGGCTAATAAAATAGAATGTCAGAATAATGGTAAGGAGAATGAGAGAGAAACATCTCTCACATAAACTAGCTACTTGATTTATTTCATTTTTACCACACTGTAAATAACATTTGTAGATAAATACAGTGATACACTGTAAATATTTTATGGAAACAAAGTTACTGAATGGAAACCGGGAAAGTTGCTAGTGTTACTCAGGTTGAATACAACATTTGACTCTTTATTTAGGGGAAAAGGCATAAGGAGAAACTATTAAGAGCAACCCCCTCTTCAACAGCAAAACACAAGGAAAATAAAGGAGAGATTAGCTCAGCAAACTGGCCCTTCTACTTATACCTTCATTAGTCATGATGCTAATGGTGAGACAGCAGCAAGAGTTTTGGTCAGTGGTCTCAGAGCATGGGAGTGACCACTGGAGTTCTTCATCATCAATTGGAAGTAATATCCACAATTCCATACCTTTTTGTTGGCCTACCATCATATAAGGTTCTAGAGATGGACAGAAGATCTTGGCTGCTCTTCTAAAGGGCTTCATTCTATAAGCCCCATTTTGTAGGATATTAACTTGAGATTAATGGTTTATTGTGACAAATAACACAACAGCAGTTAAAAGCATTTGATAGGCCACACGCCAATTCATTTTGAGAGCCAGGTGGCTAAACTGGTTTTATTGTAAGGCCTAAATAAGAATTGTGCAATGAGAGAAAGAATACTGGATATAGAATCAGGGAACGTAGTTTTGAATCCATTGTAGGGAAGGAGAGTTGGTGGGCTCAAAGGAACCTGTCACCTGTGTGGGAGAGAAGTCAATGATCTTTATGCTATGGTTTAGATGCTGGAATTACTGCACATCTGGGAGAAGAAACAGCTGTGCCTTTCTCCTTTGGCACAGGACCAATAGATACTGTATGTGGACCAGAAGATACTGTATGTGAAAGAATTGAAATAGACTATGCACATTGTGATGGTTTACCCACAATGTTCAAATAAACAGTTCTCCAAAGAAAATTGCAATTGCCTAGAAAATCTGTGTTTGTGAAAATGTCCAACTTCATGTATTCAACTTTTTCAAAGTAATTTTTATTTACTGAAGTATCAATTAAAGAAGTAACACACAAGTTAGTTAGAATAGAAAACATACTTTTGCATAAAGTAAAAGGTGTGAGGTACAGGGTATAGTCTTGCTGGGGGGTCTTTTGTGAGATGTATCAAAAAATCTTTAATATTTACATGCCAAATTGCTATAAATTCCATGGGAAATTATTCAAGGAAATAATTATGGCTTTGCACAAGAAATGTTCCGTTCCTATTTTTGCTTTATTTTACATTTTTAACATTATTCTTAATTTAGAAAAATTCTGCTCAATAGGTGATGAAGGCATCTTTTGAAGATTTATTGCTTTTCAAAAAGTACATATTCTTGGTTTTTATCTGTGAATAAGCTGGGTTCTATGAGTTTATAGTTAGATTACATGCAGGAGTGACTTATAAGACAGGCATAAGACCTGAATTCTCAGGGTCGTGTTATGGTGATACTGATGACCAGCAAAATGAGGAACAAACAAGCAAGAGATGCCAACTCTTTCCTTTTTCTTACTCTTGCAGGGTCAATACCCTTAACTTTCAGGGAGCTTATATATTACAGCTTAAATGAAAGTTTGTTTTATAAATAATAGGAGTGCTCACTTTGGCCTAATGTTTTTTTAACAGTTTGATAAGGTAGTTACTGATTTGATTATAAAACAAAACTGGTGGCTTGGAAGTCTGAAAATGTTTACTATCAGATGTTAGTCCTTACTATTCAGAAGAATAAAGACCTCGGTGGGTGGTTCTCTATGTTGTTATTCCATTCTTATGAAAATACTCATTGCTCTTCTGTTTTACACACACTCCACATAACCTGGAGGTATGAGAAAGAAGATGCTCGTTACTCACAGACTGGTCTTCATTAATGGGGTCCTGTACACTTCCGCTGCACTGAGGGACCCACGGAGGATCAAACATTGGGACAGATGGCATGCCAAGCACAGGAGAGGGCAGGGTGAAGTTTATACTGGGAGGTGGGATCTGTTGATATCAGAAGAATGAGGTGAGTCACAACCTGTCTTTAGCAGGTGTTAAGGAAGTTCCTCCTCAAAGAACAAGTAGACATCAAAGAAAATTGCTGTCTTCCAAGATTTTCTGTTATAGAGCACAAGATGAAACATACCAGTAAAATGAAGGGTTTCAACCAAGTGACCTTTAATTGTGCTAATCTTTGTATCCTCTCCAGAACATCTATATGTGTGCAAATAGCAAAATGCCTGGAAGGTTACAACTCCAACTTCTATGTGCTTACTTCTGGGGAAAGTAGAAAGATTTTGAGGATTACAGAGACTTCATTTTCTTTCTTTGTGGTGTTGAGAATTAAACCCAGGGCCTTGCACATGCTAGGCAAGAGATTTGATTTTCTTACTGTACATTCTTCTGTATTTAAGTTATTTTTAATAACCAGAATGCATTCATGTTATATTTACTTACATAATCAGAGAGAGAGAGAGAGAGAGAGAGAGAGAGAGAGAGAGAGAGAGAAGCATTTAAATAAGCTTAGGTTGATTTTGGTAATCTAATTCCAATGGGAAGTATCTCTCACCTTAAAAATCTGCTGCGCTCCCTCCTCCATGCGGGGCCAGACCTGATAGCGAAACCTCCAGAGTGTGTGGAACTTGAGGACAGCGTTTAGTCTCTGCACAGTTTCTGGGTGGTGGAACTCTGACATCAGCATGTCTGAGACAGCCTCAGGGACCTTCACTGCACACAGCAGGAACATGGCGGCTGCACACAGTCAACAATTTGTCAGCTACACATGTTTAGATTCTGCTGGATTTCTGGGGTTAGGTAGAAGAGCAAACTTCTACCTCCTGAACTAATAGAGACAGGTCCTATGTGCTGGTCAAAGTCAATCTTGTTTTAGCAACTGGAAACCAATATTATTCATTGTTCCACCCACAGTCATCCAATAGCTGGTGCAAAAACAATGACAGCATGATGGCTCAGTGGAATAACTCATTCTAAGTAGAGCTTCCTTTGGCTTTCACAGAAAAGGGAATGCCAAAATTACATAGAGAAATAGACTTTCTTGGAAATGGTTATAGTCTTCCCAGAGTGCCATGCACAAGAGCTCATGCCTATAATCTCAGCTACTGAGGAGGTAAACATTGGGAGGATCATGGTTTGAGGCCACCCTGGGCAAAAAGTAAGTGGAAACCTATCTCATCAATAAACTGGGTGTGGTGGCACACACCTGTAAACCAAGCTATACATGAGGCATAGGAAGGAAGACTGTGGTCTGAGGCTGAGCCAAAGTAATCTTTGCTGCTTATAGGTTGACTATGTCAGGTATTTTGGTAGACAGATGACTAACACACAACCTGAGGGAGATCTACTGCTCTTGTGCAAACACATAGTGAAATGGGAAGGAAGCACTCAAAACCTGGGCTTCCTTGGTCTAGACTTTTAGCTATTGCCATCAACCTGACCTAGGAGTTAAAATGAAATGAATACACCTCTTTCTTATTTTAACACCTGGACCAGTGTTGGCCATGGAGCAGGGGCCCTGGTGGTCTTTCTTCACCTGCTGCCCCTGCCATGTGCTCATCCATGCTGAGTAGGAGCTCCCATGCAGCTGGCTGAATGTCTCCATACATCTCCTCTGTCAGAATTGGTGCTGCCTTGATTAGCAGAGACAAGGGAGCTGGAGATAAGCTCATCACCTGAGAAAAGAAGGAAATCATGTCTTAAAAGCTTTATAAGGCATGATTACTTCTTAAAACCTAAGATCCACTTCTCCTCGCTCTGCTTCTTTTCAATGACTTTAAAATACTTTCCAAAATGGGAGCATGTTAAGATGACATAGTATCAACTTTATTAGTTGAAGCAAATTTAGAAAAAAAAAGTATTAATCTTCTAGTGCTTTCATTGCAAAAACTAATTTGCAATAGTCAAGGAATAAAATGTAGAATAAATGCAACTCTATAGGAAAAGAAAATACCAGCAAACATAACTTTGTATTAAAAGTCTTGGTGCACTTTTCTTTTTCTTCTTTTCTTAGTGGACTTCAGAGCCTCCTTTTTTCCTTCTTGATAGTAGGTTTCTATTGAAAACTACAAACAATTTCTAACTCATGAAGGAATCTATTTGGAAAGCTTTCCGAGTCACTATGAAATTGGATGGCATTTCTCTTGAAACATTATACACTGTAGTTATGACTCCAAACCCACCCACAAATCCTATTTAGTTCAGAGAAGTTAGGGTTACAAACATATATACATTCCAGAAAACATTGAAAAATGTTTTTCTTGGAATAGGAATTATGATTTAGATCTTAGGTTATAAGAGCAATAATGAGTCAAGCACTTAATAAGTAGGAACATGTAGTACTTAAATGAACTATTTTTTAATCCATGCAACAATCCTTTGAGTTGTGTTTATTGTAATAAACCCCATTTTATAGATGAGGAGACTAAGAGAAATTAAATAGCTTGTCAATGTCCCACAGCCACAGTGGCAGACATGGTCTCATTCATAGGAGTGCCACCATCATACACCCATGGGAAATTAGCCTCATTGTAGTAAGAAGGATAATTTCCCCCTTAGACCCTTGGGAGCATTTTCACTCACTAATTAAGGAGGTATGGCAACATATCACCAAATGCTAGCAAACAGGCTGTCTGGAGCCTCTTCCCTGCTAATGATCCATGAGTGTTTCTAATCCAGGTGCCAATACCTGAAGCCTGATGTACTTCAACATTCCAGAATCCTTTTTCCCTTCCAGGTTGGCATCTGAAACTCTCTTCTTCAGAGAAGGTGTCCTCAGGCATGACTTATCTGAACACTGAAAAGAATATGAGCTACTTGATGCACATGCTGTGATTTCTCAAAAAAAAAAAAATAGTGCTTTGGTTCCACCCAATTCTCCAAGCAACCATCTTCTAATGAAAGGAGCGACTTAAGGCCCTTTTATGTGCCCACGCTTTCTGAAATTTAGAAAATCAATTAATTTTGTAATGAAAAGGGAGATTAGAAATAATTAGTAACAAACTTCTCTTTCATATTTGAGGAATTAGGGATCCAGAGAGGTGGAGTAACCTGACCAAGTTGCAAAAAGCAGAATAAGGAAAAGACAAGACTCTCCTGATTTCCATTTCTGGGCAAATTATATTCCATCAAGTGGTTAAAAATACAAATCTATTAAAATATTAAGTGCTATGATTTGAATATGAAATGTCCCCATAGGCTCATGTGTTGAATACATGGTCCCTAACTGGTGATGCTGTTTTGTGAGGTTCTGGAAACCTTAGGAGGCAGGGCCTAGTTGGAAGAACTAGGTCAGTGGGGTGTGCCTTTTAAAGTTAGACCTGGTTCCCAGTCCCTGCCTCAATCTCTCTGCTTCCTGTCTGCCATGAGGTGAACAACTTCTTCCTTACGTGCTCCTCTGCCTCCCAAGTGAATGGGGCTATGCAACTGTTGCTTAGCCCCATTCCTCCCTTAAGTTGCTTCTGTCATCGATTTGGTCACAGTGATGCTAAAACTGACTAATACAGAAAATTGTCACCAGGGAAGTGGAGTTACTGGTTTGAGAAGAGTTTCCGGATTTCCTGAATATACAAGGTGGTCTAGGGAAGTGTTTCTCAGATTCAGTCACCTGGGAACTCAGAGGCTTGTGGCAGTTATGATTCAAGAGGGCCTAGTCATAATGTGACTTGGTGGCAGAATGTGGCATTGTCTACATGATGCTAATTTAGCAGGTTTGTAGAAGGCAAGAGTTACGGTGTCATGGAGGATTCCACCTAAATTTCATAAGAAGACCTGGGAGACCAGGCAATGTGTAGTAGGGTTCAGAATTACAGCAGGCAGCCCTTGAGAGGGAAATGCATGAAGCTATGAGGGTAAATCCTAAACTGCAACAGAGACTCCAGGTCATTGGAGATACAAGGAATGTGGAACATCTGCTTACAGAAGCCACAGACAACAAGTGAAGCCAGTCCAGGAAAGAAGTCACGTGGGCTGCAAATACTAAGGCCACAGGGGCAGGGATTCCCAAGTACCCAAGTGTGTGTGTGTGTGTGTGTGTGTGTGTGTGTGTGTGTGTGTAAAGAGACAGAGACAGAGAGAGACAGAGAGAGGCAAGAGAGAGATGTCAGGCATAGAACTATAGGATTTAGTGTTTGCCCTGCTATGTTTCAGTCTTCCTTTGGTCTAATCCTTCCTTGCTATTCTCCTAGTCTCCCCTTTTGGAATAGAATGTTTACTCTGTAGCACTGGGAATATGCAACTCGTTTTTATTTTATAGGGTCTCAGAGCTATAGTTTACCTTCAATTGCAAGGGAAATTGTGGACTTAAACTGAACAAGGTTGAAACTATTAAGACTTTGGGAACACTTGGAAATTGACTAAATGAATTTTGTGTTATGAGAGGCCATGAGCTTTGGGGGGGCCAGGAGCAGAGCGTTATGGTTTGACTATGAAATGGCCCCACAGGTTCATGCATTGAACTCTTTGTCCCCAGCTGATGGCACTATTTTCAGAGGTTCTGGAAACTTTAAAAGGTGGGGTGTAAGTGGGGCCGAGTTCCCTGGGGTTGAAGTTTATTCCTGGTCTTCAGTTACTTCCTATCTCTGAGCTTCTTATCTACCATGAGGTAGACAGCCTCTTCTTCCATATGCTCCTACTGTCATGATGCATGAGGCCAAGAAACTGTGGACTGAGCCCATGAGCCAAATTAATCTTTTCTTTCAAGTGGTTCTTTCAGGTATTTTTGTCACAGCTATGCAAAAGTACTTAATGAATTAAGTCACAAAATCTAGTGTATCCAATAGTTCTGCTATAGGATTGGAAGGTAAACCATTTGGTTATGGAAGAAAGAAAATATTTCATATGAAAGTGTCAATGTGTAAGTAGCCAAAGATAGGACTTGTAAAGGAAGTAAGAGTTGACAGCATCTATCTAGGGCTGAGTTCTATAGATAAATTGGTTTCTTTAAAAACAAAACCAAACTCATCTATAGGATGTGGCAACTTTTCTTTGAAATTGTGCCCTCCACCTCTGTGCAGAATAGGCCTGACTCATCTGCATAGGAACAGAGGCAACACTTCCTTCCTTTGACTCCTGAGCTGCCAAGGAATGGAGTGAACAGAGCAGCTGGGATGCTTATTTATCCCGAGTTCTGATTTCTTCTTTTTTACACAGAACAAAGCTCATTTGTTTTTCCAGTGGCATGTCAATGAAATACTTTCTCTTTCTATGCCAAGGGCAAAAACCAAACTTCTTAAGAATTTTTGGACAGAGCTTCAGTGTATTAGATGGAGATAAGTTGAAAGAAAAGACAAATCTAAAAATATATTCATGTTCCAAGAAAGTCTTTTGAAACTTTGACCAAAAGACCCAAGACAATGAATCTGTTATGTGACTGGTATGGAACCATCTTTTTAAATGAACCTACTCTGAAACAAGGGAATCAGAGCCCTTGTGTATTCTAAGGAAAAGAACATGTAGGTGCGTACTTCGGAGAGATACAACATTGCTTTTTTTCTTTTTTGTAAATATAAAGGCTATATACAGCATAAATAGCATGCCCACTTTACATAATTTGAAAACTGTCCTAAAAACCATATACAGTAATATCCCTTTGAAGAGAGATCAGATATTTTAAAATTGGTATCTGATTTTATTTTTTCTACTTAAAAACTATATATATGTATATAAAATAAAACTCTCTATAAATAAAATAAATATCTGGAAAAGACAGAAAACATTACAAACACTATGAAGAAAAAATAAAATTCCAAAAATTTCAAATCAATGATAGCAATTATTTTGCTCCTTTAGCCTTTTTTCCCTTCTATATGCATCTTAGCAAAGCTGTGATATGTAGCATAACAACTTTGAACAACTCATTTCACTATGATTCTATTTCCAGGTCATTATAATTATTTTATATATGAATTTTGCAAATATTTCTCCCTTTTGACCTTTGTTTGGACGTTTCATGTTCTTCTTTTCAAGGATACTTATAAACAATACTTCTTGATTAAATTATAGGAATTTTAATCAGACAGATGTAATAAATTACTTAGCTTAGGTTATGAGCACTTATGTTAGCCCCTGATATGGAGGGAAGTATGAGGTCAGATGGTGCAAGTCAAACTCCTCATGTGTCAAATAGTTAATATCCTGGCATATTTCCTTAGGTAGCATGGCACATTCTGGTGACTTTATGATAATCAGGGTCCTTGTTTCAGTGGAAAGGAATGGAAGTTAGAAGAGATTTTTCATCAGGGTGATAGGCTAGTCACTGTGTTTGAATGACTTAATAAGACTTGGAAAATGGATAATAAAGCTAGGTACATGTATCATGGGCACTTGCATTCACTAACAAAGTCCTAAAGTTCCTCTACTTTAGGAGGACTCAGACCAAAAATCTGTTAGTATTTGCTCTTTTTGCTTTGGTAAATTGATTGAAAACTTGGGTAGAAGCAAGCTATGAATTATGTTTCACTCTGACCTGTGAAATCAAGACCCATGGCTTGGTCTTGGCCTCACAACAGTGTTGTCTGTAACATTAGAATAAAATGTTAGCTCTATAGGAAAATCAGTTGAACTCTTGCCATTGACATTCTTTTTGACTGAAAGGAAATGTTTTGTTGATTCCTTTTATACTACACTTGATCTTAGCTAAAAAGCCAAGAAGCAATTTCATTTTTTTCACCAGGAAACATTATTTATTTATTTTTGTAGTGCTAGGGATTGAACTCAAGGATTTGTGCATGCTAGGTGAGTGTTCTACCACTGAGCTACATCCCCAACCCTCAGGAAGTACTACTGAACACATACTATATTTAGAAGATGGTATTTGACAAGGTACACACATAGAAGAAAATCTGTAGCATTCTTTGGTGAAGGTTTTGTATATAAATAAATATATATATATATAATGATAGTTTACATACATTTAAGTTTGAAAGTGCACCAAAATAAACTAGAAGAGTGTACAGTGATTCCCTGTGCATTGAAATACAGATTAGCAGATTGAGCAGAGTTAGATGTGTTACAAAACGTACTAGAAGCTGCAGATGTATTTGGCCATAAAAACCAATTAAAGATGGAATAGGAATGAGTGAAACACCAATTGTTCACAGTCTAATCAGACCTTTGCTTTTGCTTTTGATTTATTGCCTTTTTCTGCTTTCACTCTGACTCTGCAAATGTGGGCAATGTTCATTTATGTGACAGATTCAGAACAGGCAAATGGAAACCATCATGAGAGGAACAAAGAGCTTAAACAGGAAGCTAGCATTTTGGAAATATAATGTTTATCACAGAAGACTCAATATACCTTTTCAGCTCTCCATTCAAATAACTAATTTAAATGCAATTAGATTAGAAGACACTTCTCTTGCTTGAGTTTCCCTTCAGAAATGCAAGCCACAGCAGAGGGTTGTTCATAAGCCTCCTCTGCTGCTTCATGCCAGCCAATGTCCTGGGTGAGCTAGAGGCAGAGGGTGCTCATGAACCATCCTAGACTATAACCCACTCTCTCATTCAATATTTATTATTCTTCTGCTAGCAATGAGTACTCTCTTAGAGTGTTACACAGGATACAAAATGCGTAACACTTCCTTGGTTCTCAAAGAGGTTATAATTAAGTAGCAGAGGATGCTTGCCACCACTCACAGTGTAGAGTAAAAAGCTCTCATGACCGTGTTGGGTCTCACCTCCACCTGCCGACGCAGCCCCATCATATGTCATTGTCCTTCCCCCACCTCTTCTCCAGAGTTGGAAAGTCCTGTGTACAACTAACATTTACGCATCCTTTAGTCAAAGGTCACCTGTCACTTTTTTCCCCACCTGATTTATAGCCTTATTCATAAGCTCTCTTACTATACTTGTGTCTCTCCACACACTTACTGTTGTTGCAATTACACCAATCTGGGAGGTTTATTTGATTAATATTTATCTCTCAGATGACATGTGTGTGCCATATAAAGGCAGGGACTATATCTCTTTTGTCCATTATTATACCCAGCACAAAGTATGGGCTCAGCACAGTCCATGGATCCTTTAAGAATTTGTTAAATAGGTATACAGATGGATAAATGAATGAATGGGAGAATTTGCAAAGTGCAAGTAAAATACCATTATAATCTAGATGAAAAGCTAAGGAAGGAAAATAGCATTTATCAACCACCTGCAATATGCCCTGTGCTCAACACTAAGGGAATGAGAAGAAGTTTCAGGGAAGAGGTGGTTTTCTATTCTCCATTTTCACTCTCCTCTAAAGAGTATAGTGTATACAGCATGAATAACACCACATGAAATATAGTCTAATTAAAAAGTCTTGATTTTGACATCCCATATTTCTAAGTTAAAGTCTAGCTAAATATGTTATACATGAGAAGTGTGGCAATCTCATCTCTGAGACTTATTTTTTTCACCTGCAAAATGAAGAAAAAATATCTCTATACAAGGTTTGTACGAATAAAAAGGGTACTTTGTCAATGATTTATACATATCTTATGCCCTCTCACATATGTTAAAAATACTGAAAGAGAATATCTAATAAGTTAAAGTAGCACCCTTGTGACCTCTTCTATTAGCCAAAATTTCTTAAGTTAGACAAGCACTGTTTTTGTAATAAAAAGTTTTAATTAAAAAAATCCTTTTGTGGATGTGAACGACCTCTACAAGGAACACAAAATCTACAAAAACAACAAACATAATAAACCACAAAGACAAAAACCACTTGATCATCTCAACAGATGCAGAAAAAGCCTTTGATAAGATCCAACACCATTTCATGACAAAAGCTCTAAGAAAACTAGGAATAGAAGGAAAGTACCTCAACTTTATAAAAGCTATATATGACAAACCTACAGCCAGCATTATACTTAATGGAGAAAAACTGAAACTATTCCCTCTAAAATCAGGAACCAGACAAGGATGCCCACTATCTCCACTCCTATTCAACATAGTACTGGAATTCCTAGCCAGAGCAATTAGGCATGAAGAAGGAATAAAAGGAATACAAAAAGGTAAATAAACTGTCAAAATATCCCTATTTGCAGACGACATGATCCTATACCTTAAAGACCCAAAAACCTCTACTCAGAAGCTTATAGACATCATCAATAGCTACAGCAAGGTAGCAGGATATAAAATCAACATAGAAAAATCATTAGCATTTCTATACACTAACAATGAGCAAACTGAAAAAGAATGTATGAAAACAATTCCATTTACAATAGCCTCAAAAAAAATCAAGTACCTAGGTGTAAACATAACAAAAGATGTGAATGACCTCTACAAGGAAAACTACACACTTCTGAAGAAAGAGATTGAGGAAGACTATAGAAAGTGGAGAGATCTCCCATGCTCATGGATTGGTAGAATCAACATAGTAAAAATGTCGATACTCCCAAAAGTAATCTACATGTTTAATGCAATTCCCATGAAAATTCCAATGACATTCATTAAAGAGATTGAAAAATCTACCATGAAATTTATATGGAAACACAAGAGGCCACGAATAGCCAAGGCAATACTCAGTCAAAAGAACAATGCAGGAGGTATCACAATACCTGACTTCAAACTATATTACAAAGCAATAACAATAAAAACATCATGGTACTGGCACAAAAACAGACATGAAGACCAGTGGAACAGAATAGAGGACACAGATATGAAGCCACACAACTATAACCAACTTGTCTTTGACAAAGACGCTAAAAATATACAATGGAGAAATAGCAGCCTGTTCAACAAAAACTGCTGGGAAAACTGGTTAGCAGTCTGCAAAAAACTGAAACTAGATCCATGTATATCACCCTAAACCAATATTAACTCAAAATGGATCAAGGATCTTAATATCAGACCACAAACTCTATAGTTGGTACAGGAAAGAGTAGGAAATACTCTGGAGTTAATAGGTATAGGCAAGAACTTTCTCAATGGAACCCCAGCAGCACAGCAACTAAGAGATAGCATAGATAAATTGGACCTCATAAAACTAAAAAGCTTCTGCTTAACAAAAGAAATGGTCTCTATACTGAAGAGAACACCCACAGAGTGGGAGAAAATATTTGCCAGCTATACATCAGACAAAGGACTGATAACCAGAATATATAGGGAACTTAAAAAACTAAATTCTCCCAAAACTAATGAACCAATAAAGAAATGGGCAAGTGAACTAAACAGAACTTTCTCAAAAGAAGAAATTCAAATGGCCAAAAAGCACATGAAAAAATGCTCACCATCTCTAGCAATAAATGCAAATTAAAACCACACTAAGATTCCACCTCACCCCTGCTAGAATAGCCATCATTAGCAACACCACTAACAACAGGTGTTGGCAATGATGTGGGGAAAAAGGAACCCTGTTACACTGCTGGTGGGAATGTAAACTAGTACATCCACTCTGGAAAAAAATTTGAGGCTACTTAAAAAGCTAAACATTGATCTACATATGATCCAACAATACCACTCTTGGGGACATACCCAAAAGAATGTGACACAGGTTACTCCATGGGTGCACACCCATGTTTATTGCGGCACTATTCACAGTAGCCAAGTTATGGAAACAGCCAAGATGCCCCACCACTGATGAATGGATTAAGAAAATTTGGTATTTATACACAATGGAATTTTATGCAGCCATGAAGAAGAACGAAATGTTATCATTCGCAGGTAAATGGATGGAATTGGAGAACATCATTCTGAGTGAAGTTAGCCTGGCCCAAAAGACCAAAAATCATATGTTCTCCCTCATATGTGGACATTATATCAAGGGCAAACACAACAAGGGGATTGGACTTTGATCACATGATAAAAGTGAGAGCACACAAGAGAGGTATAAGGATAGGTAAGACACCTAAAAAACTAGATAGCATTTGTTGCCCTCAACACAGAGAAACTAAAGCAGATACCTTAAAAGCAACTGAGACCAATAGGAGAAGGGGACCAGGAACTAGAGAAAAGGTCAGTTCAAGAAGAATTAACTTAGAAGATAACACACGTATACAGGAAAGCAATGCAGGTCCAACTCCCTGTATAGCTATCCTTATCTCAACCAGCAAAAACCCTTGTTCCTTCCTATTATTGTTTATACTCTTTCTTCAACAAAATTAGAGATAAGGGCAAAATAGTTTCTACAGGGTAGCGAGAAAAAGGGGGGGAGGAGGGAGAAATGACCCAAACATTGTATGCAGATATGAATAAAAAATAAATAAATAAATAAATTAAAAAAAATCTTTTTGTGATTACTACACCATTACAACTTACTATAAAACTTAGCTGCTTTTTCATTTTTATTGCTCATATTTGTATACATTATTGTCTACCCCCAGCCCAAACCTGCTTACCAACTTTAATAGAAAAATATTCTGCTCTTATTTTTAATAGGATATCTGACCTAAAATATTATGCTAACAGCAAGTGCATAATGAATGTTTGTTGAAATGAATAGGTGGTATATAAAAGGCTGTTTGAAAAACTATCTGGGAAAAGCAGCTGCAGAGTCATCCAAGCATTTTGGCTTTGGTGTCTGTTCAGGGGCAGGTGGGTTACTCAGGGATTTCCTGGCAGGAGCACAGCAGGCCTGGTCACTGTCTTCCTCTTCTGCCTGTTCAGCTGCTCAGGGTAGTTTCAGGAAAGGACAGCTGAAGGCCTGGAAAATGTCATAGTTTATTGAAGGAATTTTCTTTTGTCTGATTTGACTTAGATTTCTCTGTTATTTGTTTGTGAACAGTTGGGCCACTTATTGTTTGTTTTGCAATACATAATTATATTAACTTCCTATTGCTACTGTAACAAATTACCACAAGCTTCACATGGGCCTAAAACAATACATTTATTCTAATAGTTGTGGAAGTCAGGAGTCTAAAAGGGAAGTTCAGTCTTGCAATTCCATTTACTTGAGAGGCAAAGATTGGGAGAATCACAGTTTGAGGCCATCCCAGACAAAAAGTAAGACCCCCATCTCTATCAATAGCTGGGTGTGGTGGTGTGCACCTGTCACCCCAGTTATGCTATGATATGCATAAATAGGAGGATTGCCATCCAAGCCAGCATAGGCATAAACACAAGACCCTACCCCAGAAATAACTAAAGCAAAAGGGCTGCTGGTGTGGCTCAACTGGTAGAGCACCTGCCTGGCAAGGTCAATGCATTGAATTCAACCCCCAACCTTGGAAAGCTCCAGGAGATACTCTGTTCCCTCTCTTTCCCAGCTTTTAGATGCTGCCAGTGTTTCTTGACTTGTAACCCTACACCACTCTGATCTCTGCTATCCTGTCATCTTCTCTGCCTTTAACTCCCTCAGCTCTTTTCTTCACATCTGAGGGCCATTATGATTACATTGAGCTCGCCGAGATAATTTACGGAAATCTCATTGTAAAAACCTCTAACCACATGTGCAAAATCTCTTGTCATGTGAGCTAACATATTCATAGGTTCCAGAGAGACATCATTGTGCCTACCATAATAACTCACTCATTACCACCACCCCTCTGAGTTCAAATTTGTTCTTAGAAATAAGATAAAACCTGGGGAAAGACTCCATGTTTACCCATTAACATGAAGACAAAGCATGTCTTTTTTGTACTTACTGTCTACCTTTGCTCAAAGACACACAGACCTGTAGTCTGGCTTATAAAACTGCAGTTGCCTGAAAGTTTTTGTTCTCACAGAAGATTGTTAGGGCCTCATCTTCCCTATCATTGGTATATTTTCCAGTGCTGGATCACTCACCTCTTTCTGTTTCTTGCCCCGCAAAGCCACATTACTGACATTGTTGCTCTCCCTCAGGGAGTCCACACTGTCTCCATAGAGCAGTTTAATGGCCCTGACCAGCCGGGCACAGGAGCGGCTGTGGTGCAAGTAGCAGTGGGGATGGCAGTAGTCAACATGTGTGCATATGAAGCTTTGTTGATTGCATAGCAAGATCATAACCTGGAATACAAACACCTTTGAGACTCAAACAGTCATTGAGGGTACAAATTGAATATTTACATGATGTAGAAGATAAAGTCATAATGTCAGCTTCCCCTGATGAGTCAATCATTCCCACAGAACATAGTCACAACTCTTCATCCACTTGGCCTCTGTTCTCCCTCCATAATACTTGATAAAAGAATCTTTTTGAAACAATAAGAATAAAAGATCTTCAAATGCTCAAAACAATTACTATGGAGTATATGGTTTCAAAATATTTTCATATGGAGATTTCAAACCAAAAAAACCCCCAAAAAACAAAACTCACATCTTTTCTCCCAACTCTTATGTTGTGGCAGGAGCCAGACAGAAGAGCATGAACTCATGAAAAGTTTGATCACAGAGGATATGGATGACTTTTGACAGCTACAGGGCTCCTGGAACTTCAACCCACTCTATGTAGAACTTGAAACCATTGTACATCTTCCATTCTGGCCAATCATCTTGAAATGGAACTTGAACCCCACTACAGAGCCTCAATTTGACTTCTTACCAATCAATATCTTTCCTTTGACTTTTGTCTTATAGTTTGAGCCAGTTCAAATCCTCTCATCTTCTAGAATCCTACATTAGGATACCAGGGGCAAACTCAGTTGATTTAAAGAATATGTTACTTTAAGATAAGAAATGGGGCTGGAAGCATGGCTTAAGTGGTAGAGCACCTGCCTAGCAAGTGAAAGACCCTGTGTCCAAACCCCAGTACAGCCCCCAAAAAGATATTAAGATAAGAAATGAAGGACCTTGAGTTTATACTTTTTTTTTTTTGCAGTTCTAGGGATTAAACTCAGGGTCTTGGACACTTTAAGTATGCATATAGCACTGAGTTATATACCCAGACCCTAACTTTGTAATTTTTGTGCTTGTTTTGTGGTTCAAGGGATTGAATCCATGACCTTGAATGTGAAAGGCAAGAGCTCTACAGTGAGCTAAATCCACAGACCCTGAGTTTGTGGCCTTACTAAAATGCAACAGCCTACCTAGACTCATAGATTAGCCAAATGTGCATACAATGGCCTTCTGAATGTTCTATCCCTCATAAAACTAGTCCATACCTTGACAGCTAACCTGTGAGAGACTGTGTGCCATGCTGAATGGAGAGCATAAAACAAGTCTACATAGAAAGGGTAACTGAACCTGTCCGGTAGGGCTAAAACACATTTCCTCTGGAACAGGGTCTTGGCTATTCAGAGACAAAGGTAAACAATCACAATCAATTCCATAGCCCTGGCCCTGTCAATTCCATACCCTCCAAAGTTTTCAACTAATACAAGAATTGTCTCAGCAGAATATCCAGCTCTCTAAAGATCCACTGTGGACCCCATGATATTCTTCTTTATCCTGGCATGAGGCATGGCACACATAATAACTGTAGGGGTTCCCTTGTTATTTTGAAATATAGCTGATCAAGAGAAACACCAATAAATCTTAACAAACAAACACAGATGAAACTATTGCTTAGACTTTGTCTCAGGAAATTTTGATTTGGTAGTAGAGATGACTCAGAAAGTATAATTTTAAAATTCTGCCCAGTGATATTCTTTTGATAAGTATATTTCTAAGATGGTCCCCAGTGATCTACACTTACTGGTACTTAAAACTTCATGAAGTCTCCTCCAATTGAATATGAGTTGGCCTATTGTCTTGCTTTTAACCAGTAGAAGGCAGCAAAGGTGACGGAGATGATCCTTCTCTGACTAGGATGCATAATAATGCAACTTCTTTCTTGTTAGCAAACTGTTTTGCTGTCTTTGATAAAGTGAGTTGCCAAGTTGCAGGGGCTAACATGACAAGGAAATAAGAGTGGCCTCTGACCAACATTCCGCAACCCAATAGATCTTGAAGAACTGAATTTTGTCAACAATCATGTTTTCTGATAACACATCAGTCCTGGACAACAGTTCTTATCCTTGTAAAAGACCCTTAAACAGAGGACCCAGCTAACATGTGTTAGGATTCATGACCCGCAGAAACTGTAAAATAATAAACATGTGTTGTTTAAGCCATTGTTTGTGATCATTTACTATGCAACAGTAGAAAATGAACATGCTTCTCTTCCAACAATAGCAGCTTAGAGCTACTACTGTATAATCGGAAGAGTCACGTGAAATACCACACACACACACACGTTCACACACACACACATACACACATGTGTACACATATACACGTAAATGTAAAGATAAAGACACTTGGGTATATATTTGAATACATTTGAATATATTCCAGCAGAATCTAACTGTAGCGCGCATTGAGAGGTTCAACTAAGATAGAGCGCTCTGCTCTCTCTTAGAGACTAGATTGGTTTGATGGTTTAAGTGTAGTACTTTGTACTCCTCCCATGAATCTTCCTCAATGGCAAAAGAAACTGAAGCTTGGGCTCCTTCTGGGGTTCCGACTTACATGAAGCCAGGACATGCTCCTGTGGTAGTTTTCCTCTGTGCCGGCGCTGCCCGTTCCCTCTGGCTCAATGCTGGGCTCACTTGCACTCCAAGGACTTCCTTCTTCGAGAGAGCACAAGAAAGGTTCAGCGTGCAGCCTCCCTGGGGAGCATTGGCGTGGTGGAGTTGGCCATGCTTTTGAATCCTAGGGTAGGGCAGACTACCATGGCCCAGTGGGTTACAGGGCATAAGACTTTGTTGGAGGAATCCTAACAGGAGCTGTTCCCTTTACCACCAGCGGAACTGGCAGTTTCAAAGACATTGATGAGCTCTGTTATGATTGCTTCCATTCTGAGAGATGGGAGCAGAAAAAACACTTGAATTGTTGAGATGAACCAGTTATAGGTCGAACATACCCATTCCCGGGTGCCCAGACCTTAGCAGTGTATTTGAACAGGGACACCAACTGACCTGCAAGAGCCTCCTCTGGAGTGGGACTGCAGCTAGTATTATTGCTGTAGCCACCAGGCTCCGCTGTCAGAGCTATTCAAAGATGGCAGGGTGCCTTGGAAAAACTAAGGTAATTTGAAAGCCATGTTTAGTTGTAGACAGCCCTCTGTCCTCTTTAGGGACAAGCATAAAGGAGACAGCTCTTGGGACTTCACTGCTTAGTGTATTGCACATAAAACTTTTCCTCAAATCTCAAAGCTTTTATGGATCTTTTCAATAACAAAAACAATGTCTATTGCCTGACTACTTTGATTCAACTGGTCAGGATAAATTTATCAAATCAAACTATGAACTGTAATTTTCTCCCAACCTAAGGGATGTTAGAGCTTCAGTCCTACAATAACAGAAGTCACGGTTTTTTTCCTCTATTGTTTCCTTGAAAAATAAGCTGAATCTTAACTAATGCATAAATTAGCTATTTTCAAAGGCGAGAGTGGGTGGATGTAGAAACATTTCCTATTTTAAGCTTTCTTCAATTATACACACTCAGATTCTATTTCAGCAGACTCTATCGATCATTTAGCCCCATTTACTGCTGACTTGAAACTAGAGACTGAATAGCAAATAGAATGTGGTTCAAGTTTTACTTAATAGTTAACACTAAGCAGCTGGTGAGCTCTGTCTTCATGCCTACTTAATCTTTTTCTTGTCTATTAAAAAGCTTATCAGGGCCCTTAATTTGGACTAACACATTTTGGGAATAAGAGTCTCTTTAGATCCTACAGTGACCATCCACAAATCTATTGCTTTGATTGCATACAGAACTCATTCTCATATATTTTACAACCATCCCCTAATTTTTCTTTAGAGAGACCTTGAAGAGTAGGCGAGGAGTAACTAGGATGATTTCCACTGGATGGTTGGAGAAGTCAAGTGACCTGCTGAAGATCCCCAATTGTAAGGTCTAGACAATCTTTCCTCTCTGATGCATTAGATAATTTTATTGTTAAATGGAGACTTTAAAATATAGAGGGCCTTTAGATATCTGTCCCCATGGGAGTTTCTACATTTGAATTTGAAAGTCCTGATCAGAAACATGGATAGAGAAACATCTGAATGTCTAAAACTGTTCTAGTCATTCAAGTGTTTTCTTTCCCTGACATATATTCTGTCCCCTATCTGCTCAGAGTGCAGTCCCTGAATCAGCAGCATCAGCTTTATCTATCAGGAAGCTTGCTAAAAACATAGACTCTCAGAATCCCACCCTGACAGCTGACTCAGAATTTAACAAAACTCCCGGCTGACCCATGTGCAAGTCGATGTTTGAGCTGGACAGGGAAGTGTGTTTTTCAGATGGAAGAAATTGTCTAACCTGTGTCTCTGCTCTCCATCTATTTACATGTAAGAAAATGGACTTTAGGCATTTCAGGACTTGGGTCCTGTCTTCCTACCCCCCACGTCCCTGCACACCCCACTCCTCTATGTTACCTAGGTCAGTGACAGTGTCCCTGCTCTGGGACAGCTGCAGCTCCTCAGCCTCAGACTCTGAGTCCTGCCGTGATAACTTGCTGCTCTTTAAGCTGCCGACCCGGCGAATGCTGGACAAGGAACCCCCCTTCTTCACCTGGAAACTGCGGGTTCCTTTAATCTGGAGCAGGCGAGAACCTCCTATCCTGATCTTCCTGCTGGGAACTGGATTAAAAGAATAAAATAGGGCTTTCCCCCCCTTAGTTTTTCCCAGCCACTGTTATATCCAAGTTCTCCCCAATTTGTCCCTGATTTAGCATCCTTTTCTATCAGCCTGGATGAGTGGCATTTCTTAACAGGAGCTTCCCGCCAGCCCCCAGTCACCAGGCATGGTTAGGCAGGCAGGAGGCCAAGGCCACCAAGGAGGGCTTGTACAGCCTTTTTCTTGGTGACAAAGCTCACTGGGGCTGGGAACAGTCTGCTTTCGTTCTGGCCCAGGGTTCACAAGCATGAGTGTGCCCACACATCACCATCACCAAGAAGTTTGTGCGCTCACATCGCGTTCTTACTTAGTTTAATAGAACCACACATCATGTGTTTGTTTTTCTTGTGAAATGGACTTACAGAATTCTGACAGCTGTCATAGAAACCCTTTCCTTTTGGAATACCTCATAAAGAAATAAAAATGAGAGGTGCTTCTCTCTCCAACAGTCAGCAGTGGGTGGCGCTGTGCTCCTCAGCAAAGGCACTAAGGGGTCTGCTTTCACTGGGGTGCTTTGGGTGAGCATGCATGTGACATGGTTCCATTTTCAATGCACCTAGTGATTTCATAGCATCCTCCTCTCAAAGGCTGATGAGATGGGAGTCCAAATGTTGCAACGCCCTTAGCCAACCTTACAGTCTATGTGTACCGAGAAGAGCATGCATTATTCATCTTTAGTGTTCTGGAAGAAACAGTCATCAGTAATAGAAATAAAAAGGTAAAAGAAACACATTTAAATTTGAAACCTACTTTTCAAAAAAAACCCCAAAGCATATACATACCTCCTTCCCCCCCACTTTTTTTGAAGGTTTGATATACCAATATTGATTTTATGAGAACAGGATAAGAAAAGTTTTCAGGGATTAAAATCTATTGTCAGGAAGGGGCTATTTTGTATGCTTATCTTCTTAAGATATGAACAAGATTTCTCACTAATTATTTAAGCAAAGCTATTACTATTTTTTGAACTCCCAATCAGGAAGTTGGTATTTTAGTTTCAACTTTCTTAGCCACTGGAGAGTTAATCTGTAACTATAATAGAACTTGTATAACTCTTTAAAAGGCCAGTAAAATGTACACTTTCAATGCCATATAAAAGAGCTGAGAAGAATATCTCATGAACAATGTGAGTGTTTAATCTCTGGTTTACTGTTGTGATTGACAGAGACTAAAATTATTACCACTTAGCAGTGCAAGATTCATTGAGCTTCCTGCACACATCTGGATAGAATTTCACATCTGGAAGGAATTTTTTGAGTACAATTGGATAAATTCCACAAAAACTATAAACCACAATGCTATATTTTTTATCACATAAAATTTACCCAACTGCATTTTTCAATATTCTTTTTAGGCTTAATTGAGAGGATGATCCATCCAAAATATGTTTGAAACAGAACATAGCTATCATTTTTAATGGCTACTAGAGCAATCTGATGTCTAAGTATATTGAAAGGTATATAGAGAAAAAGATTACAGTGATAATTCTCAGAATTTTTTTTTAAAGAAAGGCACACACTAGCATTCTTTGGCTGGTTTTATAATGTTTTTCAGTTGATATATGCAGCAAAATAATCCCAAACTAATGGGACCTGAAGAGATTTTGTTTGGAGAATTTGTTCTAACGATAAAGATAATTGGAGATATCTTGTAATCCTGAAAAAATTAGGGATCAGAGCTATGATATCAGTAATTTACCAGGGACACAGCAGTTTGAATTCAGATTTGGTTTTGTACATGAAAATGTCAGCTGAGATCGTATGGCATTGAATTTTAGCCTTTATCTCCATGACAACAAGAACTAGCATGAAACAAATTCATCTAAATTGGATAGCAGATCTCTTTTCCCCTTCTCTCTCACTCCACATTGCATCTAATAGCAAGCCCTGCCAATTCTATACTTTAAAATATCACAGGAGTTTGAAAGCCTTGTTGCCTGTTCACTGGACTGGTGCAACTACCTAAAACTGCTCCACCTTCCCTCATCACATAGATTCAGTCACATTCTAAATACATAAATCATAAATACACACCTTCTATGGTCAAATCATCAACAACTCTCTGACACGTTTAAAATAGAATCTGATTTCTAATCTTATTTACCAGACCCTCTCCACCCCTTGCCTAACTTTCTACCCATGTCTTAGCACTCTTTCCTCAGCTCATTCTAATGTGACCATGTTGCTCTTTCTGCCCTTCTTCAAATATCCAAAGTTCATTCCTGCATCACAGCTTGTTCTCACTGTTGCCTCTGCAGCACTCCTTCCTGAACCCTTTGCATTCCTGGCTCTTTCACACTATGCAGGTATCTCTGTTCAAGATTAATTGAATTGGACTACATCCTTTCCCAACTCAACTCTGATCATAATTTGTTTTTCTTCATATTACTTATCTCCACTGGAGAGTCTGGTATTTCATGCTATTCACTGTTAGCTATTAACTACTAATTACTATGAATTAAAATATATATGGGAAAATTTTCTTGCTCATCACTGTGTTCTGGGAACTTGTAATGGTTCCTGATATATAGCTTAGTAGATCAATGAATAATGAGACTAGTCTTGGTGCTTGTATTTGGAATACTAGTGCTATTTTGTCATAGGAACAGGGTAAGATGATTTGATGAACTCTACGTGGAGATTTTAGGCAGACATTTTTAGTTCTAAGCATTAATTTATGTTAGTTTTCTTTAGTAGAATCAGCACTCTTTTCAGTTTGCTTATCTTGGGAGTAGACATTTTATAAAAGCATATGTTATGAAAAATTTTATAAACTTTTAATAATTGTGATTAGCAGAGTCCCATCATCACCATTTTCAAATGGTCTTAGTAGCTGATATCAGCTCATTGAATGGATTAAGGAAGATATTTAGGAATCTTTGAGAAGATTTTTGCCTACTGATTGAAGACATTTTATGAGGCCAGATGTTCATGTTTCACACCTGTAATTCTAGCTACTCAGGAGGAAGAAATTAGGACTGAGGTTCAAAGTCAGCCCAGGCAAATAGCTCCCAAGACCCTACCTCTAAAAAACCCATTCCAAAGAAGGGCTGGTGGAGTGGCTCAAGGTATAGGCCCTGACTTCAAATCCCAGTACCACAAAAAAAAAAAAAAAAGACATTTTATGGGTATGTTTTCATTTTATTTATAGACTCAGTTTTCTGTTATTTGTTTATTTATTCATTTATTTGTGTATTATGTATGTATGTATGTATGCATGTATGTATTTTGGTTTTTTTGAGACAGGTTCTCTCTACCTAGCTCAGACTGGTCTTGAACTTGCTATCCTCCTGCCTCTACCACCCTTCCTGGGATCCCAGGCATATGCCAGCATATGTGGCTCATCTGTTCTTCATTCATTAAGCAACATTCACATATTAACATAGCCAATCTGTGTGGGGAAAAAATACTAAGCACTTGAGTGTTTCAACATTAAAAAATTACGTAAATAATAATTATGAAATTAAATATCCTTAAAGATTAATCAGATATTTTTCTTCTAAAAATAAGATTGTAGGTCAGTATTGAAATTTTTATTCAACTACTTTAAATAATAATTATCACTATATCTTTGAATGGTATAAAAAACACTACCTTCTAAATTAAAATATATTTGGGATATGTTTAAAAGATAAAAATTATCTTTGAATCAGTAATATTTGAAAATTATTGACTTGATACTTCTTTTGTGTATTGAGGTTTGAATTTAGGACCTCTTGCTTTCTAGTAAGGCACTTTACCACGTGAGCCCCATTGCCAGCCTTTTTGTGTTTTAGTTATTCTTCAGGTAGGGCTTCACAGTTTTGCCTGGAACTAGCCTCAGACTATGATCCTCCTACCTAGCACCTCCTGCATAGCTGGAATAAAAGACATCAATCACCAAGGCTGGCTTATTAACTGAGACAGGGTCTCACTAACTTTTTGCCCAGGCTAGTCTCAAACTGCAATCTCCTGATCTTTACCTCCTGAGTAGCTGGAATTATAGGCATGATCCACTGTGCCCAGCTATTAACACTTCTTCATGTTCAGAAATTGCTCCGGACTTTGCTTATCCTTCCTACAACATGTCCTCTGTTCACCATAAATTCAAAAGACTATAATGGTAAAAATGTTGTGACAACATTCTAATATTAAAATATTCAAACTTTTCCCAGAGCAAATCCTTTCTCAAAAAGACTTTAAATATTATATATTTTTTCTAGATAGGGCTATTCCCTTTGAAAACCATTCATTCACTGAGCTAATAACACATATTCAGTCACTGTGTATAGGACACTAGGAAATGCTTCAATGCACAAGATCAGTTTTGCCTCTCTTAACAGATGTGCAGATGTTCTTTTAAATGAAATTCTTTATGAAAGCATTGAAAAGCAATGAAATCTAAGAAATAGAAAAATCAGATTGTGAAGTTGATAGTTTGGATCAACTTTTAGAGAGTAACTTAAAACTTTGTAATCTTCAGTTTGTAGTTAGGATTTTCTGCGTGGTTTCTACTCTATATGTTCATGATATAAAAAATAAGAACAACAACAGTTATTTATCAAATTCCTACTATTCACCAGGTACTAATTTTATACTTTACTTGCATTACATTATTTAAAGCTCTAAGCATCATAATGCAGAAGGTGTTATTAACTCAATTTTATAGAAAACTTCAGCTTAAAATGTCAGTAACATAGACAAGACACACAGACAGTTGCTATATTCACCCATTTTAAGATGCACATGTTTTTCACATTTTACCATGTTTAAAATTGGGATTTTTCACACAATTGATGATATCTTATGATAACTAGTGCCAGGTAGCAGTCGTGATACACTTGCTTTTGTTTGAGTCCACGTGAACATCTAAAGCATTAGCAGCAAAATGTACAGGTTCTTGTATCTTTTAGCCCCAAGGAGCTAAGTGGTAGTGACGGGTGGGAGAGTGGGTGAGGTAGCAAGTTGGATGTGTTTAGTGACACTACTGAAGAGTAACTGAAGTAGACTAGCTTCATATCATTGAAATTTAGTTTAAGTAACTAGCACAAATAGCTTTATTTCTTTTATGGACCCATTTCAGAAATGATGTATCACTAACAATCTGATGACACAGAAGACATTATCCTATAGAAAAACACAGACATTGACAACTCTGAGTTGAAAAATAATCAAGACATTTGAACTGTGAACTGAAGATGGTTTAGAAAGGCTTTAACCAGTATATTTTAGTTATATTCTTTTTTGACTCAAAAGAATGATTTAAAATAATAATAAAATCATTCCTAAATAGATCTGAAAGTCCTCTTTCAATAAAAATAAAAGACTAGCAAAGTGATAAAAGAGTATTACCTAAAAGTTGAATTGGGAGTATTGTTCCTTTTTCATTGGTAAATAAAATAATGGTTCATCTGAAAGCTAGTGGCATCTGAGAATCAATGGGATATGGAGATTTATTGAATTAGAACCCAGGTAACACTGCAGAGTCCAACCTCTAACTAGTATGGCTTCCTACCTCATTGAACCTATGGAGTCAGGATTGAATGGAGCCATCAATTTGAGCATACAAATTTGTTGTTTAGCTCCCAGGCCAGATACTCTATGAGAAACCCTGAAATATGAAATAATCCTTGCTATTCCATACCTTTCTTCTCCTCAACAGCTGTATCTGATTTGAGGGTGTGGCTGCTGCTGTGGAGAGAATCTTTTGAGTCTTCATTTTCATCCAGAACCCCTGCAAAGCTGATCTTCCTCTCATATCTGTGCCGATCCAACTCAGGATCCAGATGAAGTCTGAGGCTCTCCGAGTCCTGAAATGTCAGTGAGAAGCACATGAGTGCTGGCATCCCCCCAGCGCTCCTTCCCTGTCTTTTGAAACAGGCTTTCTTTATGTAGCCCAGGCTCAAATTTGTGATCCTCCTGCCTCAGCTGCCCCAGTGATGGAATTTACAGGCACGCACCACCATGCCTGGACTACTGCACTGATCTTGTGACATATCTCCCCCCATCAGAGTTACATACAACTGTATTAAAACAGCCAAATTTCTTTCTCTATTGCCAATTTTATATTGTGGCAATTTTATATTCTTGAGTTAGAAAACAAATAAAATCTTCCCTAACTCATAGCTTTTCCCTTCTTCATCTTCACTAAGCACTGACTTTCTCCCAAATCTGGATCTTGCTTCTTAGTTTCTTTGTCTGCAGTTTTGGCTGCATCTTTGACATTTATCTGTTTGTTAAATAATCGTGCATTGAGTATGAATATGTTAGGTGATGCAGGGTACATATAAAATGCTTCTTTTGCTAAAGGAACTCAGAATCCCAAGATAAAAAAAATAAGAAGACATAAATGATAAATTCCAGTCCTGAGAGACAAAGTAGCAAGTTAGAAATCTGACCTGGACAGAGATTGTGGTCAGCAGTATAATGGCCCTGTGAAGACATCTATTCTAGAATCTGAGAATATGTTGGGTTATATTGCAAAGGGACTCTGTAGATGTGATTAACACTAAGGACCTTAAGATGAGGAAATTATTCTGTGTTTACTAAGTGAACCCAATTTAATCACACAAGTCCTTAAAAGTGGAGATCCTTTCCAGGCTGTGGTCAGAGGAAGGTGTGACATTTTATCACCTGTGAAGATGGAGGAAGGAGACAGAGTCAAGGAATGTGGGTGACCTCTGGAAGATGGAAAAGGGGAAGGCAAAAGATTCTTCCCTAGTGCCCCAGAAAGGAATTAAGCCTTACCAATACCTTGACTTTAGTCCAGAGAGACCTGTCTTAGACATCTGACCTCCAAAACTTTAGGTAGCACATTTGTATTGTTGTAAACAACTATATTTGTGGCAGTTTTCTATATCAGAGATAGAAATGAATATAGAAGTGATATTTGAGCCAGCTGCTGCTGGGTCACGCCTGTAATCCTAGGTACTCAGGAGGCAGAGATCAGGAGGATTGTGGTTCAAAGCTAGCCCACATCCTGAGTTCAAACCCCAGTACTGCTAAAAAAAAAAAAAAAAGTGATATTTCGGTTGAGTCTTGGGATTAAATAGAGCTGCTGGGAAAACAAGTGGGTAAAGTCATTCAAGGTTTAAGAAATGTCATGTGTCAGGGCCAGAGACTCAAAACAGGACTACGCATTGGGGCAACTTCTTACTCTCTTGTAGGAGGACCTAAATATAAGAGGAGTTCCAGCACTATCTGCTAATGAACTTCTGAGCTCATACCCCAAAAGTAAATCTTGGGGAGTGTAATTATTCAATAGGAATTTGGCCTTTGAGTTCTAAAATTGAAAACCTGACCAGTTTTGTGAATAGAAATTTGCTCAATCTGAAGATTATGTTTAATTATTAACCTATACAGCTCTTTTGGAGGACTTGAAAATGAAAACTATACAAAAGACTAACTTATTTCTGTTTAGTACTTTTCTAATTGTGATGTAATAAATCCTCAGAATCAAAAGATATGGAAAACAAAAATGTTTTTAAAATCCTGTTTTTGCCAAGATTAAAGTCTTATGACTCTGTCATCAATAAGATGAATTTTAAGCCTCTACACGTTGTTCCTTCCTTTTCTTATGGACTAAGAACAGAAGTTACATTTTGGCTACAACTTGGAGCTGTATCATGGAGATCCAAGATGGAGGTTAGGGTAGGGAATCAGAATTCCTGAGTTCTGTGACTCCAGAAACCACCTTGAGATGTGGGAGCTACACTTGGATAATTCTGATTGCTTCTATACAAAATATTGACCGCTAACACATTAGGTGTACATAAAATTCAAAGACTGACCCCAAAACAGCCTTTAATTGCACTGTCAGGAAAATCCCAACATGGCATAGGCAACAACATGTGTCTGCCTTGGGAAAAAAGCCCCCTGGCCATTACTCCTTTTTTTTCTTTCAATAAGAAGATAGAGTATCAACCAGAATTGAACTGTGACATCCTGGATCCATTACCCATGGAAAGCCTCCCTATGAAGGGACACTTCTCCTGAAGCATTTCTCCCTGCTTGCTGGTTTCAAAGCTGCCTGTGTAGACTCAGCAGGTGAGCAACATGCACCACACACAACTTCCCTACCTACCCTCTGGGAACATAATCCAGCACAGCCCCTGGGCAGATTGAAACCCCACCCATCAACAACACTGAAAAACATAAATAGTGAATTGTAAATCTAACACCAACAGCGAGGATGGGATGGAATGCTGAACCTTCCCTTGGAGAACAGAGTGGAACAAGGAGCCAAACTCTCAGTGAATGAAGGCAGAAAAAGTAACAAAGGTTGAGAGCATGGGTGGGGAGCTAACCTCCCAAAGCAGGGCCATGGTGGATCCCTGAGTTAGTCTCCTGGGACTTAGTGTGGTACTCAAAACTGAATTGCCCCTCCTTGCTGGAGGAGGAGCTGACCAGCCAGAGTTGCAACTGTAGGGTAATGCAGCTGCTGCCTGGTGAAAACAACGTATTTGACCATCTTGAATGAACTGGCAGTGAGTAACCTCAGGTCTAATTGCAACCTTCCCTATGGACAGAAGGAACCAAATACTGTTCACAAGCCACCTGAAAAGACCACTTCAGGGCTTGCAATGGATGGCCCATAATACCAAGGAAAGTGGAAAAAAAGAAAAAACTCTCCAGCCATCTCCACCTCAAGCTGTCCGACAAGAGGGGCAGCACCCTTCCCCACAAAGCCTAGAATACCAAGCGCAAATACCAGGATTAGATGCCAAAGGAATAAGTCCAGAACTTTTAACAAGCAGACTGACTTTTTGTTGTTGCTGTACCTATTTTTTTCTTCTGCATTATTAACTTTACCATCACTATTTTCTTATCCCTATTCTTACCCCCTTTACTTTCCCTCCTTTTCTTGTGCTACAGTCCATTGTTTTCCCTCCCAACTACTCTTTCTGCCCCTTCTCATCCACTCCCTCCCCCATCTTCACCTCACCCCATCCTTCCCCAAACTGTTACTACACTAACCCTTCCTCCTGCACACTCACCACCCACTGACTAGCCTACTGTACCAACTGCACACAGCCCTAGCCCCCTGCAATCCCTGATACAAGCACTCCCATTACAACAGTGGACATCCACCCAAACACATACAAGGGCCACAAACTCAGCAGACCCATTTCTCTTCCCCAATCCGTGCCCTGCTTTTCCCACCCCCCTTTCAGTGCCACCTTTACCAGTTACCCAAATTCCTATATCTAGCCTAATAACCATTCCCCCCACACAACTCCCACTGTTTATAGATATTATCACCAAGGGGTTTTCTATATAATATGTAAACAATTGGTCTGGCATTGAACCTGTGAATTTGTTATTGCTAAATTATACCTCCAGGCTAAGGATAGAAACATCAGCCTAGTTAACAACCAAGTCAGTCACAATACAAAAATTAAATCAAGGGAAAGAAAACAGGCAATTAAAATCACCAACTACCCTATCAAGAACATAGTTGCACAGCACCAAGTGGAGTGATGGGAAAAAGAAGAAAGGATGGAAACCACCCTCTTCAAAAAAATAATTCAATAGAAGACTTAGTGCAAAATGAAGAAAATGGATACTCAATTCCCAACCCCAACAAAACACTGATAAATATCACTACTGAACCCACTGATGCCCACAAACAATCCCTCGAAGAGGAAATCATGGAAGAGATCACTGAGAAATTCATTGAGAAGATACTAGACACAGTTAACCAGAAAGTATAAGATGCACTCAAGAAATTTCAAGACACCACAAATAAAGAACTTGAGAAGACACAGAAACAACTAAATATACCAAAGAGGACTTTGACAAACACCAAAGTGAAACAAAAGTCACTACAAAAAGAAAAACATATGAAATAAAGAAGGCGATACAAAATATAAAAAAGGAGTTGAACAAAGATATGAAAAACCTCAGAAAAAAGAATCAAACATAAATCCTGGAAATAAGAAGTCCTTTTAGTGAAACAAAAAACACAGTGGAAGGTTACTCCAGCAGTTTAGAACAATGGAAGACAGAATCTCAGAGCTGGAAGATAAAATAGAAATTAAAGAAAATGCAGATGAAATCTTTGTCGAACAACTCAAGAGCTACCAAAGGAATATGCAAGAACTCAGTGACTCTATCAAAAGATCAAACCTGATAATCATGGGCATTGAAGAAGGAGAAGAGGTGCAAGTCAAAAGAATATGTAATATATTCAATAAAATAATAACAGAAAATTTCCCAACCCTTGAGAAAGATTTGACCATTTAGGTATAGGAAGCCTCAAGACACCAAACAGACTTGACCAAAATAGAACCTCTCCACAGCATATTATCATTAAAACAACTAGCACAGAGAACAGAGAAAGAATATTGAAGGCTGTCAGAGAGAAAAAACAAATAATGTATAAAAGTAAACCCATCAAAATAACAGCAGGTTTCTCAACAGAGACCTTAAAAGCAAGAAGGGCATGGAGTGAGGTATTCTGGGCACTGAATGAAAATAATTTCAGCTCTAGGATACTCTACCCAGCAAAGCTATCATTCAAAATTGATGGAGGAACAAAAGTCTTCCACAATAAACAGAAACTAAAACAATATATGAACACCAAGCCACAACTACAGAAGATTCTACAAGGAATTCTGAACACAGAAGATGAAAGCAAACAAAACCAGGGACGACAGAAAGTATTAAAATGCAGAAGAAATAAAGACACGTAATCAGAGAGTAGCATTGATTCAGCTGCACACAATCAAATCCTTAAACAACAAAAACAACCAAATGATAGGATTCACCACATACCTATCAGTGTGAATGTCAACGGACATAGAGACAA